TAATAAACTTAAACAGATGGTCATTTCTCTAAACTACAATTGTAATTATAAAAATCCTTTTATGTTGTGTGATTCTGAGAAAGGAAAGGTAAGAAAATATGTTTCAAATAAATTATTCTTATTATATTTTTATTATTATAAGTTTTATAAAACATATGGCTAAACGACTATAATAATAATAATATAGAAACTATTACTGTTAATATAATAATCATATAAAATAATGACTAATATTTAAATGTTAGTAGAAGCAGACGTGTGTGGTCTTAATACTTGTTACTCTATTAAATGGTTTATGTTGAATTACTGTATCATTTTTATAATAATTCTTGAAAATACAAAAAGAAATTATGAACTTCTATTAAACCTAATACAATTTTTTGATTCTAACAATTAAGTTATAATCAATACTACAAAATTAAGGATTATTTTTATGAATTTAATGTTTTAATATTTTGTAAAAAGAAAAATCTGTTTAGATTTTAATGATCGAAATGATAATTAATATATTTAGTTAATTCCTGATTGAAAGCGCAGAATTATCTGCAGTTTGTATGAGCACTGGTCCATCAAACCATTATTATTATTACTTTCTCTTTAATTCGATAAACAAATCTGAAACGAATTCCTTTACGCTCAAGTGAATCGCATGCAAGTAATAATGATACAAACATCTGCTCCATCACATGCATAATGCACTCCACACTTGCGCATAATGCGATCGCTTCTTGCCGCGATGAACATATAAATATCATTAAAGCGATAATAAGACAAATACCCAACTAATTATCCAAGCAGAAGATTTAACTTTTTCCAGATTGAATTATTTGGATATTCGGCGCCAAGACACCTCTCATCCCACGCTCCTCTATGACATAGAATAGAGTGTAAAGAACCTTCGATGTCGCCAATTAAGCCCACGATTGTTAATAGGTAAGAGCAGAAACTCTTTCTTTCTTCCTTCCTTTCGTTGCGCGGATTACGTAATTGTTTGCATACCGGGCCGGGACGGTTTTGCGCAACGTGTCGATCATTATTATATTGTTGTTATTGATTTTGCGTGTGTGCCCACGTCGAAAAGTATTTGTGCAGGAGAGATTATTCGGCTCGATGGTAAATGCCTTTTTATGGTGGCGGTGGTCAACGTTGGTAGATCCGTGTGGGCCGACGGCGCCGTCCGCAATTTCGACCTACAAAATCCACGAAGGTAAAGGAAAGTAAACGATCTACGGAGGATGAAGATAATTTTGATTTTATGAGGTGTCTCGCGTAGGTCAGAGATCCCAAAGTTTCAGGAAAAAAAAAACAACAACAACAACAAAAGTTTGCAAGGATAAACTTGTTGCATTATCTTCAAGAAACTGGAGCACGCTTGCAACTCAAATTGGTGCAGCAAAATGGAAAGAGAAACAAAAGAGAAGTAAAACTAAAGCAGTTTGTCTATTTTTTCATCTTGTTGTTGTTGCTGGGGAAATATTGCAACATCCACCCGATAAAGTCATTAGGAAATAATTTATTCGGTCAATAAATTCCCGTTTAATTCGTGTCTATTTATTGCACGGTCGTATTAATTCTGCAAAATATTGCAATTCAATTTCGCGCAGAATGCTAAATATTTATTGCGGACAACTAGGTCTCTCCACTATATTTATCAGTTACTAAATAACTTGGATTAACCGAGCATTTTCATTTCGAAAGACACTATATTTATGCTGATACTCCGTATCTGCTATTTGGGTTTATGGTTACTAAAACGACACATCTGCTTCATATCAAAATTTTGTTCGCGTTCGAAAATACTTATTAGAAAAATATCTTATTTTAATAATATTTAATTCAAATAAAATTGAAAAATTAAGTTCAAATCTAGTAGATGAATAATTAAGATGAATAGAATTTAAGATTGAAGAAATACTGTAGATCAGCGTTTCTCAACATTTTGTCGTGACAGCTATCATTTCGTGATCGCCTTTGAGAGGTGGTGTGACACGCAATGTACAACCTTTTGAATATGTCTTGTAGAGCATTATTATAATTTTGTAGAAAATGTACAGGAAAGAGGAATGTCTATTTAGTTTGGTTGAGTCAATACGATGTTGATTCAGTTGACGAAGTTGTCTACAAATTTGTTGGGTTTAGAAATTTAGGAATTTATGACCCCTTAAAAAGAGCAACCCATAAGTTGAGAAACGCTGGTGTAGATGACTTTACAATATTCATTTTATAAAATACAGGTATTACCCGACTTATGAACTCCCGAACTTACGAACAAAATTCTAAAAGCTCTAACTTGCTACAAGGATAAAAAAATTAAGTGTCCAAACATAAATTGATATTTTTTTTAATAAAATATAATATATTTGGAAGATTTCTGTTTTATTGTATTTGTTTCTTTTAACGTTTTTTACTAAATAATTGTGATGTCTACATTGAAGAGTATTTGTTAATAAGTATTTTGTTTATTTTAATATATTTTTTCAAATTTATGTAGTCAGTAATAAGGAATAAAAGTAAAAACCACGATAAAGTGTGGTATATTTGGACTTTTTTTTTAATTCCCCCGACTTACGAACAAATTCGACTTACGGACAACTCTTTGGAACGGAACTAGTTTGTAAGTCGACCTGTAGTATGAAGGTTACTTCGAGTTTTCTTTAAAATTTATTATATAAAATTATAATCTGATAATATAAATAATATTTTTATAATATATTATGTAATTTATTCACAAGTAAACTATCATCATAATAACAATGTTTTTTTTATGTTTTAAACCGCCTACAGAACATCAAACCATTTTCAATTATTTTTAATCTGCAATGGAAATAACAAGAAGGCGTATGTTATGAACGTATAAGAAATTAACGTTTTTTTTTTCTCTCCTGCTTTCCAAACCTACATCATTATATAAATAATTTATTGCCATGCATTCCCATAATAACATATCTTTTTTATTGATGTGTTGTCAATAATATTACTTTAATTTCTTTCACACATGTACGTGTTAATACTGTAATATTATATTACGATTTAAAATATAAAAATTGTAACATCGAAAACGGGTTTATCTTACATGAAATCTTCATTTAGAACAGGAAATATTAAAATTAATCGTTTTTTTTTATCAAAAAGGTGAACGAACACTTATTTCTTTTTGGACAAAGAAGCTGGACAAAAGTATTTGAATCATAAAATGAAAATCGTGAACATACTTCATTCCGTATTTGTCTTTATCCGAACAATGAATAATTAAGTGACCATCTGGTTCATATTATTTACTCCGTCGTAGCGTTCCGAGCGTAAGATTTATACGTGTTAAAGGAAAACAACGAATCACGTTGCTGCTTTGAATATTTTTTTGGTCTTCCTTCTTCAACGTACACATTTAGGTCATGCTCATACAAATGTATATAAATGAAAGAAAAATCATTGCCGGATCATTCATTCATTTCTAATCGACTAGTAAATGTTGATGCAGAAGCAAAGATGTTATGTTGATTCAATAAAAATAATGTCCAATAAACTTGTATTGTATTGCATATTAAATGAGTAAAAAGAACCAACGAATAAGTTGGTTTTTTCTCTTATCAAAATTGTTTATTTCTCATATTATTCAGATAAATTTAAAGAAGTAATGCTTTTTTACTTAGTTTAAACCTGATTCAATTCAATTTAACAAAGAACGTAAATATGGTGAATTCAATAATTTGATCTACGTTAATTAGTAAAGCAGTTATAATTATTGACTGAATATTTATTCTTATAAATATGTAATGGATTAAATTTCAATATGTAAGAAAATGGATAACAAAATTTGCTTATTAAAATTCATTGCTAAATAGCAAATGCATGCGTCACTATGTTAGATAAACAAGAAAATTTTTGATCACAAAACAATAATAATACTAATTATAGATCTGATCATAGTTAATTCACGAAACAAACATAAACCAACTATTAATTACTATGTACAGTGGAACCTAACGAGGAAAATGAATTGTAAGCAAAATTACTCGCTTAATGAGCGACGTTTCACATAACGAGAAGAGAAGTCCCGGATTGCGCGCCTTCTACATCATTTTTAAAACTTGTGTACACATATTATGCGTTAAGCGAGGTTCCACTGTATTTGAACGTGAATTACAGCCGAAAGCCACAACAATAATTAAAAACACGTTGCAACTTCCAACTTTCATATACGTCTTTTGGATCAATTCTACCCATTATAGTTTCCGCTTTTTCGAGAGTTTTTCAATTTGAACGCGAATTACAGGCAAATATAATATACATTCCTCAAATATTCTGCTTTCATATTCATCTTTACTTCTTTTTTTAACACTAGATAGATGAAGCCACAGCAATAACTGAATATACGTTGCATTTCTCAAATAACATCCAACATCCAATAAGATCCATATGCATCTTTTGGATTCATTCTATCTATTATAGTTCCCGAGAAAATCAATAAAATGTAAAAACACTGCTTTTCCACAGTAATCTATGAATATCCGCTATATTACCCAAACATCCAGCATTCATATGCATCTTTTAGATCAATTCTATCTATTTAAACGCGAATTTCAGACAAATTGATGAAACCACAGTAATATATGAATATTTACTAAATTCCCCAAATATACAGCTTTCATGTGCATCTTTTGGATCCATTCTATCTGTTATAGTTTCCGACAAAATCAATAAAATGGGAAAACACTGCTTTTCCACAGTAATCAATTCTATCTATTTACAGCCAAATAGATGAAACCAGAGTAATATATGAGAATATCTACTACATTCCACAAATATACAGCTTTTATATGCCTCTTTTGGATCCATTATATCTGTTATAGTTTCAGAGAAAATCAATAAAATGTGGAAATTGCTTTTTCGAGCGTTAACTTTTCAGGTATGATTGTGATGTTTAATTAATTTGAATAAAACTAAACTGTAGCTTATAACATTATTTATTACATTAAATAATTATTAAAATAAATTCACTTTCATATTTCTTTTATAATTAGGTAAATGACATACAAATAAAAAACATTTATCTTCGCTCTAAATGCAATTAGGTGGTTTTTGTGACACGAAACTGAAACAGATCCACCTCGATGTCCACCGATTTCTTCTTGTGGAACTTGTAGGTTGATGGTAAATCATATCTAAGCTGCGCGAGAACTTCACCGGTCGCCCCATGAGATTTAGCAACTTTCAAAACGTGCTCTCTAAAACAGAACACAACAATCAGCAGATGTATTAAAGAAACAAGAAAATCCACCTTGTAGAACTTTTGTGTAAGGAATAGACAGTGTTGTTAGTCAATTTCAAAGCCCGTTCTAAAAATTTCATATCTGTTCCTGCATTGTGTTTAGTACCGAATGGGGGATTCATGACTACCGTGTCAAAGAATCCGTTGAATCTAAAATTTTCATTCGGATTATATAAACGCCAATTGATCGAATAATGTTTTCGTTACACACTTTTCCGGAATCGAATTAACATCGCAATTAATTACATCGACATTTTCAAGTTCCTGTTCTTCCACGTTACATTGTAAAATTTCTAACGCTTCCGGATCAATTTCAAAGCCAATTGCCAATGAGGCCTCAAGAGCAGCAGCACCAATTGTTAAAGCTCCGCAGCCGCAGCCAAGATCAGCGACAACTTTACCTTCAATATCGCCATACTGAGACTAAAATTAAATTTTCAATAGAAGCTTCAATAATTTTTGTTAAACTCTATACTTGTATTGTATGTAACATGTGGGATCCGAGGTGGGGAGGTGTGACATACTGTTCAAGCAAAATCTTTGGTTTCTCAAACCCATCAATATCCTGCAGAAGTTCCTCCAGGTGTCTCAGTTTCATGCATGGCCACATCTTACTTAACATCAAATCTTGGTAAAACGGGAAGTATTATATTCCCAAATGAGGAGTCCTGAGTGATAAAATACCCTGCAGATTGAGAATTAGCTGTCTGCAGAGCAGTGCGTTGCATGGAATTATTATCTGAAGTCGATAAATTGCCTGTGCCCAGAGATGGTAGGGAAGCTGTATTCAGAGTAGACGCAACTCCTTGTTTGAGAAGCAACTGCTTCTTCTGATGCAGCTCCTCAATAATCTTTCTGTTTGCTAATTCTAAAAACAAGAAAAATTAAATTAAATCCATGTAGCATTATATTTACAAAGACACTCACCTCTTTGGGCATTCTGTTGTGGGAAAGCCATTAAGTTTTGTTATAAACAATATCGCACTATGTTATTATTAATTCTGAATACTTTTAGGTTATGTTAGTTTTGACAACTGAACTACCACACTTTCAACAAAAATAAGAGAAAATATGCGTACTATTCTTAAAAATTACTCAATATTATAAGAAAGATTAATCTACAAGTAGTACTTAAATGAAAATAACTGAGTTTACTATAAGTAAAATGAAATTTAGACGCTTTTTGCAGGGATTTAGTTAATTGTTTGAATGTTGGCATCCTTGTACATCCATATTTCAGTGTCAGGATCACAGAGAATAACCTCAATTATTATTTACATGTGTACAGTGTTTTGGTTAAGATGTCTGTGTGGAAAAATGCCCAAAAATCGAACCAGAAGACTCATCGGGAAAGACATCAGCCCGAAGAAAGAAAACACTTAGGGCTTCTGGAAAAGAAGAAAGATTATCTGCTAAGAGCAAAGGATTACAATGAGAAGAAAGCGACTCTGAGGTTGTTGAAGAAAAGGGCCCTCGACAAGAACCCAGATGAGTTCTATCATCATATGATAAATTCCAAAATCGAAGATGGAAAGCATTTTGAGCTTGAGCAAGAAGATGAAGATACCAAGGAACAAGTGAAATTAATGCAGACACAGGATCTCAAATATATCACTTTCAAACGGACACAAGAGCAGAGGAAAATAGATAAGTTACAGTCCCAGCTTCACTTGACCAGTGTCAGTTTACAAGTTCAAAGATCACACAAGGTGTTCCCTAAAAATTTGGAAAGCGAAGAAAAGAAAGAGGAACCAGATTATTTGGCTACAACTTCTCTGCCTGATGTTGATATCAAAGCATTGACATCAGCCACTGAAACTCAAAAGAGACTTTACAGGGAACTCTCGAAGCGTATACAGCGTGAAAAGGAGCTGTCTGTCATTCAGGATAAATTGGAAATGAAACGGCACACATCTAGCAAAGCACATGTTTTGAAACCTAAGTTAATTGAGAGAGGTACAAAAGATACAGCTCCAGTGTGGAAATGGAAGTATGAAAGAAAGAAGTGATTTTCTTTAATAAATGTATTATATATAATAAAGTTTTATTTTTTTTTAATGTATATCATCAATCATAATTGATTCATCCTCTTTAAAGTCTTTTAACAAGACTTTCCCAACCACTTTTAGTAATTCACATCCATCTAATCCCTTGGGCTCAGCAACCTTTACTTTAACATCATCCTTAGTTAAAATATATCCCTTATGTAAATCCCGTGCTGCAACTAAAGTTTTACCCAGCTTCTGATAGCAAGGTAATTCTGATTTTCGTAGTAGCTTTTGAGGCTCTCCTAAAGCAATTTCAAGCATACGTATTTTTGTTACCATTTGCTTGAATTCGTGTGGTTCCAATGAGCAAGCATGATCGGATCCTTTGTAATTATGGTCCAAAGTTAAATGACGCTCAATTACCTGAAAAAACATGAATTAACAGTCTTGAAATTTTAATTAATTATAAAGTAACCTTTGCTCCCATAGCAACAGCAATTGAAGAATACTCTATACCTAATTCATGTCCTGAATACCCAATATTAATATCCTGATATTTTTCTCTATATAAATTAATAACATTCAAATTAATACCGTTTATTGGCGTTGGATACGATGAAATGCAATGCATCAAAACGAAATCTTTGTGCTCACTCTTCACGATATTATAAATACAATCAACAGTCTCCATTGATTGCATTCCTACAATTTTCCATAATATAATTAAGTTCGTTATTTCCCATTTAATTACCTGTAGATATAATTAAAGGGAGGTTCAATTTTGAGGCCGTTTCCAGCATGGGAAAGTTATTTGCATCGCCGGAACCGATCTTGATAAAAGGTACCCGCATCTTTGCCAAGAAAAGCAAAGAAGTCACGTCCATTGCGGACGCGCTAAACACGAGTTCCAATTTATCGGAATAACTTTGCAGCTCGAAGAATTGTTCCTCGGAGAATTCCAAAAATCGCTTGTGATCACCGTACGTTCTCCCCCATGAATTCACATTGGAATATTCGCGATTCAGAGCTGCATCGTTGAATTTCTCGGCTATACAAGTTTTCTGGAATTTCACGCAATCCGCACCACATTCCTAAAGATAACATTAAAAAATTTGTTGAAACACAACTTGCTAAAAGCTTAATGGACACATAATAAATTATGTCCAATATTTCCAAAAATATGTTATTCAATACTTACTTTAGCTACTTTAATTAATTGTTTAGCAATGTTAATATCACCTTGATGATTTTGTCCAATTTCCGCGATAATAAAAGCTCTGTTATCACCGCCGATTGCAACATTTTCCGTGAGTTTTATGGCCTGCGGCATCGTCGTACTTCTCTGAAGAATTCGAACTGAAGAACTAATTTAGGGATGGTAAATTGAAGCGGATGCTACTGACGTCACGTCCGCTGTAAAATAAAGTTGGAGCAGGCGTAGCGGGATAAAATTTAAATTTATTTCATTCATTAAACTCTCGTTTTCTTTTTTTTAACAATCGTTCTATAATATATGTAAATCTACAATTCATACAAATTTTATTTTAATACTGTGTAAACTAAAAGAACAAATGAAAATAGTTTAATGAACATTTAATAAATATTGTATATATCATATACTCTGTGCATTGCAATTAACATTAGATTTTTTTTATTTTTTGATATTATACTCAATTTTTGTTGATAACCTGAAGTGGAATTGAAAGCCCCCATATTAAATAAAAGAAAAAAAAATATATAATAACATTTTGTGTGTGTGTGTTTGTATAGTTTTCAGTTTCCTGAATTACATAAGAATATTATATAAATGCGATTCTCTACTGCTTTCTGTCGGCGGGGCGAATGTATGTCATACCGCCGTGATTGTTCCATTCCTTATCGAATTCTACTTCCAAAATTTCCGCACCTCTTTTTCTAGTCAATCCGGTCTCTGCCAAGGATAGTTCGCACATCTGCATGTCATCCTTACCTAAAAAAGAATATTGGTTTTTACAGATGTTTTCAATTTGAGAGCTATTCGGTTCATCGTAATACCAGCAACTAAAAGCACGGATGGTTTGTCGTTGTACAGTTCCATTTGACGGGCGACGTACTGTCCGTCGAAGTGGGCGAACCACCAGCCCTTCTTGCCCTGATCTTGGCTGGAAGTGATCGTTGGCGGACGGAGGAAAGGTATCTTGAAGTACCTTTGTCCTCCTTCGGAGAGCACAGACTTTTGTTGATCGCGAGGACTCTTCTGCGCCGCGTCCATCACCGATTTCGGCGCTCTCTCGTTTTCGTCCATGGTGGTACGTTTGCGGTTCTTTGCCTTCCACGCGTGGTAAACCTTCAAGCGGCGGTGGAACTCATGTCTGCAAGCCTATCAAAAATACTACATTTAATACCTATGAATTGATGAATTACGTTTAGTGTTTACCTCCAACAGATCAATATCACAAGACGTATTTATAGTATCACGCAATTCCGAATACTTCCACTTGGAAAGGTCATATTTGCCCTTGCTCAGAGCTGCCTGCTGGTTCTTAATGGCATCCGATCTAAACAAATTATAATAGCATCATTTTTTTTAAATGTAAAGACTTTGATGGAATGTTTCAGTAGGTTGGTTTTAATGGGTTTAGTTGGATAGTGAAAAAATTATTGTGTATTAGTCCTTTTAGCACCGACATGCATAACTTGAAATAATTCAGGTTGTACCTTACGAGCTTTTGGGATTGCCGCGTCGGGTCCAGAATCCTTCCGCTGGTTCATGGAAAGAACAACAAGCATTGAGCTGCCACCACAAATATACAATATATACAAATAATATAACGGAATATGCAACAACATGAGCCTGGTTCATATAACAAAATAAGACATCAATAGACGTAACAGAAGCATTGAACATTCGGAATGCAATAACGTTCCAAACTCAAGAGTAAACAGTATTCGAAATATCTGGCAACAGTTAGTAAATACATACTTGCGCGGCAATGGCGGACTGTCCTCTAGTTTTTCGTTGCTCTCCTGCGCCAATCTCAAAGCCAATTCGTGATCCTGCCTCTCCTGTTCCAATTGTTCCTGGTACTTTCTGTTATCCAGAGCCTCTTTCTCCTGCTGGGCATGCAACAGTGCAGCTGCCTTTTTATCTGTGTCCTCCTAAAGTTACCAATCTCAAGTATACTCATTTCTTCGTTACTAATAAATTAAGTACCTGTAATTTCCGTTGCTCTTCCTCCTTCTTACGCCTGCTCTCCATTTCAGCTTTCTTCTTTCTATTTTCCTCCTCCTCGCGTACCTTCATCTCTTCCTCTTCCTTCCTCTTCTTCTCGCGATCCATCTCCTCCTGGATTTTGCGTAACCTTTCCTGCTCCTCGGCGTTCTTCTGTTCCTGCACCTTCTTTTGAAGCGAATTCATTTGACAATTTACTTTTTCCAGTAACTGCTCACATAAACCATCAATGGTGGCTGCACCAATTTTATCATCTCTCTAAATAAATAAATAAATATATAAACCAATTAATATTGATCTATGCACTTTAAATATCTGCAACAACCTTAATCCTGTCAATTGCGCTTTTCACTTCATCATTTAAAGCCCCGATATCCTTCATACTGCTCTCCTTATCTTTCTTCAATTGGGAGCAGATCATCTCCAGCTGCTTTAGTTTAGAGTCTAAACCTTTGATCTTGGTAATGCCTTTGATCCGAGGCGAGTGCTTCTTCTTCGTCAAATAACCTTTAACCGTTTTCTGGATGACGATCAGTGCGTTTCGACGATACTCAATTTTGTTTTTCACTAAAAACAAATAATACCATGTTACTTATAATTGTAATAATTATTTACAAAATAAAGTTACGTTTGATAACAGTCAGAGTAGCGAATTGTGACTTAATCCATCTGGACTTGACCAGGTATTTTTTAACGTTCGATACAACGGATTTAAGATTTTCCGGATCGCTCTTCATGATGCGGTCGAACTCGGAGAATTTCCCGGGTCTGAAGAAGACCCTTGTTATACCGAATCTGTAATCCTTGGGTTTCATTCTCAAACTGTGAAGCATGCACTAAAAAATATTGCATTTAACATAAGCAAAGTCTTAGTTGAGTAAATTATTATAAACCTCGGAAAATATTTTGGGCCTCAACGATCTCAGTTCAGGTGGCAGATATGTTTTGTACATTTCGTAGAGTTCGGCGAACGGCGTTCTGCTTGGATATCCATGTTCCATGAGTTCCAAGACGCTGGTCATTCCGGAACACTTAAGTTGCATCAAATTCAAACCTCCATCGAATTGCTGATCCACCATTTTGTTATTAGGCTTGATGCATCTTATGAAGTTGGTTCCCTAAAATCAAATAGTTCATTAGTCAACAGTTAGCATTAGCTTCGATTACAATTAGTTACATTGTTCTGCAATTTATCCATCAATTCGGATAATTGAGTTTTGAATTTGCTGCCTACGCTGATGAAGCTCAATTTTCCCTTTTGCGTTTCGGCGTTAGCGAAAAGTGACTGAATCAATGAATTGGATGACTCTTGCACTATTCCTTCTAATGAAGCATGCAGTGCGTCATTGTTCTTCTCAATAAAATGTTTCTGAAAAAATATTCAATAGATTTTTTAACTCTAAAACTTATTTCTAGCGTGATTTTACCGTTTGATAGCACACGGCTCCAGCGAAATGTCTGATCAAGAAACCCTCCTCATCGATGATACTTCGGTGGGCTTTCAATCTCGATGATCTGGGGAACGCTAATCGGAAATGATTCTTCCATTGATTATGAACTTCGGAAGTGAAATGTGTGTAGTACGGTTTGGGCAGTTTAGACTCTTCATCTAACAAGTTCAAGATACCCTTGTTTTTGGTTTCAATCAAATCTAGAATATATAGTAATTTAGAAATCGGTTGATTACATTCATTTTTTTTTATAGATTACCGATGCAATCTTGATTATCGACAAATTTAATTTCAGGAACGTTGAGACCTTCTCTCTTGTACAACTCTTGCTCGAATTTAAGGATGGTTTCGTTGAAGAACTGCTGGAACTTTTCGTTGCAGTAATTGATGCAGAACTGCTCGAAACTATTCTCCGCGAAGAATTCTACAATGATATATTATTAGATATAAATTAGATTTTGATTGAAATGAGTGATTTACCGAAGCCAGCTATGTCGAGGACGCCAATGTAATAGCTGGATGCTTGGAACGGAATGCTTTGGTTGATTCTGTTGACAATGTAATCGAAGAGTTTGCTGTACACGGCCTTGGCAAGAGCGTCTCTGGCGTTGCGAGCTTCGTGAATCTTCAAAGGAACCATAATAACGGTACCCTTCATTCCTCCCCTGCTGCTCTGCATGACCCTCGAGACTAAAGCCTGCCTCAGTTCGCTGGAATCTATGCCCAACAATTTCGAGGCAATGACCAAAGCTTTTTCATTGCCATGGGAAACCCTGCATCCGCCTCTGGTGTCTTCCGGATTCTCTTCGAATTCGACATTTCCCAAATGCAGAACTGCAGCAACCATTCCGTATATCTGCATCTTCTCGACATCGTTCAGTCCTAAGCGGCCTAAAGCTTTGTCCAAATCATTGAAATCCTCGACATCGTCTAACAGTGAATCCTTCAGCGGTCCGCTGGACGAATGCGCTTTGCTCTTCTGAATTGCGGACAGTTTCTTTTCAGTTGCAGCGGACGTAAAGTATTTGGTGCAAGAAGACTTCAAGTACTGCAAAAAAAAGAAACTTTTAATTAAGTATAGTAATTTTATACTCGTAAATAATTTACGTTGAAATTGTCCGGTTGCGTGAGCTGCAGACTTTGACGGATGTGCTCCGGGGCTCCGGCCATCAGCATGTAGAAAACGTGATAGCTGCGTTCGTCTGCTGCCGGGCTGCAGATCCTCGACTTCTCCAAGAGATAGTGCGAGATGTGACCTCCCACCACCTGGAATTTGTTGTTGAAGTGAACCTCGATGAACTTTCCGAACCTGGAGCTGTTGTTGTTGCGCGTGGTTTTGGCGTTGCCGAATGCCTCTAGCACCGGATTCGCGTCCAATATCTTCTGCTCGATGGGACCTGAGTCGGCACCCCAGGAATCGCACAGGTAACGAAGCAGGTGCTTCGTGGATTCCGTTTTTCCCGCTCCGGACTCGCCGGAAACGATGATCGATTGCGATTTCTTTAGTACTCGCATATCTCGGAACGCTTTGTCTGCAATGGCGAAGACATGCGGTGGCAATTCACCCAATGATTTCCCTTGATATTTCTTTATTGTCTGCGGTGTATACATGTCCGGAATATCTTTGTAAGGATTTACTGCTATCAGGATATTTGCTACATACGACTGTAATATGAAAAGAAAAACAAATATTATTTAATTTACTTACTTAAGCAATTAAGCCACATTGTATACAACTATTATTAGTAATTATATAAGATGATTATAAATATGGTATTTGAATAATAAATTTATTTGTAAGTCTCCAAATATGTAACTGAATAGATTTTTTAAATCGTGATATTAATAATCCAATCAAATTTATTATAACAACAAAAGAAATATACAGGTCATTAACCTTTCTTAAATAATTATCTAAAAGAATTGAAAACTAAACTGCTTTTATTCTATATAATTTCGAACTTTAGGCTTTGATAACGTCAGTGGTATTTTTAGACTAAAGGGCACGTTTGGCCTTTTGCGTGACGAGACAAATATAAACCTAATTCGCAGAAAGCAATCTCCTCGAAAGAATACTATTTTCAAATCCACGCCCTGCAGAAATACAAATGACCTAATGAGATCGATTCGTGCGACAATACTTACGTAAATTTTATTCTTGTAATATCTTTTTCGCACGTTATTCAATAGCGTGGCCTCGTTTAGGAACATCATTTCACCTGCGAATAAAGTAAGGGAATCGATTAATATGGAAAAAGGTCGATGCGATTAAAAGACGTACAGTTATCATCGTACTCCTTGTTGTGATCGCCGGTTTGGAAGATGTCGTCGTAGGAGCAGACCCTTTTCGGAAATTTGGAGTTCAGAGGGATGATCTCGGCGGCGTCGTCCATGAGCTCGTTGACGTGGCCCAGGATGAAACCCTCCTCCGGGTCTCTGGCCCACACCGTCTCCATCTGCATCAATAATAACACAAATCAAATCAGTATTTGCTTAAAACATATCAAATCATACGGGCGTCCTAGACCTTGGTCACAATCGTACACATTTCCCCATGTTAATTAGCATTAAATTATTGCCGACCAAGGCCAGTCTCTCCGATGTAACTGCCCATGTCCATCCTCCCACACGTATCCCAGACCGACTCAATTGGTGCATTTCGCTTATTATTAAATTGTTTCCAGTAAATAAAAAGCATTTAAAAAACTTTCCGTCCGTCCGAATCGAAGCGCGCAGGGAGAAAAACACAACACGGTCGGATAGAAATAATCATAATAATAAAAATAATCATGTGAATACGTTTGTGGTGGGCAATTATACCCGACCTAAGCATCGTCCTGCAGAAATAGCTAACTGTAAAGTAACAGCTGCATCGCAGTAAGAGCCATTATCATCGCACCTCTTACTGTAAACTCTAACGAGTTAATATATATAAAAAAAAGTAACACTAAAAGACAAATAATAAAAGCAAAAATACTCGTGATTGCTTTGCACTATTCGCGCTGTTGCGATGCCACAGTCAATATTAAATATTAACAAACCGTCGTCAACATAGAACAATTTTATACGTAAACATTGAATAATCTAGAACAATTTTACGATAATTGTTATAATTAATAAATTAGTAATATAATAGGAAATTTGGACTACAAAGTGCAACTTGAAATATCACAGTTAATTTCCATTATAAGCACGTCTGATAACTCAACTTTATTCCCTAATCAATCCATTGTTAAATGTTTCCCCAATAAATAATTTATTAAAATCCATCTGTAAACAGGAAGGATTTTAATCTAATCAAAAATTCATTGAAAATAAATTAGTCTATTGAATCGATATTATGACCTTCATGTCTTTTATTTTTATTTTGATCATTAATTCAACCATTTGCTTCAATTGCATCAACAAAATTTAAATTTCATTAATTTTATTTATGCTGTAAACCTCAATAAGTTCCATGAAAATCCGGAAAGTTCGTGCCGATATTTCGCGATTCAGTGGAATGCTGAAAGTGCATTGCCTGGTGAATAATACGGGTGAACTAATACAACTCTGTCTGACTTCAACAATTTTTGTGGAGTTGTAAAAGAAATATAAAGGCTATTTAGTGACTTTTGTTAGTTAAATTGTGCGAAATTAATATATCTAACGGTTTATGTAAGCAAGCTTCAAAGAAATGCTTGTGAGTGGTTGATTTTGATATTTTTAATATCTCTGATAATTCACGTGTCATGTAGTGTGGGTTAATCTATCAGCTCTAAACTTAAAAAATTACTCTCGTACACTTCTTTTAGCTAAATCAACTTCTCCGTAACCAGAACATTTCTTCGTTATTGCTATAATGGCATTCTTGTCTTTACAGCAATAGAAAAGTATCAAAGTCTAAAATGCACTTTATTTTCTTCCATCTTCAAGGGGGCACTAAATTGACACAAATCATTTTTTTCTTAAGACGGTTGAAATGTCACCTTTCAGAATATATACACTAATATAAATGATTTTTAACAATCCTGATATATTTAGACATCACCAATTGTACTTACCGAAAATCGGCACGAACTTTTCGGATAACCCAGTAAATAACTGATACATTTATAAACTGAGAAACGCTTGATTTTTGTAGTTTTAGTAACATATTTATTTAATCGTAATATATCCAAATAAATTAGAGAACAAATGATTATAAATATGTTTAATGTTTATAACGTATATCAATTTGTTACAGAAATTAATCAATTATTAGTGTAGTTAGGGATAATGTACTGATGATGATTGATACTTTATTTATTTTATATATAAATGTTTATTATTTGACCAGATTACGTTGAGTTCTGCAGCAATTAGAATCGTCTATATTTCCTCTAATAATTCATAAAATAAAGTTAGTTATTATGCAACTAACACAAGAAAACTTTAAACTTTGAGAACTACACTTAATAGAATATTTGAAATTTAAATTTTAAGAATTAATGCTTAGCAATTCTATATACATTTTATCTTATCTATGTATCAGAATAACCGACAGCGAAATTTAATATTTGCAGGTGACACAGTACCAATATTATCTTATAATAATTTTAAAAAAACAAGACAATTAAAAAAATAAGAAAATCAAATATAATTATCGCAGCAAAGTAGAAAAATACATAGAATTAATATAGTATAAAAAAACGAGTAAAAGTTATTATCAGAATAGTCGCTATATAAACATTTATTGTTTAAGAAAATTCTGGTTCAATATATTCAGTTCAATTGTTACAATTATTTAGATTATTTGTCTACTATAAAATGTCCATATTTCCCTGTAACAATAATAACTATAGAGGAAACAAAATAATCGAAAACATAAAGCATTTTGATCCAAAAAATACGTTGATAAAAATACAATCGCAGCTCATTTCTATTTCAGGAAAATTATTAACGATAAGCTAAATGAACTAAGAATGTTATTTCCACATTCACCGAAACCAATTAATCTTATGCGAGAGAGAAAGAAAAAAAATGTTTATTGTAATAAAGCATTCGGGTGTTGTGCATAGACCTAATGACTCATAAATGCCACATTCGCATTTACGTGCAAATAAAAACCAGTTGTGAGCTCGCATTTATATCCGATTGTTTTTCTCCGCAATTTCTTCCAGCCAATAGAAGAAAATTGCTCGCAACGAAATTATTGTAATTTCGTCAGGGAGCAATGTTTAAGTGCGTTCATGCCCATCGCTTTTGTTTCAAAACAAGCATTGTTTTCAGAGAAAACTTACCTTAATCCAGATTAAATATTGTCGCAATCCTTTTTTCCTATTATTAATTGAATCATCAGATTATATGATTCAATGTTTATCTTGTTTAAACCATATGTAATTATATAAATTTTACAAATGATTCGTATGTCCTTGATGTAAAGGAAAGTATAAAACTCTCATCTAGTTTAATGTTAAAGCATGAAGTAAATCTGTGCAAAATTGAGATTTGAGACGAAAGCAATTGGAAAATAACAATTGAACACTTTCTATGCAAAACTGCAATCGATTCGAAATGGAACGAAACAAAACATATTTTATATAACGATGGAAAGATTTTGAAAAAATAATGTCTTTACCTCAGAAAATGATTTATGTAGCGTGGAAGGATTATTTAAACTTGTATTTAGAAAGCAATGAAGTTACTAACCGTAAAATGATGTTCTTTTTAAAAAAACTTCAGTTTTGTGATATTCATCCGAAGAACAGGTCTTTCCGCGCTCATGCCAGTCCACGTTTATATTTGTTTTAATAATGTATTTGGTGATGAGGACGACGATTTTTTTTTCTCTATAGTTGCAATTACTCGCGTATTATGAAATGCTAATGCTTGCGTTTCGAATGTACATAATACCATGGGAAGTAGACTAATGTCATTACTAAAAATATAATGCAAAGGCGTTCATGACACAATTATTATAAAAATCCAGAATCATTTCAATGAAAATTTATACATTTGATTACTGTTTTTTTTAATTTTGAAAGATTTCCTCAAATAATAACTAAAAAAACTAAAATATTTACAAATATCCTGTAAATTTTAATTTGTATTAATTAATTAAGTCCAAGAATCTTTCTTTTATGAATCAAGAACTTACAAAAATAAATCAAGATTTGAGTAATTTTTCTCAATAAGAAAGTATTTTCTTATATCCAAACTATCAGAAATTGAGTTTATTCAATATCATGATCAGTATTTTATAACGAGATAAAAGAAATATATAAATTAATTTTCAATTTTGACCTTTAATGTTGGTTATTTTTTTTTATTGTATTGCATTTATATAATTGTATCCTTGTCGTGCGGAATTCCGCAGAAATCCTTGAGATTCGATGAGTATCTCCACTTTTAAGAACAAATCAAATCAAGAATTGTAAATTAATAAGAGGAAATCGTATTGCCATTGGCTCACGATTCGCCAACGGTTTGTTTATCATCGGATCCGTAATCTTATCAACAGCTGCGATAAGCACACTTTATATTAATACTATTTAAGAATAAAATTGCTTTCCTGTAGGTTTCTATCGAAACCTTTTCGTTTCGTCTAATTTGTTTTTTTTTGTTATTGTTGTTGAAATTCTTCATATTCGCAATTGATGCAAATCTTCAAACACAAAAGACTTTTCATTTCAATTTTAATAGACACTTCCCACGGACTCAGCGAGAGGTACATGCCAACTGAAGAAAGGTTCGTTGCATTATTTAACATTGCAATTTGCATGCGAAATTTTGCTTTGTCTCGCGCATAAGATGGATGGAGCGTTTAATTAGTAATACGCGATTATTTATAATAAACGTGTTCGATTCACTTTCAGACTTCCATTTTAGTTCTCCCCCGCATTATCGCAGCTGATTACAATATTATTTTGGATACTAGCTGTTGCGTAATCTAGTTTATACGGGAAACATATTCAAAAATATGATTATTAATAATCTAATAATATTCATTCAATTCACTTTATATTTTATAATTTTGTACTTTGATTATCAACTTTATCTACTGATTAATTAATTAGTTAACACAAGTATTAAAATTCTAGAAAACTATAGAGATATATAAATAAGTTAATTGAGACAAGCTACAAATCTTAATGTTATCAACATAATTATTTTTTATACAATCTAGATGCATGTGCATTTCTCACAACAATAATAGTAACGAAGTCGTTGCTTCATTTATGTAAACTAGACAATTCGAGTACTTTTGTAGAACCGGAAAATATGTAGAGCATCGTGATTTACATTAGCAACAATTGTAATTATAACGGTTTTTTTTTATTTGTATACGTTTTGCGTTCAAAATTGACATGCTTTATTGAATCTTACCCTAATGCAAACATTCTGCATTGTCTTATCCTTACATGGAAAATAACGTTTTCAACATTCATATTCATGTGACATTTATCGAAGCGATTATATAATGATTATTCTAAAAACATTCAGACTACAACTCTTTTTTCAATCGAAATAAACTCTGTTAAATATTGTATTTTTCTATATTTATTGCAATATGTATTTTAATTTGACACTACACCTCCTAATTTTGTGATGCAGACTATTTCTAATATGAATACAGTTGTAGTTCGACCATCTGATATAATTCTATAAATATTTATTACTAGGCAACGGGTTTATTTGATTTCCTAGAAATACTCTGCTTTGTGTAGAGAGAGGTGAAGAAGGAATTGTGGCTACTGCCTCCGTTCGTAAAGGTTTTTGAGTGATCGAAGAAACGGTTTCGCTCGAGTCTTTGGTATTCTTCATCCGGACGCATCTTCATAGTTCAGTGATCTCGGTGGCCGGCAGCAGGTAACAAACTAACTATCATAGCTCTCGTTTCTCCTTCTGCCGCAACAAAGGGGTATAACAGTATAGCACACGTTTGTGCCACTTTTCCGCCGTTGCACAGAAACGTTCATTACGAAACCAATGATCTTGATTATCGTCTTCCCACAGATTGCGCATTTCGCTGAAATTAATGCTCGTTTTGTTTCCGAATTGAACGCATCAATTACAACGGTTAATTAATTCAGACATTAAGAAAGAAACAAATCGCTCGTAATTTTAATTTCCTACTTCACTTTTGTAGTTTTTACGGCAATGAACACGGAACATTCTTGAACTATATCAATGTTGAATGATTGCTTAAGGAGTTAAGTCGTTAAGCGATTATACGTGTTCATTTATTTGTTCGGCAGATGGCAATAACAATTTCGTTAAGCAACAAGGATATCAATAAATTTACGTCGATTCAACTCTCCAATATTATTTACGGTATTTCAACAGCAGATGCTGCAATTGATGATGACAGGAAGAGCAATAATCTTTCGAAGACAAGTGTACTCAAAATTCCTATACTTCTGACAATTTCAATGTCAATGTGACAACTCGAGTGGTTATATTGATCAAACTTTTTGACGTACGAAAACTAACGATTTAATAAACACTATTATATTACTGCATGGAAATGTAATCTAATGTTCCATTCATTTAGTATCTTATCATTAATTGAATATTGCAATGTAAACATGAAATTGATTAAAATTTTGATACAGATTTTCAAAAAAATGAAAGCTTTATTGGTATATTTAAATGTGTATCATTCATATTTATATCTGCGGTCATAATTGCGTCTCGAGTCGATAATCCGTAGATCCGGTTTGTATCCGGTGGCGCTATTGTTGTCCGAGCCACCCCAACGTCCGGTCGAGCTTCCGGTTTCCATCAAAACTAATGCTATCCGTAGATTTTCAAAAGACCACTCTCACTTGCAAATGACAATTCAAACTCTTACAAAAAAAGAGGACCAACAGATACAACTGATGTTATCTGCAAGAAACAGGTGTAATTTGAATAAATTTGCAATTAAGGTAATCGCTAATAAGGTAATTTAGAATCAAACGTATTAAATGAAATAGTCAACGATTCCTTGATGCTTCAACATACTACTTTTAATTAGACATTAATTTAATTATGTCTTTAAGATATTATTTCATCTCTATGTTATGATTTATAATAATAGTAATCAAATATAATTATAATTTTAACACAATAATCGAGAGTAACAAAGAAGTGTTTACATTGAGTAAATTAGATTTTAGTATAATTATTATATGTATTTAAGCTCATCGCTATCAAGGAAATTATAATTCCCTAAATTATCTACCGAGTTTAACTACCTGGGAAAGATAAAACAATATAATTAGACATTCATATACTTTCTAGAAACATTTAAAATTACTGTTTTTAATTACAAACAAAATTCACACAGTGATGAAATATAATAAATTGATATAATACGTGCATCAAGAAATAAAACAATGTTTTTTTTAATGTTTCATGCTTTTAATACAATTGTCAATATATAGTAATACTTGTAGTAAGTATAGAAATAGCAAATAATAAATCAATAAGTTATGGCCAATAACCTTTGGAATTTGAAACTTAAGCAATTATTAAGTATAAACTTATTTGTTATCAATGATTTTACCGGTTTTGTAACTTGTTTTTTTTGTGTTGGATTTTTAAAATTGAATAAACAACGATTTAAATTTGAAATTTTGAAACATTGTTTTTAATTTACGTGTATATTCTTTTTATCGGTTGCCGGCTGCTCGTTATCAACGGTGTTATGTAAATACGTAGCGCAAATGCTGGAGAACGTATGTTGAACTTGGATTATTACATTTACTATTGACGTCCCTGAACACTTATTACATACACACAGAACAAAGAACAAAAAAAAAATACAATTAAGCAACAAAACTTTCTTGCATAATCTATTATTAAATGCAATGAGTCAACGAGAAAATATTATTAATAGACGGTGTCTGTGTAACATTAACAAACTTTGAATGAAACGTGGACACTGCATATATTTCGTTTAATAATAAACAAAAAATGTTAAACAAAATTTTGCAGAGACTCAGTCGAATATCTTACATAGATTCCAATTAGATTTTATCTGCAAATTATCATTACTTTTGTAGAATAAAACAATATGAGAGAAAAAAATAATAATAGCCGTATCTAGATTAGATACAAAATGTTTGTATGTTTCGTGTTCAATTTTTTTTTTGTAATATATCGATATCAATTAGATATTAAAAGTTATAGGTTTTGAGTTCATGGAATTATTGTAATTTAACTAATTACTTGTTGATTGAATTGTATTTTTCTTTAATGTAATTTCTCTTTATTTAATGTAATTTAAGTAAGTGGATTTGCAGAGCGGAATTATATAGATCTTGGAAGCCGCAAAAGCCGACCAGCAGTAATAATTTGCAGACACATGTGTATTTCCACGTACTGCATTTACATAGCCGAGATTCGCATCTGCGAAGGGAGAATAAATGCTCGGATAATTGGGTTTTAATTGCAGCGAACCGAGATAAGTGTGTTTGTTGCACTTCGTATTTGATTGCCCCGAAGTGAAGATTACGTAAGATCGTTCATCCCTGTTCTCACCGTGTTTTTTTGTTATTATCATTTTTTTTTTGTAATTACAAGTTTCAAGGACTTTCCATTTATCATGGAATAGACATGTACTTTACGAATTTTGATTTTAAAAACGTACACCCACACGATCGCTCACCTTTATTTTGTCTTCCCTGGTCTCGTCGCGGTGGAGAAGAACTTGCCGGTCACCGAAAAAAGAATCTCAACTGAGGAGTTCCAATGGCAGGAACTTTAATGAAAGGAGAAACACGGCTCGAGTCTGCGGATGGATATGCACCTGTTTTTTTTTTGTATGTAACAAATGCTGTGTGCACACATCCAGATGAACTGGCCGGACAACAAACTCGCGCTCGCCGTCGCGGCTCTCAACTAACTCTACTCACCAACAGCTAGTTTGAGCGACACGTAGTGCGCATCCTATCACCTGTGTGTATATCTCAAACGGACAGGTAGATACGGTATATGGAAGGATATACATTTTTTTTTGTAATGCTACGATTCACGTTTGGTTCTCTTTCGGTACCATCTTTTGCTTATTACTAAAACATCTGCAATATTTAGTAAATCATATATTTACACTCTGGCCGTTCGAGCAAACTCCACAAGGATTATTATACTTCATGATCATCGTAATAATTGGATCATAAGTTTGCTTGGTTGCCTAATGAAAGTTTTTTTCACTGGAAAAAATGTTATCGCTTCGTAACCAGTTCTTGTGTCTACCAAAACTAGACGTATGCAATTATATACAGGTTGTATTAAATACTTAAGAGCTCGTTTCTTCGTTTACCTATTATTATACCAAGGACGAATGTCTGGAATATACATCATTTAAATACTTATTTTTAAACATATTTGATATTTGTAACATAATGATGAATAATTCAATGATGTCAAGTTTTGTGGTGTGGAATTTACCAATCAATAAGTGTAAACAGAACTATAGTATGAACAAAATTGTGTATTTTGAAATAACATAAAATATAATTCGAAAAATATTAACTTTTCTTTAAAATTATTACATAATACGAAATTAGGATTTTTAACGATCATACTGCACTAAATATATGTAAATATAGATAACTGAGAGTTAAGAACGTTATTTTTGTTTCGATATGCCACTTAAAATATCAAATTTATATAATACGAGTTCATCTTGTATCTTATATTTATCTCGTATTTTCGTATAATTATTTCTAGTTGAAAACTATACTTATTCGTGTAATAATATAATTATTATATAAGACAAAATATAGGTAGTTTTTGTCTTATGCTGCAATAATACTGGATAATGTCTATATAGGTTATGCATCACAATTCACAAGTAAATATAGTTTATTATTTTTGCATGTTTTTCTTATAAGTGGTACTTTTTGTATACTATTATAGGTTCTTACTTTCATTTCCTTTTGTATTCAAATTAGTAACCTAAAGATTGCTACTGATAAATGCAGTATAAAAAAAAATGAAATACTCTTTGTTTTATTTAAGTACTTGAAAACAATACTGTTAACGGTTTATAATGCAGCTATAAGGTATGAATAATTAGAGGCGCTTTGGGGAATTCAATTGTTCCTTGACTAAAACCGTTACGTTTTTGCATCATGTATATATTGTTTTCTATTAATTCTACAATTTGTTGTTAGTTACCAAATGCTGAGATACAGGATTAACGAACTCATCTTCATTTGTTTATATTGTTCGTCTTCACATTTTAGTCACTTTGATTACATATGATTTGCACATCTTTAATATTGTATTATCGCTTGGACGATTAAGTAAGATAGATATGAACTATACTTTACTATAGTTGTAAATTAATGTATTTATTTACAAGTATATATATTTTTTTTTGGTTTCTTCTTATTTACAGTTTAACTAAAATTAAACATTTAGATGATTGATCATGTGTGCTTTGTTCCTCTGTTTATTGCCTGTAAAAAAATAACAACAACCTCGAAAGAGTGATTTGATGTGTGTGTTTATGTGTGTCCATGAAGTATGTATATGAAAATACTTTGGTCCGAAGGACATGCTTATCTAAAATATACTTAGATACTTGTTGCCGGTAGGAAAGGGGATGAATAGTGTTTGAGTATTTATTCTTCATTCGCTCGCCGGAAACGTAAACAAAATAAATAAATAAGTTGCATTCACCCGCACCGTTCATTCGTAACAGAATTATCATCAATTCGGGAGTTTCATTTCCAAAAAAAAAAAATAAGAAAAAATTCTCCCAAATTAGTTTTGCTTCGGATGTTGCGTGGGCGGAGGATGGTGTGTCTTGAAACACTGCAGCAGGAATGCTGTATAGGTGACGAAGGCGATGCCGATTGCCAGAAGGGCGTACATGAAAATGTTTAGTTCCGGCTGCCGGTAACGGTTCTTGCGTAACCATTCCAGCACGTCCTTCTCTGATTTGAGATCACCTCTGTATATGCTCGGAAACCGTCGACGGAAGTACACAATTGAAGGCAGATGAGTGACACCCCATTTCCTGGCGTACCGAGCGTCCGCCATTTTCACGAACGTTATATCGAAATTGTCGGTCTCGCTGTCGATGTTCTCCAATTTCTCCAGAATCACCTTGCTCTCCTCCGAATGCACTTCATCTGCGAAAACAAAGAAACCCAAATTAAGATTCGTCGTTGAAAAACGTACGGGAGGACACGCACAGAAAAACACCGTGACGAATTCGTTCTCCTCCAGGAGTTTCTCCAGCATTTTCTTGTTGACCTCTTCTATTTCGTTTTTGATCTCAAAAACATCTTGCGAAGTGAGCCATCCAAGAATCTTTTCCGCCTGCGTGAGGTCGCCATCGTAAACCATCGGAGTCTTTTTCCTGAAGTACATCAGAGCAGGCAGAGTGTGCAATCCTTGCTCAGCGGCAGCATCGGCGCTGCAGATTTTAACGAAATCTATGCCAAACAGATCGGCTTCACCATCGATTTCTTCCAGCTGCTCCAGAATTTCTTCGCATTCCGGACAATCATCATCATCTGCAATTCAACAATTATAATAACGTGATCGGTAAACCCATAACAAAATAGCCTTACAGAAGAAAACAGCTAAGAACGGCGATTCGTTCAGCAATCTTCCGAGCATCCTCTCATTGACAGATTCAATCTCGTCAGCCAATTCTCGGTTATCATCATCTATTAACCACTCCAGCAAAGATTCCTCGTTCTGCAGATCTCCTTCGAACAGTAAAGGATTACCATTTCTAAAGTACACCAAAGCCGGGAACGTTTTTATGCTGTATCTCTTCGCCAATTGCGGATCTTGAATTTTCACTAAATGGATTCCGTAGACATCGCATTCATCGTCAACGTTTTCCAAGTCCTCGAGTATTTCCTCGCAAATATGGCAATTCTGCTTGTAGAAATACACAGCCAAGTATTGAGTATCCTCAACCAAATTCTCCAACATCACTCGCGTGATCAACTCAATCCGATCCTCGGTTCTCTGTTGAATCAACCACTGCAGAACCTCCTCTTCCTCAACAATATCTCCTTCAAAGATTCCACCTACGCCATTCTCAAAGTACATCAGCTGAGGCATGTCGGTGGTACCAAATCGTTCGGCAACTTTAACGTCATACGTTTTCACGAATGTGATGCCGTGCCTCTCGCAATCGTCGTCAATATTTTCGAGTTCTTCCAAAATTTTGGTACATTGCTCGCAATCTTCAGTATCTAAAATTGGTTTGAATTGATAATGATTAGTAATGAATTGTATACATTCACAAAGGGTCTTCGACCAAAGCACAGTTAGCTAAGACTACTACAGCAATCAAAAGTAAAAAAACCAATTATTTACGGGGTGTTAATTTTCATAATTTCGTTATACCGTTCGTTCCTGATTCTTCTGTAGAGATTGCGTGATGTTTATGGACCTTTTTGTTGTTATGTTGATTGTCGCACATATCACAAAGTGTCTTGTTCCCTGTACATATAGATTTTAGAGCCTGTTAGTGCATAAGCAGTTTACGACATCGAGATATGTTTGTTGTTGATTGTATTGAAGTTGATCATGTTGTTGTTGTGTAACCGATGACATGTAATGTACTCACAGAAATAGACTGCCAGGGCTTCCTCCTCCTCGATCATGTTCAGAAGATCGCTTCCACCTGTCGCCTCGATAATTTCTCCTGCGGGATCCTTTTGGGTCAACAGCCATTGCAGAATCTGTTGCTCATCATATAAATCACCGGCGTAGATGACAGGTTCTTTTGATCCGGTCTTGAAGAAGAGAATGGCTGGCAAAGCAAACACTCCGTACTGCTTGGCCAAGTTCTTATCATCGATTTTAACGAAGTTGATCCCAGCTGAGTCAGCCTCATCGTCTATATGCTCCACCTCTGCTAGAACTCTTGGACATTGCTTACATTCGGCGCTATCTAAAATAATAAAATTTATTAAGTACAAGCAAGTAAATCGAAATAAAAGCAACATACAAAGAAACACTGCAACGTAATCGGAGCTCTTCTTGATCTTCTCGAACATCTTCCTATTAACCTTTTCAATGTGATCGGTAAGTTCCATATTCTCTGGATCCGTTAACCAGTCCAAAACTTCCTCTTCGTCATCGATGTCACCATCGTAGTTGATCATTTTTCCTTTACGGAAATAGCTGATACCTGGTGGATTCCTGAAGCCATATTTCTTTGCCATCAGCAGATCCTTAACTTTGACAATTTTGATTCCGTATTCGGCGGCTTCGTCGTCTATCAGCTCAATGTGTCTCAAGATTCTTGGACTGTCTGTGTCCTCTTCGTTGTCTTAAAACAGCTGTGAGAACAATTTGCAAACATATTGAAAATCGCTGAACTTACAGAAGATCACGGCCAGGAATTCCTTAGTTTCAATGTACTTGAAAAGTGTATCACGAGTGATTTCCTGGATGCTGGCATCATTCTTTTGATCCATCATCCATTCTAGTACTTCGCTCTCGTCCAGAAGATTACCTAAATGTTTTTAGTTATTCATACGACATGTTCTATTGAGTCTGATAAGAGAGGCTCAGTAGTTTTGGAATGGCTCGTCGACAGAAAATAATAAGATTATAGAATAGAAAAACAATTTATTGGATAACAAAGTTTACATGTTGTTTTTATGCTTTCTCTTTCTTAAGACACTTTGCACGGCGCGGCAGTGAATTGCGATTTCTTTGGTGTTATCAACAAATTGCCCCCCACTTAGAATTCAATTGAAACATCGATTATATACACGTAGAGGATTTCTTTGGTAGGTATAGGTTTTATGTTGCAATTGTATTCGCGGTGGTTTATATCATGCAGCTAACTAAAATAACATGCCTAAACTTAACAAATAACAATTCTTTTAAAAATATCTTAACAGTAGGTTAAAAAGACAATTTTTTATAATTCAAAAAAGAAAAGAAATAATAATAAATAATAATATTATGAAATAGAAATTATAAGTATTGATGAAATGAAATTAAAGAAAGTAAAAATGAAAATGTAAAGGAAAACGGCTCACTCGAAAAGCTTCAGATAAGAGCAGATTAACAAGAATAATTTTGATCTCCGAGATCACATCATCGAAGGCATCATTTGGCTTCACCATGGAAAACATGTTTTTTGATTTATTAGAATTAGTGCTTACCACCACCATATATATTTACCAGTCCCGAAGAAGCCCTTCTTGCCTTTATCCTTTTTGGCAATGGCCATGTCTTTGCCTTTCTGTTTCGACGGAGGCGGAGGCTGTTTGACTACTTTGGCATCTTTGCGAACGGTTTGCATTGGCTTCGGACTTACTACTTGCTTCGTCGGTTGGTTCAATTTGGCCACCTTCGTCCCTTTACTCGGTTTGCTCGGACAGCATTGGTACGGCTGGTAGGACGCAGATTTCGGAAGTTGATTCTTCCCGCCTAACCCGACGTAGAAACAACCATCGCCTGCATCAGGAAACATAATGTCAGATTCATCACTCGCAACAGAATATTCAGAGAGATATTATATTATTATGATATTTTAATTTCATTGGTTTTAGCAGTTAGTAGAAAGAAATTAGACGTAAACAAAAGGAGTGAGTCTGACACTATGCCCTGCATGCAGCATGGGAAGGAAACATGCACAGACAAGGGACGCCCACTCCAGCAGCGTCTACTTCGTCCACAGGTCCATCTAAGGGTCACTACCGCCGTTACCTGACGGCTTCTTTCCTTTCACCAGATGATCAACAACATCCTCATCGTCATCGTCGTCGTCATCATTACTGTTGTCTTCATCGTCATCATCATCATCATCCTCGTCACTATTGTCTTCATCGTCATCATCATCATCGTCGTCACTATCGTCTTCATCGTCATCATCATTACCACTATCATCATCATCCTCATCACTATCATTGTCGTCGTCGTCGTCGTTGTCACTGTCATCGTCATTACTGTCGTCATCACCTAAGACATCAAGGCAACATGCATCCCCCATGCAAACAACCACACCAAAAAAATCCCAGTTTTCCTTTTTCTTTGATAATAGACATTGTACCAATTTAAGCAAAGCACGCGCATCCTCGTTTTGTTTTAATATTAAAGTCACCAACATTTAACAGATAGATAGAGAGAGAATAGACCCGGTCAAGATATTTTTAAAAAAAGAAAACCCAAAAACAAATCAAATATAGTCTTACTTTTCTGTTCAACAAGCCATTCCAGAACTTTCTCCTCTTTTTTGAGGTTACCTATAAAATAAGAGTGATTTTTTTCAATTTCACAACCCTACAATATTGTGCACATGATATGAATGAATTGATGAGAAAGATCAAGTAACCTTTCGTTTCCTTGTTAGTCAATGTTATCTTAAAACTTTCTTACCATCGTACATAATGGGAACACCGGTTTCGTAGTAAACCAGTGCCGGAAAACTGAAAATGCCAATTTCCGAAGCCAGTTTAGAATCTTTGCTCTTCACAAACTGAATTCCGTGTTTGTCGGTATCATCGTCGATGGTTTCGAGCTCGTCCAAAATATCATCGCACTGTTCGCAATCGTCCGAATAGAAGAACACGGCGAGATGCTCGACATCATTGATCAAAACCTAAATGCTGATCGTTAATAAATACACTTAATATATGTTAACTAGTATAAAAATTGACCTGCAACGTTTTTCTATCGACATTCTCAATTACATCTGGAGCAGAGTCATGCAAATCCAAAACCCATTCCAAAATTGCCTCTTCGTGCATTAAATCACCGGTGTAAATATCCCTGAATCTGTGCCTGTAGAAAGCCAATGCTGGTAAACTGGGCAAATCATATTCCTTATCGATTCCATCATCGGAAGTTTTTACGAAATCAATATCCTTCTCCTCGCACTCATCATCGATATTCTCCAGTTCTTGCAAAATCTTTTGAGACTTCTTATCGCCTTCTTTATCTGCAATTCAATTCAATTGAAATATACAAATACACAACTTATTACCAGTAACTTACAGAAGAAAACAACAACGTGATCATTCTCCACCAAAAGTTTATCCAACATTTTGCTGTTAACTTCCTCGATACGATCTGGGATTTCTAAGGTGTCTTCGTCAGTTAACCAAGCCAAAACTTCATCCTCGTCTTCAATATCGCCAGAATAAATCAAAGGTTCCTTATTCCTGAAGAACACCAGTTTAGGGAATCCCTTGATGCCGTACTTCTTTGCCAGAGACAGGTCTTCGGTGGTCACAAAGATGATACCAGTTTCATCAAGCTCATCATCAATGTTCTCGAGTTCATCCAAAATGTTATCGCACTCTTCGCCTTCCTCGCATTTGCCGCTGAAATAAACAACAACGTATTCGTGTTCCTCGATCAAATCCTCGAGAATCTCATCGGTGACTTCTTCAATTGTTGCGGAATTCTTCTGTTCAATCAACCATTGGAGAACTTCGTCTTCGTTCATCAGATCGCCTTCGTACAACGATGGAATTTTGTTCTCGAAGTAGATCAACGTTGGCAAATGATCGATTCCGAATTCTTTGGCTTCGGCGTCGTTGTCGATACGCACAATAACGATGCCTTCCTTTTCGAGTTCATCGTCAATGTTTTCCATTTCATTCAAAACGCGAATGTCCTGTTTGTCATCCTTGTCGTCTGAATAAATATGGATTGGTTATAAAGTGAATTCGAAATGTTACGTTAAACTTACAGAACAGAACGGCAAGATATTCGGTGCCTTCAATGAGACGATCCATCATTTCGTCGGTGATGTCTGGAATTTCGGAGTGTCTTTTCTGGTGAAGCAACCAACCCAGAAGCTCTTCCTCCTTAGTTAAATCACCTTCGTAGAGGTGAGGAATTTTCTTTTCGAAGAACACCAAAGTGGGAATGGTGTCGATTCCGTACTCTTTGGCCTCATTGTCGTCATCGATTTTAACGAAGGCAATGTCGTTCTGATCACACTCATCGTCGATGTTCTCTAATTCATGCAAGACCTTCTGGCTCTTCTTTTGGTCTTTATCGTCTGAAAATGAATACGTAAATGAATATTTACAAGGTAAATGCAATTAGATTTAAGTGGCTTACAGAAGAGGACAGCAACATAATGCGTTTTTTCGAGGATGATGTCCAACATCTCGTCATTGATGTCTTCGATCTCGTCGCTCTTGATTTGATGCTCGAACCATTTAAGGACCTTCTCCTCCTCTTCCAAATTGCCTTCGTAGAGGGTTGGAATGCCTTTCTCGAAGTAAACAAGCGAAGGAATCTTTTCGATTCCGTATTCCTTGGCCTCGTCATCGTTGTCGATCTTCACGAAAACGATGCCGAGTTTGTCGCATTCGTCATCGATATTTTCTAACTCGTTGAGGACGCGCTGTGACTTTCTATCCTCGTTATCATCTGCAAAAACAACAAGATTTAGAAATAATACCCAACATGACGGAACGGTTTTAATTACAGAATAGAACAGCGACGTTTTTCCCATCGTTGATGAGTTTGTCGAGCATTTCGTCAGTAACGTCCTCGATTTCGTCTTTCTCGAGTTGCTGCACCAGCCATTCGAAGAACTCCTCTTCCTGCTCCAGGTCACCATCGTACACGTTAGGAATACCCCTTTCAAAGTAAACCACTGCTGGTAAATTGTCGATTCCGTAGTCATCAGATGCACCTTCGTCGTCGATCTTGACAAATTGAATTCCGTGCTTGTCGCAATCATCATCAATCTTTTCGAGTTCTTCTAACACGGCCATAGAATCTTCGTCACCGTGATCATCTACAAATTAAATTTTCAATTGCGAACGAATTCTTGAAATGGAAACTAAGACTTACAGAAAAGTACGACTAAGTTATCGACGCTATCGATGAGAGTGGAGAGAGTTTTGGAGGTGACGTCTTCGATGATGTCTTCATCATCTCCAGTGCTTTTGTGCTGGACCAACCATTCCAAAACATCTTCTTCCCTTGTCAGCTCACCTACAAAAATTACCCGAATTTTTAAATATTATTAATTGCACTCGTTAAAGTCTCACCTTCGTAGATGATGGGCGTTTGATGTCTATAGTAGACAAGGGCTGGAAGTTGACCAAGATTGTACTCCTCTGCAAGATTTTCGTCATTGATTTTGACAAATCCAATACCCAGCTGGTCGGCCTCATCGTCGATGTTCTCCAACTCTTGCAACACCTTGGAGCATTTTTTGCACTCTGGTTTATCTAAATGATGCACAATACGAATTAGCAAAGAAACCCTGGCCTATGGGGGTTCATTCCACGTTTGATTTTTTTTGTAGATATTAAATATGTTGGTTTCTTTATTATTAATTGCTATTAAGACGCGCGCTGCGAATAGTTTGGCAGCGCATCTCGTTTAATGCAGATCTACGGTTCGATTTACGATGGTGTAATTTTAGAGCGTCGACATTTTAAGAATAGATTTTATTATTAAGTCTTCATTTCAAGTCTCAAAGTGCTCGGTGTCATGCAAAAAGACAGCAAAAAAAAATATGATATGAAAATAAAAAATAAGTCAGAAAGGGGTGGGGCGAAAACAATTGATGAAATGAGGGCGTGATAATTAATTTGCGGAGGGGAGGACCACCAACCAAGAAACAAAAACAACAAAAAAATCATTAAACTATTATCCTACAGAATTGGAATTTATTAGACGCTGATGAATATGACGATTGAAAGAAAAAAACACAGTTATTGGGGGTGTACGTTCTGCTGCTGACGCATGCTTGGTGCCTGTTCAAAACGCGACACATGACGTTAGGGCGTACCCAGGGGCGGAGCGACGCGCATTGCGCACGCGTAATTGCTAATTATGCAACGTTAGAACCGCCCCCGAATTAATCGCCCTGACATATGTCACAGCACAACATGGCAGCTACTTACTTACTCCCCCGCGTGTACAAGTATTCGAGTCCGGACCTGAAACATGCCCACACCACACGACATTCCTTATAAAAATTAACACATAATTAATCTATAATTAATAACCATTCGTTTCCCAAATAAAAAAAACAATACCCACCGACGATAACAGTTATTCACAAATATTATTACGTAAAAAGCGTAATTTTTCCTCTCCTCTCTTCATTTTATTTCCAACCCAACTTTGTTTACATTACAGCGGCCCAAACGAAAAAAGAAAATACGACAGAGAGAGAGAAAAAAAAGGCCGAAATTTAATTTTATGTGCTAGCAAATAAACAATGGCCTGAATCTTGAATATTTTTAGACCGCGATGGGGGCTACAATATAATTTATCACTTACAGAATAAGACGGCAACATAGTCCGTTTCTTCAACGATCTTATCCAAGATTCTGGCGTTCACTTCTTCTATCCTGTCAGGAAGATCCATAGCCTCTAGACTTGTCAAGAAGTCCAGGACATTCTCCTCGTCCATCAAGTCACCTGCAATCATAAACCATACATTAAATCTACTTGTTGCAAACCTCTAAACGACATTCAATACATTGCGAATATTTTTATCGTAAATGCACGAATAGATTGTTGCTGTCCAAAGAAAACCTAACGGCAATTTAACTATATTTATATACATTTTTTTTGTTGCTCGGGCATCTCGGATCATATGAGATGAGTAGAGCTTCGGAAAATGTGTTTAAAAATAGCCGTTCACTAAAATGCTCTCTCTCTTGGTGTGTGTGTGTGTGCCCCGCTGCGCGGCTTAGAATAGCAGCGTTTTATTGTGTTAGGCGATTTGGGCATTTGCGGCAGACATTCAGAAATAGATGGTACTTCAATTAATCCTTCGAAAGATTCCTTCGAATTTCCGGACACGGATACGTCGATCTCAGCTGAAGGACTTTTTGTTTGACTTTGCGAAACGAGCAGGAAGAAAGAGCGACAGTGTTGCTCAATTCACGGTCCCGTGTCCCCGCGTTTATTTTACATATATTCTAATTTAATATAGGTCACACCGAATGAATCCACCTTGGGCCCAAATCGGAAAAAGAAAAATATTCCTGAAATCTGTGTCAGTCAACTTCCATTCCCACAGAAATAGATTCCGTCTTACATTTGTCCACTATTTTTAATATCGCTTCGATTACAAATATTATCCTAATTTTCATCCAACAAGCGTCAAGTTCTTCCACTAATTGCTCAACATTTATTTCAGATTTACCATAATTTTAAAAAAATATATAAATATAAAGAAATATTAAAATTCTGATATTATAAACTAATATTCATATTATAATTACTAATAAGTGGTGATAACAGAAAATTACAATCATGTTTTTGTTTTGCCTAAATATGCAATATTACTTTAATGTAATTGGAAACGTGCTTCGTTGTTATGAGATAAAAAAAAATGTTGTGTTCAAGAATGCATCTGGACTAGGCAGAATTGTGCCAAGTGTATAGCTTGTAATACATGCAGATTCGTTCCAAAATACACTTAATTGAACTGTTTAAATTTGGAGCCAAAAAAATAGGGGAAAAAAAGAAAGAGAAGACAGATGAGTTCACCTTCGTAGATGATCGGCTGCTTCTCCCTGAAGTAGGTGAGGGCAGGGAAGGTCTTGATGCCATACTGCTTCGCCAATCGTTTGTCGTTGATCTTCACGAAGTCCACCCCAAAGGAGTCTGTGTCGTCGTCGATTTGCTCCAGCTCCTGCAGAACTCGATCGCATGTGGTACAGCTGCGAGCGTCTGAAACATCAAACAACAGAGATGAACACGTAAACAATTGCAACCGGTTACGTAAATAGTTATTGATTCGAAAAGAAGCATCCGAGTGAGAATGCTCGTAAACGACTACATAAATCCGACGATTTATGCGGCTCAACGTGTAAATAATACTGGCGTGCACGAAGATCAGTAACAATTATAGCTTATTTTTAGGCACTGCAATCAACAGATTCTCCTCTATCTAGTTTTTTTTTCTATGTATTATTTTTTTTATATATATATTTGATTCGAAGTGCGGATAAATCAAAGTAGAAAAAATCGACAGGGTCGAATACGTAACTGATTTTGGCAAGTGCACAGAGCTGCCGATTAATGGATTTGCACTCAATAAATTTGGTGCCTGGTTTACGTTACGATCCGTCTTGTTTATGCAAATCGTTAATTCAAACTATACCACCAATAAATACATAATTTCATGTTCATAATTTATATACAATGTTTACAAAATTTTAATTAAAATCATGTAGAAAATATTCAAATTTATTGCTCCGCTTGATTTGAAATTCATAATATACAGCTAGTATTAATTAGTATATAGGATTGTTGCAAATTTATTAAGTTTTCAAGATGTTATTCTATGCAAATAAACTATTGAATTACATTAGTGCAATTAATGAAAAGGATCCATTCACGATTTAAGTGGCGTCATTGCGTAACGCGACTGAAACATTTACATCGTGTGAAAATAGTTTTCAGATGTTGGGACTGAAATTATAAATCGCCTCTCTGAAAATAGCGAATGGTGCGAAATAAAAATGGCGCAGAGAGAAATAAAAGAGATGGAAATTGTAGAACCTGTGAGTTAGAGAAGGACAGATAATGAGAGTAGCTGAAACATATAGAGAGAATGTCGGTGAGAATTGAAAGGATTATCCTAACCACAGTTTTGTCAACCACCGGCCAATCTAAAATTAACTATTTGAACATAAACATAATACGTTTCATTATTTTTACAAGATGATACTAGTCGTTTTTTTTTTACTTCCACAGATGTATTTTAAACTTTATTACTCTCTGCTGTATCAGTGATATTTGCACATTACTCATGCATTTTGTTTGCATTCATATTGAATTCAACTTAAAAATATTTAGTTTACTTATAAATTGGGCATTTTACAAGATTGATACTAATAAACTATTTTAAATAAATGTATGTTTGATAAAAAAAAATGAATGTTTTATTTATTATAAAACCTGAAACAGTTAACATTAATAAAATATTATTGTATTTTCTTTTTATTATTCTAATAATAACATCACACTTATTAGTAGGTAGGAAATAGTCAATAGTATAGATTTTGAGAATGGAAAACCAACAGAATATAACTTGACTATATTCACTCAATTGTGTTCGAAGCGGCGCTCAGTTTTTCCTATAAAACTAAGGTCATTAGTGGATTCGATCAAAATGAAAATAGTTTTATGTAAACTGAGCATCAATCAGGTCAACGAACTTGTAATGTTAATTATAGCACTTCAAGTTCGCATACTCTGAATACATTATATAAAAATAACCGAGCATCTAATAAATCTCATACAATTCAACTATTTCCAATGTTTTACTGAATGTTCCAAAATTTAGTCATATTATTTTTTTTTGCAAAAAAAAATATATTTGATTACATTTTTTATTATACTCAAGTGATAGATAAGTATTCAATACTGCAAACTTCTAAATTATTTTTATTTTAAGTTATTTTTAATGAAGATTACTATTAGATTAAATTTAATTGAACTATGTAAGTCTTATTGTTGACTGTTGTAATATAAATGTTATTTTAGTTCTTAAAATAACATATAAAATCGTATTTAGATAACTGCACATTTCAAATGCTATTTATAGAATTATTTATACAGCAACTAATTCAAGAAAAAAAACATATTATGGGTTAAATCATAATAATATTTATATTTTTTTAATAGAAGAATTGCATCAAGGCTTTTAGTAAATACTAAATTAATCATTTTAATATTAGGAGATAAATAATGAAATTATACATGTAATGCACGGTTATTTGATAAATTATTTCTAAAGGGATGGTCTGAATCTCGTTTGGAATTTCATTAAGGCTCCGCAAAAAGGGTCAGTTGCTGTTAAAACGGTCGACAATATTGAATTTCGGAGCATGCATTAATACGATTATAGTCCAAACATTGCTTGCTTTTCATCTGAAATAACTTCATATCTTTCATTTTGCTAAACTTATAGATGAAACAAAATAGTACTTTTTTTTTCATTATCACAATTTTAATTTAAATAGTTTGATTATACAAGAAAATATTTGATACATTTGATAATACAACTATCCATTATTTTAAGTATGATACAACTATTGTTGTATTATAGCTTTTTGCAACAAATTTTACAATTATTTTATATATTATTTTTAAATGTTTAGTTCAGTTTTAATTTGAAAAAATAATTTTTTTGATTTTTCAATTGTATTCAAATCACGTTTTTTTTACTTAGGTCTAAAGTAAATTTGACAAATATGTAAAAGATGAGCTTTCAAAGTTCTTTTAAGTTTTTGAAAGATCTTGAACAAGGTTCAATTGTTTTTTTTTTATTCTGAAGACTTTTCAAGCAACAGTCAAGTTAATTCATGAAAACAACTTGTAATACTGGTATAAACTCTGATGTAGGAGTTTGAAGGAGATCGAATTACTTTTTATCTTTCCAATGGGAGGTTCTTTTGGCATTCATTGTTTGAGTATATTTAGTCTTGTTTCGAGAATGTTAGTTTTCGTTTCTCGGTTTTCAGGGGTTTCGCCATTGTGTGTATGTTGATGAAATATTTTGGTCTTGGGTGCTTTAGAAATACATTCGCTGTTACGTCAATATTCATGCGTGAGTGTTGGCGTGTGTGTGTGTGTATGCACGTGGATAGATGGGTTGTAGTAGGTGGTGGTGGTATTATTTGTGAAAGAAGATACGAGCGAGCCGTGGAGTTCCGCGAGGTTCTAAAGGTACGCTCGTCGCGGCCGTTTCGAACACTCTCTCGCACACATGCAAATATACATACACAAATACACACACACACACATATATACACGCACACATAGACACACACTGGTGGTCGCGCCAAATCGGGATATGGCATCCACAGACCAGGTCCAACTCACAGACTCCCAAAGCGATAGAACAACCGCGTCTAGTGTTACGCGCCCCGGGAGTTGAAACGATGCGGATGCTTTACTCTTGTACTTACACCAGAACACGGCCACATAGTCTTTCTCGGCTAGAACGCGCTCCAGCTGCTTGGCCGTGACCTCCTCGATGACGGGATCTTGATGGGTTGTCGGGCCACGTTTGGCCGTCACCACTGCCACGAGTAGAAGCCACCACCACATGCTGCAGTCCACTACTGAGATCTTGGACGCCGAACGTCGCGACGCTATCCCTCTCCCACCACCACCACCACCGTCGCAGCAGCAAACCGTAGGCTCAACGACGCCCCGGATAAAAAACACTCATCTACAGATTGCTCCCACATCCTACACGACAACATAACTCACATACACGCATCCCAGGCATTCGTCCAACACCATTGAAACGTCCAAACTTCCAACCTTTCCTTCAAGTACATCATCGCTTTCACTAAGTTATTGAGCTATGTTGAAACAAATTCAATACGTTGAAACAATGACTATAGTATTTTGATACAATTTGATGATGTTGCAATATTCAAAATAGACAACGTTATAGATGACAAAATTATCAATGTTTCAACAAAGTTACATTGACATATATAGTATAGTAGATAAATTAATAGTTTTTTTGGACTTCCATAAAGTGAGTTACAAAGTCAATAATTATATTTGGACACCTTTAAATATTTCATAATTATTCATAAGTATTTTGAACAACGACTGATTATCTCAGATGACAGTTATCACGTTGAAGAAAGTTCATTAGAAATAATTATTTTAGAATATTTATCTTAAGATAACTTTTTTTTAAACTACTGAAGAATAGTATTGATTATCTATTCGATAAATGTTGTGTTGACAATGTGTGTTCAGTCGTTATAATGGATTAACAGCAAAATTCACAACAGAGTAAATGTGATACTCACTAATTCAGTAATCTGATCGGCTTCGTGTGAAATCTTACGATCGCCTGCATCAAATTACCTATAAATACACGAGCGTACTATGCTACACCGATAGAATCTAGTTAGAATATACAAACGATCATTTGAAATGGATAAAGACAAGCAGAAAACGGTTGCCATTATTGGAGCTGGGCTGGTAAATATTAATTGTATTTTAGAGAAATATTATCATAAGTGGTTATATAGGTAGGTTCTTTGGCTGCAAATATAATGGCGAATAGAGGATACAGAGTGGAGCTGTTTGAGAAACGTCAAGGTTTGTGATCAAAATTTAATTTAAAGAGACGAAGTTATTGGTTTTACAGATATCAGGAAGATGAAAGTAGCGAAGGGAAGATCTATAAATTTGGCGCTTTCAAATCGAGCTAGAGTAGCTTTAAGAATTATTGGACTAGAAGATGAAGTTCTTAAAGCCTCAACGCCGATGAAAGGACGTTTGATACATGATGTTAACGGAAATACCAAATCAGTTCCCTATGATTCTATAAATGGACAAGTGTGATTATGCGTTTGATAATCATGATAGATTATTAATAAATAACTTTTCAGTGCTTATATTCGATTTCACGAAACTTTTTGAACAAATTATTGATTCAAGGTATTATTTATATTATACATCTGCATATTTTATTTGAGTTTATTTGCAGAAATGGAAAATAAAAGTGATATTAAAATAAATTTTAATTGCAAGTTAGTCGATGCGGATTTCACGGATCAAAAGATAACTTTTCTAAAGTTTGTTAACTAATAATGTGCTTTATCACTATATTACATTATATATTATGTTGCAGCATTGAAAAGAGCGAACATTTTAGTTTAAACCCAGACTTTGTGATTGCTGCTGATGGTGCTCACAGCGTGATTAGAAGAGTCATGCAACATAGATGTAAAATAAATTACTCTCAAACGTTCATCGATCACGGTTACATCGAGCTAACTTTAGACTCCAATCATGGCCATCTCATGGTTCCTAACCATCTCCACATTTGGCCTAGAGGAACGTTCATGATGATAGCTTTACCGAATTTGGATGGTAGTTGGACAGTGACACTGTTCATGCCCTTTGAAAAGTTCAATGCGTTAAAAACGAGCGACAAATTGCTCTCATTCTTTAACACCACATTCCCTGACTTTTTAGCGCTCACCACTTCGAGTCAACTTATCAAAGATTTCTTTAGAAAACAACCGTTGCCGTTGATATCGGTGAAATGTGAACCGTATCACCAAAAGCGATTCCTTTTGATAGGAGATGCGGCGCACGCGATGGTTCCATTTTACGGGCAAGGAATGAACGCTGGTTTCGAAGACTGTTCTATTTTAAGTAATCTCTTGGACAGGCATTGCGACAACGTCGATTTGGTTTTCGAGAGGTTCACGGAATTGAGGAGGAAAGATGTTTTCGCGATATGCGATCTCGCAATGTATAATTACGAAGAGATGCGCGATTTGGTCACTAAAACGAGTTATCGGTTGAGGAAGTCCGTGGATGAAACGCTGTACAGATGCTTTCCGGGTATCTGGATACCCTTGTATAATTCCGTTACTTTCACCTCGATGGGTTACAATCAGTGCATGCAGAATCGACAATGGCAAAACCGGGTCAGTTATTGATTTCCTTTTCTATATATGATCGCCGTGTGTATTCATATAGTTTGCATATTTCAGGTTCTAATGGCTAGCGCATTTTCGATTATTTTATCCATATTCTTAGCATCCTATATTATGTGTAATATTATATAAAAAGTAATGTTGAAATGTTCAAAAATGCACATTCTTTTCTATTTTAGTTAATTAAAAGAAGTGCGTGTTAATTCCTTCCCTGATCATATGTAAGTGAAATAAAAAAAAATAGCAACGGTTTAAGTAACATATATATTTTCTTATATAAACAAACGAGAAAGCTACGATTTAGCTTCCTTAACAGATTAAAAACGATATTGAGCCTTAACTTTCTTAAATAGTCTTACGTATGATCTCCTTCCCTAATTAATTATGTATCACTGTGATCATGAATAAATACAGCAAACTGCAAGTCGCCGAGCACTTCAAATAAACTCGAGCTTCGTCTGCTCGGGATTTTGGACGTAGTTATATTTCTGTTCCTCGAACAGATTAATCAAATGCTGCTTGAATTTCTCGTGCAGAGTATCGATTTGCTCTTGCGTTGGGTTGGCGTTCTTCTCGACTTCCATCGGTTGACCAACTGCAAATAAAAAATACCATTTAGAATATGTTATTGTTTTGGGATGAGACGATGGACAGGTTACCAATTGTGTGGACCGGTTTCCGTTTCGGAATCATTCCGAACGTGTACTGAAAGAATCCGCGACCGACGGGAATCGCCGGCGCCAGACCGATGTACTTCTTCAGCCATTCCTGCACGGATCTCAGCAAGGATCCTTCGGGGTTCTCGAGCTGATCGAACAGATCCGTCTCGCCGAACGATATCACCGGCACCAAAGGCGCTCCGGTCCTTATTGCGATCTTGATGAAGCCTTTCCTTTTGTCGTAGATGATCTTGTACACGCCGGGTTTGCAGTAGAACGCTTCGGTAGCTCCGCCGACCATAAGTATCGCAACATTACCACCTTCCTCCTTGTTCAGGATGTGAGAAATGGATTTTGCGGTGGCCTTGCAGCCGCCCAGGCCGAGCGCCAGCTCCCTGAAGAACGGCATGCTGAAGTGCTGATCCAAGGTGATGATGTGTGTCTTGTGGTTGGGGAAGAACTGATCGAAACCTCCGTAGTTCGTACCGAAGGCCATAAAAGGCCCGGTGCACAGCATCCCGTGCGGATAGCAGCAGAAGAGGTAATTCTTTTTCTTGTCTAAGGTCATCCAGGGGACGCGTTCCAAGCTAGTGGGGAAGTACTCTCTGGTATATTTCCACCAGCTCCAGCTGCGCATCCACTCGTTTCTTCTGCCGCTACGCTCGGACGTGTGTCTGTCCATAACCAAAGCCCAGAAGAGGTACAGAAGAGTCAACCACCAGTATTGGGTGAAGAGCACCAAGTACACGGCTAAAATGGAGCCGGCGAATCCTCCAAGTACCATAGTTATGAACCAGAAACCTGCTGCTAGAGTCTGCAGTCTCCGTCTGAACGGAATGTTCAGCGGAGCAAATTCCACTCCCAGGCACTTCATTATTCTGAAACATAAAAAGATTGATATGTAATTAAATAACTCAAATTACCTAAATAGCTACCACAAATTGATATATCAAAGCAATTTGTGTACTCTGAATAATCATCTTATCCAATTTATATAATTGTATAATATGACCATTCCATGCATTCATTGCATAAGTAAATGATATAAGTGAGAACAACAATCATATACAAAAACATGTTCATATTCTGTATACCTCATCTTGCACGCCATCACCATCAAGAAAATTGAAAAATATACCACAGAGCTGCTACAGATAAACATGCTTCTATTACATAAATCCTTAAATTTTGATAGAACTCTTACAACGATTGACTATAATGACAAACGACATTTTCAATATGTAAAACATTATCTGCTAATGACACGAATAAATAACCTTTATATTAATTTTAATTACAATAATATTACTTAATCTTTGCCTTGAACTTTAAAACAACCAATGTAAATCACCAATTTAATCAAGTATTGGCCGACTCGTGCTTTCATATCTCGTGATTATAACATAATAGAACAATATTAGGTACGTTTATAAGCTACATTGTTTGTTGATTGCTCTGAAACGAAGCCAATGAGATCTCAATCACATCAGCAAAGCACCGAATTCATTTACACGATAAGTGCATGTAGCGTATAATTAATTATGCGGAACGGTACTCACTCGAATCAATATTGATAAACGGAGATATTCTCTTATCGTCCGTGCTGTGTTCCGTTGCATCCGCCGCAGAGTAAAACGAGAAAGTTGCGGAGTAAAATTGAAAATTTATTTTCATCGCGCTTTATTGAATTAGAGCCTCACCTTGAACGAACATTAGCGAATTAAGGTGCTTTCTACATTACGAAATCAATGCAAAAAATAAATACTTTCTCGCGGATCGTATGATAAATTTTAAAATTTATTTCAGTGCTACTTGTGCTTCCTTCCCATTCAAATACGAACAATGCCTTAGGTCAACAGCCTGAGACTAAATACCTTTATGTAATCGCTTCTAATTGCGCATTCGGTGTCCTTGTTGCATTTGATCTTCTAGTCTCAATTACAAAAATAGAAATAAGTTGACATAGTTATTTTATTATTATTATTAATAAATTGAAAAACGATGTAAAAAAATCTGTTATTGATAATTAATTATACAAAATTACACCAATTAAATATAATTTTATTTCATAAATTATATATATTTGTTTATAATAATATTCTCAAAATTTATGCATATTTATGCAGTCGCAATTTATAATCAATGATCGGACGATCTAAAATGTTGTTACGAAACGCTTTCCAAAATATATGCAAATACGCTTTCTAAATCCGGTAAACTTACTATAATGAATCTCTTGGATCGATACGCACTGCAACAGGTGCAAATTGAAACTTATATCACGATTTAATTTATTACAACTACGTTTTACACTAATAAAGATTGGATATATCCAGAAAAGAAGTGATTTAAAATTGAAAAATACTATACCCACAATTCGAGGCCCGTTCTCTATGCATGTATTCCTGCCCCGATGAAATTTAAACACAATGAGCCGTTTCCTGTTTCGCCGTACTCTTCTGCCCTTACGAAACAATGGAGCAAGCGCGCTTTGAAAATAATGTTGTTCTCTCCTAAATTCATTCCATTTATCTGATTAAATCTCTGTACAATATCCGGATGTTATGAATGTACACAGCGTTTGTGTACGAGAAAGATAAATATAGACAAATTATGTATTATTTCATTGCCAGTGCAAAAATATTATTATCTGAATTATTGTTCATAATAAAAATACACTAGTTATTATAGTTTTATTGTATTAACTCTGATAGAATGAATATAAAATCGTAATTAATATTATACAAATGATATTGTTTTCAAAACCAAGCTGAGAGAGAAAAGTTCAATGAAACCTGTATATTTTTACCTTCGAAACAAACACTAAAAAAATACACGTATAGGCCAAGAACGAAATAAATTTACTCAATATATAGCTGAAAAAAAACTCGATTACATTAATTCAACTTTATTTGGGTTAATACTACTGGTTAACATTTAAAACCTGTTTCAAAATAATAAATTTCGCAATAATTACTCGTGAATAATGATTTCCTTAATTAAGCATAATTATTAACGATAAACGAATATTAGCCTCACAAAGTCTATTAGAGTTAAACTAATAGACTTTGTAAGGCCCTAGGCGCAACCTGAATTGGACACCCCATATTGACCCTACTAAGAAAATCATAACGTTCCTTTTGGCGATTTTTAGCATTAAATTAACTTTATTTAAGAGAAAAACTCGAGTTTGTTGTTATGGGATGGCATACATGTGGGTTTGTCGCTCATTTAGCCAGTTTTTGGCAATTTAGAGGCCTCATTAATTTAAGAGGTCGTAGGCGCGCGCCTACTGAGCCTATGCGGTAACGCACCACATCTAATAGAACTAAAATTGTAACCAAATGTAATTTGAATTCATTTGTGTTAACTTTCTTTACGTTCTGTAAAAGTCTATTATCTGATGCATTTAAATCACTTTGGACAAAAGTATGAACTTGTTAACAAATTGAAATGCACGAACAACACGTGTACGTGACTGTCATGACTAATAATTTGGGTGTAGCAGATCAAATTTCTGTAGAGTTTTAAGTACAAATCTTATAGTTTTGATAAAATATTAATGATAATTCCAAAAATATACAAGCATGATACACAAATTATGAATTATCTACACAAAATAAATAATGAATTAAAGAACTTAAATAATTATCAAATAATCTTATTTAAATTTTAATTACACTTTGGTTTATATAAACTAGCTTGTTTAAAAAAGGAAAAATTAAGTTGTTAGAAAATTTGAATGTTTGAAATTACAAAAAAAAAGCAAGAATTAGAATTTAGTAGTCCAAATCACGTAATATAGTTCCAAATATAGTAGTAGTATTAATAATAAATTAACTTGATCAATATATTTGTAAGATTTTCTTATAACTAGGTAGAAATTGCAATGAGATTTCACAAAATTGCAAATTTATCAAAAAATTAGGTATATCAAAATCTCGACAACCATAATCCCGACTGTATCAGAATCTCAACAACCATAATCCCGACTATATCAAAATCCCGACTGTATTAAAATACCGAATATAGCGTAGTCACCATGTGCTACACTTTTTTTTAATTAATAACAATAAATTATTATTAATTTAGTTGATTTTGTTGAATTATTCATAATAAATCTTTAAAATTATGGAATTTAATAACAAATAACAATAACAATTTAAAAGTCACTACGCTCCGGAATAATATAAAAATATTAATGTAGACATTTTCGATATAGTCGGGATTATGGTTGTCGGGAATTTAATATGGTTGGGATTTTGATATAGTCGGGATTATGATTGTCGGGATTTCTATACAGTTGGCATTTCAAACGTCGGGAATTTGATTGACGGCATTTCGGTTGTCGGGCTTGCGATTGCCACCGGTTATAATTGCATTGACATGCTATGAATATTTTCTATCTGAAATATACGTCCGTAACGTTTACGATAATAATGGCGTATTTAAATAAATAGAGAATATTGACAGACTGCCAACGAGGTTTTAGATCAAATATATCAGTGGATAACGTATGATGTTTGCTAAGACATGTCATTGTACGTTTTTGCGATAAAAATACCGACTGTTATAGTACACTCTGTCACTATAAACTATAAACTTAATGTTAAATCTTTTGATGAAATACATAATACAAATTAATGATTAATTTACACTTTGTTGTAACAGTGCAAAAACTACAATAAACATTATTAGTGATTAAGACTACATGAACAAAACGGGTTTGTTATTTTGAATAATCGCAATACCTATTAATATTTAATAATAAATAAGCGTTTCTCTTTCTATAAAATATATAGTTATGGTTAAGGCGATCGACAAGTATGTAAGTTTTACATTCATAGCGAATGTTATTAATAATTGCAATTGAAAGTTTTCATTTCTTGGACAATTGGAATTCGCGTCGAAACGAAAGCATATTCCCCGCGCAACAAGCGTTCGCTTTATATTATCTTATCTGTAAAGTTCCGCAGCAATGGGAATAATTATGTAAAAGAGCTAGACATTTCTAAATATAATAAATAATAAACGTGTGTACCTTCAGCAAATGCTTTGTTATGCCACCATATAACGTGAGATTCGACTGACACGTGGTTTTTTCTTGTGGTGTGATGCGCGGAATCGACCAGAATCACATATTTCCTTCTCGAATGAAGCAGAGTAGCGTCGTCTTCATTAACGGATGGCCCGAACAATAATAACAGATTTATATTTTTGTGCGTCTCCGAATGCGAGAATGTTGTGTTGCGTTGTTGAGTCAACCAACGGGCAGTGAAACGCGTGCGGGAGAAAACGTTTTAAAATTAAATACCATTGGCCCCACTCGAGCTCGGACACCGTTCCAACTGGTATTGTCGGTTCAGTCGGTTACCACTCTCCATCCTTTCCCGATACCACCGACAGGTCATCATCATCGTCGTAGCAAGAGCGGCACGAAGAATTCCCTCAACATTGTTCTTCGAGAATACCTGTTCCTTTCGTTGCGTTCCAAGTACCATTCTTGCATTAAAATGCTACTTCCTCTAATTACATAATGAGTTGTATCAACAAGCTGATTAGCAGCGACAATAACAATTGTTATAAACTTAACAAAGTGTTAATAAAAAAAACATCGAATCAAACACTTTGTAACTAATTATTTACAACTTGTTACAATCACTCAATTAACTATAAAATGATTAAATAATGATTTTCATATGAAGTGAATAATTTGTGAATAGTAAAAGATGATTTTCACAAATATATAATATTAGTATTAATAACTTACAAGAAAACATTCAATACTAAAATAGAAAAAATTGTTGACAAAACAATATTTGTTTTTAACAATTTGCAAATCAACACGCGATTCTTTTAACACGAAGCAGGATACTTATTTTAAAGTATACTAAAACAACTTACATGAAAGTCGGTAGTTAATTGTATACTTATATAGAAGATTTACATAATGCATGTCCCACTTCAAAAAAATGTCATATCTAAACAAAGAAACTAATCAATAATGTATGTGGTAGATTCATTAACTATATGATAATTAACTCTATATAGTTTACATAATGAACTAAATATAAATAAATGAATCTTAAATAAAATAAACTTAATACTTTCGACTTTATATCTATACAATGAAATAAGTTTACAATGTTATTGTTTTGTGTGTATTAAGAAAATAAAAAAAAAATCGGAAAATCCATAATGTGGATTGAATGTAAAATAAAGTTTTATCAAATTTATTTTGAAAGTGATGACAAACTGGTTATTAGTAGTTAGTCATGTAATGTTTTTTTTTTTTTTTTTGTAAAATTCAAGCCAGGCAAAAATATAATTGAGCTTTATACTTGGAAGTACAAAGAAAAACGTTATCTAGTGGTACGTGTGAATAGTCACAGAGTTCATACGAAACTGTACTCTTTCTACATTAACAGCTGAGTGCTCTCGTGTGCATGGTTTATAATACAACAAAAGGAATAAAATGAATCAAAGGAAGATTCTTTATATTATTAATACTCGATATTTTCAGTGTTAAAAGAAGGGTTTTTATCTAAAAAGATTAAGTGTATATGTTAATATAAAATTTGTATTATGAAATTGTCTACAAATATGATTCATTAAATGTTCTAATTAATATAATTAACTTATTTTTTTTTAAATTTGATTTCAATATTGAAATACAAACACTACAATCTTTGTTCCATAACAAACTATATTTTCTTATTTCCAGTACTTAAAATAATGCACCTTGCATATTGAACTTTATTCATCGAGGAAAGTGCACAAATAACAATATTATCTTAGCATTGTATCATGAGAATAACAAAATTGACCGATCCAATTAGGTACACAGTCGTGCGTGTACTAAAAATGTAAACAAGTTTTATCTAAGCGAAACTTACTTGAGCACAATTTCTGCAAAATCCATGCTGTTGCTTCCTGTGTCCGCTTTCTCCATTTTCAAATAATTACGCTTATTCGATTATTGGGAAAGGAATTAAACGTTGAAAGGTGTCAATACACGCAACGACTTCACGTATTCGTAGTAGATTGAGCCGGATCTAGGAATTCGTATCAGTTACGATAAAGAAGTGGAGATAAAATTTGTATAGTAAAAAAGCTTGTAAGAATCACTTCAAACTTTGTTCGCTTTTTTAAAATGCATTTTGCATAAACGTTGTATTGTATTTGTGTCTAATCAAAATGTATCTAAATTAAGAGCATCTGATTAGATACAAATACGGGTCTTTATCGCAAGCCCGACAACCGAAAGACCGTCAATTGAAATCCCGACTGTATCGAAATCCCAACTACCATAATCCTGACTATATCCAAATCCCGACTACCATAAAAATGTTAATGTAAAAAAATATAATAATAAAAGACACTGTCGGGATTTTGATTGTCGGGATTATGGTAGTCGAGATTTTGACATAGCCGGGATTTTGAACGTCGGGATTTTGAACTAGCCGGGATTTCGATAGACGGGATTTCGGTTGTCGGGCTTGCGATTGCCACCGATTTTGAATATTATATTATGGCGTTGTTTAATTATACAATATTTATAATGTAAAATCTTAAAGCATTATAAATAATATGATATTATATTATACTAGACCTAGATTTTATATTTCAGGACCGTATTATCAATTAGACACAGCGCCTAGGTTCCACGAAAATTTTTGGGACTTATTTGGGACAGACGAATCAGTTTTTGGAATTAGAATCCAATAATACATATTTTGTTGTTAAGTTTTAATGAAGAGAAGTAGAGGGTGTCAAAAGGTGCATTGGACCCACGATAACCTTAATACGACCCTGCTTCAGTCGTGTGAAAATGGTAAGAAAAATGTATGATGGTTTTCTTTAGATTAATCAAATTTGTACACGCAAAATATGCAATTTTCATCAGATTCAAGCTCAATTATTTGTCTTTACTTTTAAATTACGCAAAATTGTTGTTAATAAAAGTAATAGGATAGAGTTTTAGGATTAAATAAAAAAGGATTTAAGTATTATAACTATAATTGCTACACTTTATTCTTTATAAACTTAGGATGTTTCATATGCAAAAGAACAAGTATCTTAAGTTATATATTTAATAAGTATACATATTGACATATAGTAATACTTAGGTATAAAACGAGTTTTTCTTGCTGCAATTATAGAAAATAGTGTATTTCCAAGAAATGGAATTTAGTTACGTGTTTACAAAAATACTGATATTGTTTGTTGTATCTATTACATTATTTGGTTAAAATAAATGTTTAAAACTTAAGACATTTACAAAAATAAATACTTACATTTAAACCATAAAAAGTGGTATATCTTGTATAATATTTTTTTTTTCAACTTATTCTGAAAAAACGTTAATCTGATATTGTTATTGCTTCTGTTGGACTACTTGTCTCAAATAACTGTTTCAGCTGAAGTAATGTTACTTTATTGGCATCCCAGTCTTCTGCATTTGCAGATGTAGACTCTTTAATTTTCTTCTCGATGGTGTTCTTAATCAAGAAATGATGAACGAATGTTGACCTGTGTAGGAAAATATTGTAATACTAAAATTAAGAGTGATTGATAATGATTGCTCACTTCGTTTGACCGATCCTATGGATCCTTCCTATAGCTTGCAGTTCATTGGCGGGATCCAAAACGGGATCAACAAATATGACGTGCTTAGCTTCTATCAAGTTGAGGCCTTTCGCTCCTAACGATATTTGCAACAGTAAAGCTGTGACCTCCTTCTCGGGATTCTGCAACGACGCTACATTAGTTTTCAATTTTCGTTTTGGTCGATCGATCGAGTTACTTTGAATTTATCGATCGTTTTCTGGTGATTCGCTGTGCTTAAAATCACCGACGACACTTTGTTCAAGCTTAGAACATCGCTCAAGACTCCTAAAATGACAGACCAATTGGAGAAGACCAAAACTTTTACATCCGGTTCCTCTTTCTTCAACTTCATTATTAACCGGACCACAGCTTCAATTTTCGATGAGCAATTCCCTTTAATTTTGCCATCATCGTCTTCAGTTTTGTTCTTGTTTATTTCAACGAAATTAATGTCATTGATTGACAGCTTTTGTCGACACACTGAGCATTGTATGAATTTGGAAATGTTCTGAAATCGATTAATTAATTTCAATTATCTTTACTAATGAAATAAAATAATTACTCTTCCCAGTATAACCTGCATACATTCCAAGCAATAGGAATGACCACAAGGTAATATATTCCATTTGGTTTCGAGCTGATCTTTACAGATTGGACAAGCGTCCAAATTTTGACCGGTGCTTTGTCGCTGATGCAAAGTTTTTAGATACTTATTTGTACCTAAACATTTCTCCAACGAAGCCGTGTATTGTCTATATTCACCCTCCAAAGAAACCCTTTGAAAATCCAACTACAAGCAAACGTATTATTAACTGATTATAAAACAGCGTTTCTCATCCTTTTGGTTTGTATCACGGTTATAAAGTATTTTTAATTTATTTTACCTCAAATTCATCAAGTTGATTAACGTGTTCCAATCTATTTTTAATTTCGTAAGAGAGACTACTTATTACGCGATTCTCTTTGGGACTCTCTTCATCTCTCAATTTAATCTGAAGCCTTTGTTTACACATAGCAACCTCATCCAATGCACTGACTTGGCTTTGGAAATACAGCATGAACTTTCGCATTTCCTATAAAATTGTTAACGATAAAAATATATTGTTATACATATAAGCAATTAATACCTTAAAGTTTTTCTTAAACAAAGCCAGCAATTTAAACATTGATTTTGCATCCTTTATAATTTCTTCATCCAAATTGTTGGTTTTGGCGTAGTTGTACAATAGGCGAAAAATGTGTTCTTCCGCAGTCGGTTTCCAAGACCCCGTATTCGCTTCTTCTTCAGTTGTATACGGAACTGATTTCTTTTGAGCCATATCGTAAAGTTTTCTTTCAAACTTAACCAAATCAACATTGATATTACAAATTGGACATTTGCTTTTCGTCTCGCCTTTCTTTAACTTAACTGGGCGTAAATGACAATCTGCCGCTGCTTGAACTAACGCCTCGTTAACCGCAACTGATCCTTCCTCAATGTAGAATAGCTTGAATAAAGAAACGGAAACTTCGTCATGAAGATATGAAACATCATCAATCCATGAAGATATTAAATCCAAAACTGATGAATAATCTGTAACACTAAAATAAAACATAAAATACAATCGAATACACACATTTATCAACAATTTACGTAATGGATTTATATGAATTATTGTCTAAGTATGTTACTATCTTCGACAACACTTCGTTCCAAAGTGAATTTTCCGTTAAATAATTTAACAGCACTGTACTCCATAGTTCCGTAGCCGTCAGATCCACATCTTCATTGAGTTCTTCAATCTCATTTATGTAATTCGAAATATCACTGCATATTTTAGAAGTCTAAAAATTGAACTTATTATTTGAAATTCTATTGCAAATGTATTTCACTTACTTGTTTTTCAAATCTATTCACGTATTTCCACTGTAATTTCTCGCATTTTGAGACTAGCAATTCATCACCAGGCAATTTCTCAAGATGCGGATGAGTTTTCAGTGTATCCGCTAAATTATGAAAAGTGTGTATTAACTGTAAATTATCGACAGTTAACTGGAAATCGGAAGCATCCGCTTCATATTCGTTTGAATACTGCAAAACTTTTCTATACTCCACTAAAGCCTGAGGTGGATTGCTGAGTAATAAATATAATCCAGCCAAACCTAAAACATTTTGAATTTAATATTCATATTATATAATAATGTAAAAATTACCGTTCAAAGATGACACGATAACTCTCAAGTTTTCTTCTGATTCAGTGATGTTCTTAGCGATCAAAGCATCCAATAATTCCTCGACGGAATTAACTTTCTTTCTGGTAACTAAGTATCTCCCTTTAACAGCGTTGTGGTGAGCGCAAGCTTGCCTCAGAGATAATAATGGTGCTACCAACTAATACATTAATATTAGTAATTTAAAATGAATTGGTATTTAGAAGATACAACCTTTTTGAGTTCGTGCTTTTGAAGCGACTTCAGAGGTAACTGCAGATCGTAATTGGCCAATTTCTTGAGGAATTCAGCACTACTCATTTCATGCTCCCTGTCGTAAAAATACCGCTCAACGTCTGAGAATTCGAGCATATGGGTAATTGTTTTTTGTTCCGGTATATTAATCTGAAAGGTGTTATTATGATATTCATAGAGATCTAATTAGGAAGTACATACTTGATCTAGAACGTCTTCTTTTTGCGTTCTCCAAAGAACTTTCGCGATGAATTCAATTAATGGTTCATCGCAACCTTCCTTGTAAGGTTTATACAATATATTTGTCCACGTTTCGAAATTGCAAAATGGTTCCAATTGCAAATAGCTGATTAATCCATGGAGATCTGAAATCAAGAGATTTTTTCTCTATATTTCATGTGAATAATCATATAATTTATTTACCTGATATTCCTTTTGAAATTGGAGTACCTGTTACAGCCCATCTATAGGCGCTGCTGATTTTTTGAGCCATTTCGGACACCATTATAGTAGAACTTTCTACTATCTGGGCTTCATCCAAACATAGACGCCACCAGTTTAACAAAATAATGGGACTACCAGGCGCTGCGTACTTTGCGGCATTCCGCAACGGTTTGCTCTTTAAAATCATATAAATTACTACATCGAATATTACAAATTTTAAATTAAATACCTCTGAAACTTCAGAAAGCTTAAGATCATTTTGTAAGACGTTATAGGTTGTAAGAACAATATCGTAATTGAGCAAATCAGTGGGATAGACGGGCAGTTCGGATGATCCATTATATATAAAAACTGTCAAGCAACTCTCGACGTGCTTCTTAATCTCTTTTATCCATTGATCCTTTAGATTTCTCGGACAAACGATAAGTGTACCTTTCGCATTAAGTAGAGGCTAAAAGCAATGTAATAAAAAAAATTGGTTAAACAACAAACTTGTTTACCTGTTGTTTCCAACATTGCGGACATCTGTAAATTTCGTTAACATCAGCATTAAAACCCATACATTTCTTGTGTTGCATTTTAAGACAATCGACGCATTTAACGCAACCCTTTTTATCACCAGAACCGCCACAAACGCACGTAACTACTTCGACTTTTTCTTTCTTTCTTGCAGTCATGCTTTTCAGTTCTAAATCATACCAGGATTCCAGAGCCGCTCTATTTGCAGATTTCCCAGACATGTACAAATCTTCTAATTTTTGTCGCTTCTCGCAAACCTCATCGTCCTTTTCAACTCGAGAAATACGCTTCTTTCCTCTGTATATTTTAACATCACTTTTAGATGCACTGTATGGTTCCTTTGGATGGGCCAAGATGCAAGCTAATACTTCAACAGTTTTCCCTAGACCCATTTCATCAGCTAATATTCCACTATTGCTTAAAGGTTTGCAAACTGGTTGCTCTAACAAAACGTACCCATTAAATTTATTATAATATATGGATTCACCAGATTTGAGCAATATAGACAAATAACTGGGATGTATAGTTTCCTCATTATTCACATGTTTCTCACGATGGACCATCCACATAACAGCTTGCTCTTGATACTGTCTTAATACTGGTTTCAAATGTACTGATTGTACTTCATACTGAGGTATTTTTGAGCACTTCTGTTTTAGGTGGATTTTCTTATAAAAACTTCTGAGGTTTTCTGTTGTCACAGCATTATCACATTCTAAAACCAATTTAAGATAACTAAATAGTATAAGCAGTTTCAATTAATATTTACGATTGACTTCATGAATGTTGAATAAGATTTGGAAAATATCTTTTATTTTATTACTAAATCTTCCATTAAAATTAGTTGACAATTGCTTCAAATATAATTCAATTTTAATGTCTCTTTCCTGCTGGATGAATCTTACTGAAAACGCTTTTGTTTGTGGTATACCTAAAAAGAAATAGTTCAACTAATTTCTAATACTATAAAATATTGATAACAATACTTATTATTAAGGGTGCATCAGCCTGCAGATCAATTGCATATGTTTCAACCCCTTTGTCAAACCTCAGGATTAAATAATCGACCGTGTCTAAACTCTCGATTTGGAATGTGCAAGTTTTCCACTCTGCTGGCAAGACTGTGTCTGTAATTCCTAAATGAAAATCTCCAAGACAATACTTTTGCATATCATCTGTGGGTGAATTGATTGCATAACTTTTGGGATTCTGTGTTTTCTTGGACCTTGCCTTCTTAGCCTTTTTCACCTTAACAATTATTTGACTGTTGGAAAACATTTCTGTTGTTTTCTTTGTGAAAGAGGTTATGTCTGTAATAGAAATTTACGTTTTTTTACATAAAATTCAATAACATTCTAATTACTTACGCAAGAATAATTGATTTGTCGATATAGAATATATTTTATTAACTTATAATATGCAAATCATGCACATTTTGTACTTAACGAAAGTAAACGGCAGTGTTTAGCAGTGTTGTTGATTGTGTTTGTTATTTGACTGATTTGACATTTTCAGTTATGCAACCAAACATATACCCAAGCTTGGTATTCATTCTATTAGATTATAGTCCACTAAAATATAAAAATTTAAATGAAGAGATTCTTGAATGTAATGAAATGCAATCAGTATAAAAGGAAACTCCAGGATCCTTCAAAGTTTCTAAAGTTTTAAAAATGTTGAGCCTTGATTCAGAGATTTTCATCCCTTAGATGAAATTTTCAGTTAATCCCATTGGAGGATTTGGCCTCATTAAATAAGGGTCTCATTCATTTTGAGGCCCATTTGTATTCTAGAATTTTAAGGGATCATTTCTTGAAATATAACATTAATTGTCGTGGGGCCATTTTAAGATTAAAGGCCTTTTTGAGTTTCACTTTCTGTGAAAATAAATAAAATGTAAAGACATTACTTTTACGAGTTATAATTTTTGTTTAGTTCATTTTTGAATGCAAATTGTATCCAAATTATTGAAAACCCCGTAATAATTGAATTCACGTACATTTTACATTCTCCAAATAATTCTACTTTCACATGCATCTTTTGGATCTATTCTATGTATTACACTTTCTGTGAAATTAAATAAAATGTAAAGACACTGCTTTTACGAAAAATAATTTTTCCTTACTTCATATTTGAACGATAATTGTAGGCGAACTAATGAAAACACATCAATGATTGAACTCACGTTGCATTCTCCAAATATCCAACTTTCACGTGCATCTTTTGGATCTATTCTATGTATTATAAACAATATTTTTTTCTTAGTTTATTTTTGAACGCAAATTTTATCCGAATTGATGAAATAGCAGTAATAATTGAATACACGCTGCATTCTACAAACATCGAGATTTCATATGCACCTTTTGAATCTATTCTATGTATTACACTTTCTATGAAATTAAATAAAATGTAAAGACATTGTTTTTACGAAAAATCATTTTTCCATAGTTCATTTTCGAACGCGAATTTTAGCCGAATTGATTAAAAAACAGCAATGATTGAATTCACGTTGCATTCTCCAAATATCCAACTTTCACATGCATCTTTTGGATCTATTCTATCTATTACACTTTCTGTGAAATTAAATAAAATATGAAGACACAGCTTTTTCGTGCAATAATTTTTCCTTATTTCAGTTTTGAACGCGAATTTTAGGCGAATCGATGAAAACACAGCAATGATTGAATTCACGTTGCATTTTATTTGCATCTATACTATCTATTATAGTATCTAAGAAAATCAATAACAATAATATGAATTCTAACTCAGTCTTTGTTTGATGATCTTAATTTCTGTGAATTTATTTTATTTTTTAATGTATGTAGACTATAAATATATTTATATATAATACAGCATTCAAATTAATTTGTAGGAATTGCAATAATATAAAGTTCAAATAATTGTATTTTAATTCTTCCAACCAACACAAATTTGAAATTCCCTTGTATACGAGGTGTAATTAATATAACTTTCATTAAGCAATTAAAAACTTATAGCAAGTACGTGTTCTAATAAACAAAGTTTTCTTTTTACCAACTGACGATCCAAGGAGTTCAATTAATCATTAACCTGTGATCTACGTCTATTGTATCTTATGTACTCTAAGAACAAAGTATTTCAATTCAAATAAAAATATTTGCTATTATAAATTTAATAATTGTTATATAATCGAGCAAATTGAATTGCAAATCTAAGGTCATCTTTCATTTAGGAAACCATAGACCTTGTCATTTATTAACAGTTCTTCCGTATGCTGGCGGAGAATATATCCGTTATTGTAATAATGTAATTGCCCAAAGCAATTCTTGATCTTACTCACTATGAGGAAACAATTAACAACAACTATTTTAATTTTATAATGTTATTGAACTTTCACTTATTCACTTTTATTTATTATAGATAAAGTTAGTACAATTTATTGCAATTTTGCAAAATTTCAATTTACTTAATTCATATTTCTGTACATTTTACAGCCATAATAATATATTGTTTGGATTCGTGTAGATAGGATTAGTTAAGTATATATCGACAAATGAATACACATGTTACTAAAATTCTATACTTGCAATAGAACTTAATTCATTTTTCATTCATGTAAACAGTAAATAAAAATAAGTACAAATTAATGGAATAATTATAGAATATTAAGCATTAGCTCACTAATTACTTGATGCAATGAGGTATGCATATTTCTTGTATAAATATGAAATTTCCTACTTTTTGATATCACATATTCGAAAATGTCCAAAGTCGTTGTTTTGTTCATTTTGGCGTTTGCCACAACAGCGATTTTTGTAAGAAAAATCAAAAGATTTATGATTTTTTAAATATTAATTTTACTTTTGCTTAGTGCGCTGAGAAAAATATACCGGCCGCCTACAAAGTTATAGGCAAATCCATAAGGGCGTCATGTCTTGCTGAAACTGGAGCTAACGAGGGTTTGAATCTAACGAATTACATAATGTTTTTGCATGAATGAAACTATCTGTTGCAGATGTTGTGAACGCTGCGAATGACGGAGTATTTCCGAATGACAAACCGTTGTGGTGTTATTTAAAATGTCTTTTTCAGAGGATGGGAACGGTAGATATTATATAACAACATTTTGTTTGTTATTATCATTAATAATTTGCAAATTTAGGTGAAAGGTGAAAACATTGATTTCAAGAAACTTATGACCGTTTTTCCAGGGAAGATTAGTGATACTTATGTGCCCGGCTTCAAATATTGCAAAGATAATGCCCCAGGTAATTGAATTATTCGCTTTTTTTAATCGTTACGTTAATTAAATAATTGTTCCAGTTGGTGCTGATGGTTGCGAGACACTTTTCCTGTTCAACAAATGTTTGTTTGAGCATAATCCAGAGGTAGAGTTTCTAAGCTTCGTATGTTTGGTTTTTTTGTGTGTAAATGTTTTTAATATTTTCAGGTATTTTTCATATTTTGAGAGACTATTTCTGTACACGCCTTTTATATTTTGAATATGGATATGATTTGGATAATTCGCAATTACATTAAAATTAGTGTTTTATTCTTTATATACTACAAAAAGATTATGCTTTTCTCTGTAGGATGATTTTTAGTAATATGCTTATCTAATTTGAAAAATAGGTATCAATTATAGATTTATATTATCTTCAATTATGCTTTTTTAATTTTTACCATTTACCATTAAATTTGTGGAAAAATGTATTTAGAATTGCAGTGGATGATCGTTGTGAGCTAATGAGTTTAAACTTCATTAAGACGCTTCTTAAGTCATTGATCGGTTCAGTAAGAATTCGGGTAGCGAACATCGACTTTGACGGATTATATTCTAAATGTGCTAATAGTTGGGGCTAAGTTACCAAACAATTTGCATAGTGAAACATCACTAACTGTTTTTTGTTAATTGACTGTCTCAATTACTGCAACTGAAATCCAATTTGATATTAGTCAAATCCCATTAGAATAGAAGTTGAATGAAATCAAAAAATCTTCCTTAAACCTACATCTTTTGGATCCATTCTATCTCTGATATTTTTTTAGAAAATCACAAAAATGTGAAGTGTTAACATTTAATTATTTCATTTGCAAATTGCAGCCCAATAGATGAAACAATAACTGATATTTGCATTTTCCAAATATCCAACTTTCATATGGATCTTCTTAATCCATTGTATTTGTTATAGTTTCTGAGAAAATCAATAAAAATTGAAGACACTGCTTTTACTATCGTTAATTTGTAATTACGTCAGTTTTGAAGGAGAATTGCATGCAACTGGAAAATTTGAAAACACGTTACATTAACCAATTATTCAAATTTTATATGCATTCTGTCAATTATAATTTCTGAGACAATCAAGATTTCATTACTTTATTTTTTTAATCCAAATTACAGCATATTGATGAAACTTTTTGATTTAAGATGAAGAATAGGTTGAAGCCGAAGAATTAGAGCCGCAAAATGTATTTGATATTCTTTTCTTGTTAATTTGTAAATAAGCAATTCATTTTCATGCAATACATACATAAAAAAAAGTACATTCTAACATAAAATAAAAAATATATAAATAGGCAGGCCAAAGGGCGAGGTCTTTCCGCCCGGGAACCTAAATTTAAATATGGAATAATAACTATAAATATGTTTACTTATAATTCAGCATTAAAATTAATTTGTACAATAATAAAAGAAATCGAATAGTTTACCAACAATTGTATTTCAATTCTTCCATCTAATTATTAGATTCTAATATAATTTTGAAATTATACCTTTTGTCAATTAATAAGTCAATTAGCATTCATCTGTTATTGATGTGTATTATATTTTATACATTCTAGGAACTAAGTATGTCAATTAAAAACAAAAAAATGTATTTAAAATTTAACAATTGTTATATAAGTAAGTGAAACTAAAGACATTGTCATTTATTAATGGTTCTTCCATTATAATAACGAAAGTAAATTTTTTGCCTAAAGCAATACTTGTTCTTATTCACTATAAAACAAATTGCAATTTACTGTACTTTGTACAGCCAAAATAATATAGTATTTGGTTTCGTGTAGATAGGATTAGTTAAGTATATATCGATAAAGAACTAAATATACAACATGTTACTAAAATTCTATACTTGACAATACAACTTAATTCATTTTTCATTCATGTAAACAATAAATAAAAATGAAATAACTAGACATGAAATTAATAAAATAATTATAGAATATTAAATGTTATAATGCTTACTAATTTCTTTGATACAATGAGGTATGCAAATTTCGTATATAAGTATGAATTTCCGTACTATTCTACATCACATATTCGAAAATGTCCAAAGTTGTTGCTTTTTTCATTTTGGCGTTTGCCACAACAGGGACATATGTAAGAAAATCAAATGATTTACGATTATTATGAATTTTCATTTTTCATAGTGCGCAGACACAAATGTACCAGCCGTCTTCAAAGATATAGCTAAATCATTAAGGGCGACATGTCTTGCTGAAACTGGAGCTAATGAAGGTTTCCATCCAAAGAATTACTTAATATTTTGCATGAATAAAACTATGTGTTGCAGATGTTGTGAACGCTGTGTTTAAGGGTGAATTTGGGAATGATAAACAGGTGTGGTGTTATTTCAAATGCATTTTAGAGAAAATGGGAAAGGTAACTATTATATAGCAAAATTTTGCTTATTAGTATTGTCAATAATTTGCAATTGCAGCTGAAAGGTGATAACGTTGATTTTAAGGAATTTATCGATGGTTTTCCAGATGATCTCAGAGGTTCTTATGCGCCCAGCGTCAAACATTGCGAAGATGGCCCAGGTAATTGAAATATTCGATTTTTTTTGTTACGTCAATTAATTAATTATTTCAGTTGGAGCTGATATCTGTGAGACAGTTTTCCTGTTTAATAAATGCATGTACGAGCATAATCCAGAGGTAGAGTTTCTTAGCTTTGGCGGTTTGGTTTGTTGTATAAATGTCTTTAATTCTTTCAGATATTTTTCGTCTTTTAAAAGCCCATTTCTGTACACGTCTTAGATATTTTTGATATGGATATGATTTGGATAATTCACAATAACATTATTCTTTATATACTATACATTTTTTGAAGCTTTTAGTTGTGGATAATTTTTTAGTAATATGCTTAACTAATTTGAAAAATATGTATTAATTGTAGAAAATTATAAATGTTCTTGAATTATGGCTATTTTAAGTTTATCATGTATCTCGAAATTTGTGAAAGGATGTATATAGAATTATAGTGGATGATTGTTTAGAGCTACAGCTAGTAATGAGTTTAAGCTTTATTAAGACGCTTCTTAAATAGATGATCGGTTAATAAAGAATTCGGGTAGCAAACATAAACTCTGTTTAAATTTATTAATTATTAATGTTGTGTCCATTCTTTAAAGCTATCCAATAGCTGCAACACGGCAAAACAGAGCTCATCTATCCAAGGTGTCTTTCAATTCAATTTAATTCCAGTTGAATAGAAGTTCCATGAAATCCTAGAATGATAATTATACCTACATCTTTTAGATCAATTCCATCTGGTTTCTAAAAAAATAAAAAAAATGTGAAGATAATGCTTCTTCGACGTTAACTTCATTTTTTGACGTAAATTACGGACAAATGCAAGAAACCACAGCAATAATTAAATACATTTTGCATTACCCAAATATCCAACTTTCATATGTAATTGCGATCTTGGACTGATTGTTTTAAAATATTTATAACTTTTGAGTTTTGTATAGCTTTTAATCTATTTTTGTTGCAGATTATAAAGAAATTTAAATTTTTTTATAGGCTACATAATCAGTGCAAGAACGAGTCAAAATTATAGAATAGGGACGCGCGCTTTGAGGGCCCGGCAGCCTTATGCGAACCGGCAGGCAGGAATGTGAGCCTGTACCAATCATTTAGGCTGCGCTACGTTTCAAAAGTTTCACTAGAGTTGCGATTTTAAATTATAAAAAAAAATGTTTAAAGGGCCCCAAAATTATTTTTTAACATGATTAGAAACTTAATCAGCCGTTTTTAGGAACTTGGTGCAGTATGTGATCATGAACGATGAAATGTTCATCGACCTGTTCGCAATGAAGTAGCTGTGATGGCTGCAAGACAGAGTGTCAACGATGATTCATTTGTGTCTACTCGTCGACGTGTTTGGCATCTCCAGAACATAGCTAAGACTAATATTGAAACTTGATTTGAAAATGTTTCTATACAAATCAATTGGCCTAAAACTTGTTAGCATGAGATTCAGAACAATGATGTAGATATGACAATAAATTTGGGGACAGAATTATTTCGAAAATTTCAGATTTCGCTTTTCCTCCCCGTTTTTCAAATTTAACGGCACTTGATTACATAAACCAGCTTAAATAAAATATGTAAATGTAAAGAAATAACAAATTTGGAGCCAGAAATGCTTTAAAAAGAGTTATTACGTGTCAACAAGAAAATCGAGGTCATTTAAGTGATATTATTTTCCACACTTTATTCTCCAAACTGTTAATGAACATTATTACATAAAATTATTCTAATTTAGGTTTAAGAATTATCGGGTGATGGTTATGGTGATGGTTATCTACAAGACCGAAAAATATACTTGATATTCTCTTCTCGCTAATTTGTAAATTAGCAATATAACAAGTTCAATAAACAGTATAACAAAATTTCATGAATTAGAATTGCAGTGTTTGCTCGATGCTCTGAATTTTTAATAATTTTATACAGATTTTTATTTGATATACACTATGGGCGACTAATAGCCCTTTGTGAGCTCACTCGGTTCTTGCAGCAATAGGGCCATCGTTCATCACAGATGGACAATCAAATGAATGAGGTTCAGCACATGGACCTTTAGCCAATTCGATGGACAATGACAGTGTTAAGGATAGCAGCAGATACACAAACAAAGGGAATAGTGGAATCGCAGAGCATCAATATACCGAAGTTTACTTATAAGACGGCATCCAACCAACAAATTACAGAAAAATATAATGGTAAAAACTTCCATTGGGAAGTTTACCAAATGTCTACCGCCATTAGATTTAATGAATGTTCGCAGGAATAAGATTGTAAATTAAATATACTATGACATAATAAAAAAAAGATATACACTATAAATATATTTATTTATAATTAAGCATTAAAATTAATTTGTATGAATTGAAATAATAATAAAATGCGAGTAGTAAGTTCATATAATTGTATTTTAATTCTTCCAACCAACACAAAATAAAAATTATACATTTTACCATTCCTTCAGATAAAAGGTATAATTAATGCAACTTTTATTGACCAATTATTCCCAGTTTGTATTATAAAAAGCATAGTTTTATTTTTATTTAATTGACGATCTAAGGAAGGAGTTTAATAATCTTAAATATCTTACGTTAATTACAAGCTGAAACTTTTCTTTTACATTTTTTAAACAGTTTATAACAATTATGAGAAATGTGTCTCGCAATTTATTTTGTAAAGTATTCATAAATTATGTCACAATATCACGTATTATTAAAGTGTGTATAAAAAATGTATTGGAGTTTAAGCTTTGTAATTGACGTAAGATATTTAAGATTATACTTAGTCAAAATCAGTGGCGTGCATAGCGACAAAACTATTATACACTGTTTATGACCCACCGGTGGGTCATGCCGTCTTCAACGTGTTAATTAATTATTAACCTGTGATCGACGTATATTGCATGTTATGTATTCCTAGAAATATTTCAATACAAATAACAATATTTGTAATAATAATTTTAATAATTACTTTATAATCGAGCAAATTATTTATAGAACTAAGGCCATCTCTTATTTACGAAACCAAAAACCTTGTTAATGATTCTTCCGCATGCTGGCGGAGTGTATAGTAATAATGAAAGTAAAATTTTTGCCTAAAGCAATTCTTGATCTTACTCACTATGAGGATGTAATTAACAACAACTATTCATATTTGTTTTCTTTTATAGAATTCATAAATTTTAACACAGTTTAACTTGACACAGATTAATTTATAATAAATAAATGAATGAAAATTTATTGCAATATCAATTTATTTAACATATCTGTACTTTGTACAGCAATAATAATATACTGTTTGGATTCATTTAGATATGATTAGTTAAGTATATATGGATAAATATACAACATGTTACTAAAATTTTATACTTGCAATACAAATTAATTAATTTTTCATTCATGTAAACAGTAAATCAAAATTAAAGTACTATATATTAACTTAATAGAGTAATTATAGAATATTAAACGTTATAATGCTAACCAATTTCTTGATACACTGAGGTATGCAAATGTCTTATATAAGTATGAATTTTCCGACAATTCTATATCACATAATCGAAAATGTCCAACGTTGCTGTTTTCTTCATTTTGGCCTTTGCCACAACAGGGATATATGTAAGAAAATCAAATGATTTACGATTTTTATTAATTTTATTTTTTCATAGTGCTCTGACACAAATGTACCGCCAGTCTTCCAAGATATAGCCAAATCTTTAAGGGCGTCATGTCTTACCGAAACTGGAGCTAATGAAGGTTTGCATCCAAGGAATTACTTAATATTTTGTATGAATTAAATTATGTGTTACAGATGTTGTGAACGCTGTGTTTAAGGGCGAATTTAGTACTGATAAACAAATGTGGTGTTATTTCAAATGCATTTTAGAGAAAATGGGAAGGGTAAATATTATATAGCTTATTAATATCCTTAATAATTTACAAATTGCAGCTAAATGGTGATACTATTAACTTTAAGCTATATATCGACGGTTTTCCAGATGATATCAGAGATATTTATGCGCCCAGCGTCATCCATTGCAAAGATGCCCCAGGTAATTGAAATATTCACTTATATTTTTTGTATCGTTACGTTAATTAAATAACTCTTCCAGTTGGTGCTGATATGTGCGAGACAGTTTTCCTGTTCAACAAATGCTTGTATGAGTATGATCCAAAGGTAGAGTTTCTTAGCTTTGTATGTTTTGTTTGTTGTATAAATATTTTTAATTATTTTAGGTATTTTTCATCTTTTGAGAGCCTATTTCTATACACGTCTTGGATATTTCAAATATGGATATGATTTACTTTAAATTTAGTGTAGACATTTTATGCTTTTCTCTGTAGGATAATTTTGAGTAGTATGCTTATATTATTTGCAAAATATGTATTAATTATAGAAATATATGATCTTGACTAATTTTATTGACGAATTGACTAATTCATGTTTTTCATTTAACTTGATATTTGTGCAAGTACAGTGAATGGTCCTAAGGAGTTAACATCATCAAACATTATCTTTGAACGGTTTATGTTTATTAAGAAATTAATAATTGCAAGCGTTTGAATAAATTTATGATTTTGGCGTAGTCCATCCTTTAATTCGAAGTAAGTTCATTGGAACTATTATATCCAATTTTTGATAAAATCAATAAAATGTGAAGAAATTGCTTTAATTTTTTATTGCGTCATTTTGAACTTAAATTACAGTGCAATTAATGAAACTACGGCAAAAATTGAGTATACGTTCATCAAATATCCAACTTTCATATGCATCTTTCGAGTTTATCTTTTATAGTTGAGATCAATAATATGTGAAGATAGGGTTTTTTGAGCTTTAATTTTTCATTGAACGTGAATTACTATGAATAATAATTACTGACAAAGAAAAAACAATTGATAATAACTAGAAATCTATTTTTTTTAATGCAATTAATCTTTCACGTATTTACTTTTATACGAGGGGTCTAACAAAAGTTCGCTACATTGGCATTAATTCATTTGTTTCTGAAAAAATAAAAATTGTTTCTCAATTTGTTATAATCTAATTTCATATCATATTTCAAGAAAATCGGTAAGAATGGATAGGAGAAAATGCAAGATTAGTGATGTAAGGTTGGTAGAAATTCCACAACCAACACAGTAAAAATGTGTTTTGCCGTTCTATACGGATTTCGACGTCAAATTTTCCAGGAATGCCAAAATGCATATGGATTGAATGCATCATCCCTTGTGACTATTTCCAAGTGATTTCAAAGATTTCAGGCAGAACATTTTTCTGTGGAGGACGATCCTTGTGAAGGTTTCCCAATATCTTCGACCGATGATACAAATGTAGCCCCGGTGAAGGCAAAAATTGACGAAGATCCAAGAGACATAGGAAATGGTAGTTGATGAACTAGGCTTGAATGCTATGGCTTTGTCGCAAATGTCACTTTGGCTGCACGAATAATGCTCCCTCTCACACTACCAACCAACCATCAATGAAATTCGCCCAACATTTTATTCTACCGACCTAGCGCCTTCTGATTTCTGGCTGTTTCCGAAAATTAAATAAAAATGAAGTAAGAGTCTTCAGTTCCAATGAATAGATCAGATGAGTTGAAACGCTCGATTTTGAGAAATGTTTTGAAAGGTGGCTCTACTGATTTAAGAAATGTATTGAAATAAATGGAAATTATGTAGAGAAATTACAAAAGGATGTAAATTAAAAATATTAAAATAAAATTGTTTTTATTTTGTGTTATTCCAGCCAATTTAGCGAACTTTTGTTAGATATAATAAATAAATGTATGAAAATTTATTCTAATTGTATTAAAATTTCAGTTTACTTTATGGATACTTTTTACAGCCATAATAATACATTGTTTGGATTCATTTAGATAGGAATAGTTAAGTATGTATCGATCAATAAATATACAACATACTACTAATTTTCTATACTTGCAATAATTCATCCATGCAAATGTAAATACGAATTAAATAACTATACATTAAATTAATATAATAATTACAGAATTGTAAACATTACTCGATGCAATGAGGCATGCATATTTATACTATAAATATGATTTTTTTTACAATTGTACATCAAATATTCGAAAATGTCCAAAGTCGTTATTTTGTTCATTTTGGCCTTTGCCACTACAGGAATTTTTGTAAGAAAAAATCAAACATATTTACATTTTTTTATTAATTTTACCTTTACATAGTGCGCAGACTCAAATGTACCGGCCGTTTTCAAAGTTATAGCCAAATCTTTAAGGGCGTCATGTCTTGCTGAAACTGGAGCTGACGAGGGTCTGAATCCAAGGAATTACATTTTATTTTGTATGAATTAAAGTATGTGTTGCAGATATTGTGAACGCTGTTAATAAGGGCGAATTTGTGAATGATGAGAAGATGTGGTGTTATTTAAAATGCATTTTTAAGAAAATGGGAACGGTAAATATCATATAGCAACGCTTATTAATATCGTTAATAATTTGCAATTGCAGATAAAAGGTGATACCATTGATACTAAGAAACTTGCCAACGGTTTTCCGGAGAAGATCAGAGGTACTTATGCGCCCGGCATCAAACATTGCAAAGATAATGCTCCAGGTAATTGAAAAATTCGCTTATTTTTTTTGTTGTTGTTACGTTAAGTCAATAACTGTTCTAGTTGGTGCTGATATTTGCGAAACAGTTTTCCTGTTTAACAAATGCTTGTATGAGCATAATCCAGAGGTAGAGTTTCTTATCTTCGTTTGGTTGGTTTGTTGTATAAATGTTTTGAATTATTTCAGATATATTTCATCTTTTGACAGCCTATTTTTGGATATTTCGAATATGATTTGGATAATTCGTAATTACATTAAATTTAGTGTTTTATTCTTTATATACTATAGACATTTTATGCTTTTCTCTGTAGGATAATTTTTAGTAATATGCTTATAAAATTTAAAAATATGTATTAATTATAGAATTATATGCTCTTCAATCATGCCTATTCCATTTTTATTCTGCTTTCTACATTCTACTTATTCATCTTCTAAATGTGAGTTTAGTTGGGGCTTAATTACCAAAAAATATGAGCGATTTATTTAATTAATGAACAATTGTAATAAACAAATTTAAAGCATTTTATGAAATTTATGAATATGGTAGAGTCCATCCTTTGTATTGGAATCCGAGTATGTTCCTTATGCTTACATCTATTGGATATATTATATCTATGATAGTTTCGGAGCAAATCAATGAAATGTGAAGACACTGCTTTTTTGAGCGATAATATTTCATTGCTTCATTTTTTAACGTTTATTACAGCCAAATTGATGAAATAACAGCAATAATTGAGATAACGTTGTATTTACCAAATATGCAACATTTATATATGCATATGAATTTAATGTGAAGAAACTTTAATTGTTCATTAAATCATTTTTCAATGAGAATTACAGCCAAATAGATTTTACTATAGCTATAATTGAAAACACGTTCTATTCCTCAAATATCCAACTTTCATATGCATATTTTGTATGTTTAAGACAGTGCTTTTATAACGTTAATTTTTCATTATTTATATTTGAACGCCAATTACTCTAAATAATGATTACTTAGTATCGTGCAGATAGGAAAAATTAAGTATATATATCGATAACTAAATATATAACATGTTACTAAAATTCTATACTTGTAATACAACTTAAATGATTGCTCATCCATGTAAAAGTAAATATTAATTAAATAACTATACATTACATTAATATTAAAAGGATTGAAATCATCGTAATACTTATTTGATGCAATGAGGCATGAATTTTTCTACAATTGTATATCACATATTAAAAAATGTCTAAAGTCGTTGTTTTCGGCGTTTGCGACTTTTGCGGTACAAAGTTATAGCCAAATATTTAAGAGCGTCATATCTTGCTGAAAGATGCTTTTCTCAGTAGGATAATTTTGAGTAATATGCTTATGTATTTTGAAAAATATGTATTTATTAAGAATTATATGATCTTGATTTATGGTTATTTTATGTTTATCGTGTACCTTGAAATTTGTGCAAGTATGTATATAGAATTTCAGTGAATGATCGTTGAGATAAGTTAGCAATAAGTTAGCATTAAACCTCTTCTGTAATCGATGATCAATGAACAATGAACAATTCAGGTAGTGAATATCAGATTTGACCGGATTATGTTCATTAACCGATCACCCACTAAAATCTATTTACAAGAATTGTTTCTACTTTCTACGTTCTAATTATTGATCTTCTCAATGTGAGTATAAAATACCAAACGTTTTGTGTAATTAATGAACAATTGTAATAGATAAATTGTAAGCTTCTGATGAAATTTATGAATTTGGTGGAGTCCATCCTTTGAAGCGTTTCTCCAATTGCTGCGCCACTGCAAAACAGAGCCTATCGTTCCAAGGAGTTGCTATGACCTAGTAAATCATTGGTAACTATTATTTATTAACTGACTATTTCAATTGATGCACCTGAAATCCAATTGGCAATTTCTTGTTATTCAATCCCATTGGAATAGAAGTTGCGGGAAATCCGAGAATGTTCATTATACCTACATACATGATAGAGCTGGTTCTCAAGAAAAATGAATTATGCACAAAGGCGCAAGACGGAAACACTGGCATCAAAAGCACACCGTTATCTTTCAATGTCGTCTGCAAAACGAGAATCATATAGACTTATATTACTTTTTCTTTTCTTACTTCTTTTTTTTGCTCACAAGAAAGTTCATTCTGATCTGTTCCAACTTTGCTGTGTAGTACGGCTTCTTGCTTAGGGGCACGAAACCCTTCAACGCCATTATGGTTGTAAGTATTAACGCGTTTTTTGTGTATTTCGATTTGTTAAAAATACTCTTAAAGATCTCATTTACCAGCTTGTCGTTCTGGTTATCTCCATTTACGATGTGAGGTATTTCTCCGGTGGTCAGCATTAAAGATAGAACTACCTCCAAGGTGTTTGCCATCGGGAATTTCTCTTCGTGCAGTATCGCACCGCATGACTGTAAGTATTTCGCTGCTTTCTTAATGCAGTTCTTTATATCACTTTCAACTGGCGTCAGAGTCAAGGTCGGTTCGAATTCCTCTAAGTAGTATACGTGCAGAGTTTTCAGATCCACCTGGAAATTGTGAAATTTAGATTTAAATGCTTAGAAGCGATTCAACATTTGTACTGGATCGTTTAATCGAAGGTTTTCCGCTTTCGGTCCTGACATGATTGTCAACATCAGTGGCAAGTCCTCCGCGTATCGTGTCATCGGCCCAATTGATAAGTACGTAACTATCGTTGGCTTTTCCATTATCGGAAAATGATGTTTTGACGAAGTTGAAGCTATTGATTGAACATTGGTTATCATCATTAGAAAATAAATGTCGATATAATTGGCTTACTGTCTGTAGGCTTGTGACCGAAAATTCCGGTAAAATGAGCTGGGGATCGAATAGAACCCACCAAGTCTGAACCTACTCCAATGAGTGATGCACCAGCTCCCAGCAAAGCCGCCTGAAAAAAATGATTTATTAGAAATATAAAACTGTTTACATGATACATTCAGCAAGAACCTCTCCACCAGAAGATCCTCCTACGGAGAAGGCTGTGTTGTATGGATTTCTGGTACGTCCAGTGACCATGTTGTATGTTTCGAAATAGAAACTGTATTCCGGAGTATTGGTCACACACAACGGTATTGCGCCAGCCCTCATCAAATACACAATTGTTGGTCCTGTCGCTTTGGCTCTAATATGTTTCCTTGCTAAGGATCCCGCAATTAGGGTCATACCTTAAAAGCAACAAATTAAAAACATCATATACGAAATTATTGTAACAAAGTTATTGAAATATATGATTATTACCTTTCACAGCAACACCTTCTTTGACGGTCAATGGTACACCAAGCAACGGTTGCTCTCGACGCACCGTCTCCATTTCTTCCGTTTTATGTTGAATAGAATCTAGGTATGCATCAGCGGCTTTCGCATCAAGTATAGCATCGGAATATCTATCTTCGACAACCCCATTTATCAATGGATTCACCTCATTTATTCTGTTTATATACATTTTAATAACATCTTCGGCTTTCAGCTAAAGCATCATATTTTTATTCATGTTTTTATATTAAAATGCTTACAATATTGATAGTATTCAAACTACTTACCTCGCGTCTTCTGATCTTTCCAGCCAACTTCTTTGCAGATAGAAACAACGCTTCATTTGAAATCGGCGGCACCGTTTTTCCATTCATAACTTTCAATAACCAAAATATGGGTGTTGCCAAGAAAACCATTATCCTACTGAAAAGTGCAACTAAACGCAATAACGGTTCCATCTATATTTATTTAAAATCCTGAAGAAATTTTACTCAATTATTAAATCATTAACAGCTTTTTATTTAGATTCAAAAATCTCCATATATTTCAGGATATTGATGATGATTATTTTATAATAATAAAAATAATTGATGATGTAAATATTCTCAAGTTTAGTCCAATTTATATATCCTTCAGGAAGCGTTTGATTTAACTATTCGTCTAAAGTGCTCGTAGTCAAATGCTCGTAGTTGACTGAAAAACTCGTTAGAAAATCTGTAATATAACTCCCTTATCCCTACCCTTATTTCTCGGAATTTCTTCTCTTCCAATCTAGAATTAATGTATTAACATTGATTATTCCCTCCAATAAGTAAAAATCAATTTTGCAAGCTTATAAGCATCAAATGGAATAGACAAATTTCTCAAGAAAATTAACAATTCCTACAGACTCATTAGTATTCTGCCTATTATGTCTAAGCTACGTAGACTGAGGCCTTGGCTAACAGAATAAAGACGTCATACCTGAATATTAGTTGGGTTAGAGAGTTTGGTAGATTCTGTTCCGCTGCTTTTTTTTACATCTCTCAGGCTTTTCCCAAAGGTATGCAACGATATGCACCAATTGTATCGGACGGAAAGATTGTTCCATGTTAAAATAAAAGATTAAATTACATCATTTAGACCAATGCGAACCTTAATATACCTGATTGTCAAAGCGTAATTGCCATCAACATAGCAGGTCACAGTACCTCCCTTTGTAGATAACACTGCAATGTTCAAATCTGCTAAAGGAGAGTCTGAACAATATCCAATACTGGATGAAAAGGTAGAGAATGGACCAAAATCCGTACATGTCACGTTTATAATGCGTAGACAAACATGTCCACCAGTTTTTTTTAAACAACTCCCTCAAGCTGAAGGAGCCAAATATCTGGGGATTCCCCTAGATCATTGCTTGACTGGGAAGGACCACGTAAAGGTTAAGTGGAAGATAATACACTTTAATACATCCATACAGAATAAGGTACTGATATATAAAGCCATCCTAATACCAATGTGAACATATGATCTACAATGTTGGGGATCTTCCTGCAAATCGAAGACATTGATGCACCATGGTATTCTACAAACGAGGAAATAATTTGCTTACTGAAGGGCGACTAATAGCCAAATGGTTAAGTTGCCCTACGCACAACATCGCCGGTTCGAATCCTGGTCAACCAGGACCTTAGTGAGCCCTCTCGGTGCTTGCAGAAATAAAGCCATCGTTCATCACAGTTGGACAGTCAAATGAATGAGGTTCAGCATATTGACCTTTAGCCAAGTCGATGGACAATGACAGTGTTAAGGATAGCAGCACATTCACAGTCAAAGGAAATAGTGGAATTGCAGAGTATCAATTTACTACTGAAGTTGACCTAAAAGACGACAGCCAACCAACAAATTAAAAAAATCAAATCATCATAATGGTAACTATCCACTGGGAAAGATTATCCATTAAATGTCAACCGCGATCTTAATGAACAGATTGTGAATAAAATTATACGACATAAAAAAATACCGATACCAAGCTAATAAAAGAAAAGATTAGAAAAGACTACCATCAGTAATCCACCCAAACCATCTTGCACTAAGATTGACCAACACTGCAAGCCATCGACGGAGGTGGATGGTATAAATGCAAAGCAAACATCCTTGCTGGACCAATCCTTTTGTTACCTCCTGAACAATGCCAGTATTATTTAAAAAATATACCATATTATTAGTAAAATCGATACATAAAAATAGTAAATAATTAAAATGCAGCATTAAAATTGATAGTTGGGAATCGCAATAATAATTAATTGCGACTACTTTTTCTTGTAATTCGCATGACGACTATGATTATTAAAATATAACTTTTATTATGCAAATAAAAACTTATCGCAGGCACGTTTCCAATCAAGAAACTTTTCTTGATTGTTAATGACCATGTTCAATTAATCATGAACGTGCGATCGACGTGACTGCTACTTAAAAAAATATGTGTTTCAATTATTTGAACTCAAGCATTATGATAACAATTATATAATAGAGCAGTATCAAAAGAAAAGTTATCATTCTTCACAATTAACGGTTTGAATTAAAAACCTCAAATATGATTGAATATATAACATTTAAAAATAATCATCATAATAGAAATCTGGATGTTACTAGTCTAAATAATCGTTGACAATGTGCAGAATTGTAAAATCATCAAGAATAAGCCCTTTGGTCCATGTCAAGGTCAATATAAATGTGTAAATAATTAAATAAGAAAAATATAAATTTCATATTTTCATCAAAAACAATTTTATGTTTTTTCATTTGAAAGGATGTAAATAAATTTTCTATAGAATATAAAATATTAAACCCAATAAATAAGTATATTGTCGTGGATGACAAACATATAAAAAAAATAATAATAATGCAAATATCACTAATAACAATACATATATTTATTTCACTTAACTCTTAAATTTGTTATGTACAAATTACGATATACCATTAATTTCTAATTTTTGGCTTTTAACTGATGATTGCGGTGGCACCCAACCGGAGAATCCTTTTTCCAGTTCCTTAGCTACGGCCAAACATAATCTATCGTTGTGAGGAGTTGCTATGACCTAAAAAAAAATAAAATTAAATATAACAATTGTTTAGTTATGATTAAATTATTTTTACTTGGATGCCAATTGGAAGTCCTTTTTTGTTGAGACCCATAGGTACCTGAGTAGCCGGGAATCCTGATAGATTACAGAAACCCAAATACATGATTCCGATAGATTTCAAAGCGAATTCGTTGTGTTGGTAAAGGGTTGGAAAAGTTGGTAGAATGAGTACACCGTCATCACCCAGTTTTTCCTGTGATTTTATTCATTCAATAAATAAGTTATTGTTAAAAAAGTTAATAAGATTATGTTAGTTACCAGTAAATTCCGTTTCATTTTATCGAAGGCAACTCCGTAAATATCTTTCTTTCCTTTCGGCATTCCTCCGTTGAAATGAAGCACCAAAGAAACCAGCAAAGCGTGTGTGGAATATTTTGATTGGTTAAAGATGTTCTTTACGAACTCCAATAATAAATGATCATTTTTCTATATATAAAAAGCATTTTTTTTATAGTAAAATTTGTACTTTTTTTTGTTTGTTTAAGCAGTATTTCTCACATCCAATTTTGGGTCGTTGAGAAACGCTGTGTTTAAGCACTTACGTTATTGTCTTTCAAGATTTTTGGAACATCTGTCGCAGACATCATGAGAGCACAAATCATTTCCGGTAAATTTTCCATATCAAATTTTTCGTCTTCTAATTGAGATCCGCAGATCCTCTGCAAGTAATTGGCGCTTTTGACGACAGCGTTTTTGATTTCTTTATCGACCTGTGGTAACGTTAGACTGGACTCGGTCTCCTCCATGTAATAAACTCGAAGCTTATTCAAATCTACCTATAATTTTTTAGTTTAAATTAGGCGATGTTCATATTAAATGTAAGTCGATTTATTACTGGTTCATCTAATCTCAAGTTCGAGGAGTGAGGAGATGTGATTAGTTTCAACATCAAGGTCAAATCATCCGCGTATCGGGCCATCGGACCAATGGAGAAGAACTGTCTTAAGGTTTCTCCTTCGCACGAGGGAAAATGTTGATCGATTGGAGTCACATCTACAATACAAATTTTAATTATTTTCTGCTAATTTAATTCTAATTTCGGGCTTTACATTCTGTTGCTTTATGTCCGAAAACTCCATTAAAATAGGACGGCAATCGTATGGAACCCAACAAGTCTGAACCTACGCCAATGAGAGAAGCACCAGCTCCTAGCAAAGCCCCCTAGATAGTCCAAATTATTAATTTATTGATTTTGTTTTTATTAAGGTAAAACTTACTTCTCCTCCAGACGATCCACCAGTTGAGTAAGCCGTGTTGTAAGGGTTTTTGGACAATCCCGTTACCAGATTATTGCTTTCCCAATAGAAGCAATATTCTGGCGTATTGCTGATCAGCAACGGAATGGCTCCAGCTTTCAGCAAATTCGCAACGGCTGTTCCATTCTCTTTTGCCTTCAAACCTATCCTACTCACGGATCCCGTAGCAATGCTCATACCTGTCCAATTTCCATTATCAATAAACATTTAACAAAAATAACGAAATATGTTACGAGGTAAATTATATATAATTTGCAAGTAAAACAAAACTACAAGGTTAGTGTAGTGAATTTAGTTGGTTTTGTGAATGAAATACGTTAAAGTTTACATTTTTTGATATTATATGGAAATACTATTAAAATAATTCAAATTAGTGTTTATTGGTGTGATCTGTGCATTATTTATACACTATTTATAACAGTTTAGGTAAGTTCACTAATATTTACGCTTTTCAAGGTTAGCATTCCAAAGTGCAAAAAAAATACACGTGCTCTAAACGTATTGCAAGGAAAAGCTTACAAAAATAACTTTAATTAGTTATAAATTTTCCGGTTTGTCCGATGACCTTTTGCCATCTTTCTGGAAACTTCATGATTCTGCGCTGAGTCTTATCAATAAAAAACAGAACCATGAGCGATTTCAGGTTATAATTAGTGAAATTTTACGATTCAAAGAGATTTGCAATCTTCAAATTAATTGGTAATCTGATCGTGTAAAGTGATAGGATATATGGGCATGCGACATTACTTCCCAAATAACCTCGAATCATTTTTCATGAGTTACCAAAGATGTGTGAGGATATGTATTATTTTGATGACAATGCTGGCCCTTTTTTTCTTTCATTGCTTCCTCTAGTTTAATTAGTTTTTGACAGTAAACATTTGAATTAATTTGAAACATTTGGTTCCTTGGATGTAGCTCAAAATAATCAATCCCACCAAATTCATAGCAAGCATCATTTGTGAAGCAATTCAAGTTTCGATATGATCACTCTTGGACCATAATCCTTTTCGATTGGTGTTATTATAGACGATCCACATTCATCACCAATAATGTGTTAAGTGAGTCTTTTTTCAATTCATGTGAATATCGAGATTCTTAATGGTTCTAAGACATTTAAATTATTTTCAGAATGGAAAAAATCTGCAGAATGGACTTTTTTTAACCAATTTTGACACGCGCATTCTGTTAAACAGTGAACATCATAAAAACATCACATATCTCTTTGTGAACCTCAGAAAGCTTTCTTTGATCGTTTTGGTAATTCTATTAAAATTGAGCTTAAACTAATAGCTACAAACAAAATTACGCCTTATTGACTTGTTGACAAAACATAACATTGACAGAACGGCCGATGTTATACTGCATAGATAATTTGAGATATTGCAATGCCCCAATGTATAAAAGTTTGGGAATCGCTGGCGTCGACTATAAACCCAAAAAAATATGTTTTATTGGATTTTATTTTATTACTTCTTCTATGATAACTTTTCACAAGAAAAATTACTATTCTATAATATTTAAATTTTATAATTATAATATTATATAAATTGTTTAAAAAAATAATTTGTTTAAATTGAAATGTGTTTGGTAACGCTTCTTTATGACAACTTGCAAAATGTTGCTTAGAAATTAATGTGCATGTTTTTAGTTTATAAATTAATTACGTGGGAATCGTGAAATTTACTTTAAAAACAGTCTTCATCCAATTTTCTCTGACCTACAATGATAAATTACGTTTTTAAATTTCCGTTGCATTTCATGTAATTTGTTCTAATGCAACACTAAAAATTAAACTAATGAATGTTCGTATCCTATTAACGCATGATAAAGACCGCATTGCGTAATTTACTTGCAATGGGTATTGTATTGAATTGCACATCGTTTTATAATACGGCAGATCAAGTTCGATGAATGCAATAGATTTTTCCACTCTGACGCGGTGAAAGCATGCATGTGCAACGGATACATGCATGCAGAGAAGAAACTTTTCTTGTTGTTATTGTTGTTCACCGTTGCGCAACGCAGATTTACCTTTCAGAGAACAACTCTCTTTGACGGTTAGTGGGACGCCGAGCAGAGGTTGATCCCGCTGCACCTTCTGCAACTCTTCCTTCTGACTCTGTATGGAATCCAGGTAAGAGTCGACGGCTTTCGCCTCGAGAACAGCATCGCAGTATCTGTCTTCGACGACGGCGTTCACCAGACGATTTACCTCTTGGATTCTTGCGACGTACGCTTTTACCACATCCACGCTCTTCAACTAAAACACATAAAAACATTCAAGGTCATAGACGCAAATTAAAAACAAAAACAGTGTTTATTTTATTCGCCTCCAATTTTGCGTTTGCGAAATTACGATAATTCTGATTTGAATTTAATTGCACGCATTAGTTTCGTGTCCAACCTTCTGTAAATGCATTTTTTTACGTTTCCTTTCAATTGAAATAAATAAAATTGTTGACATTTTTCATATTTGCAAATGATTTCAAATTTTTTTAAAGATTTAGTAAAAAATACGATAATTATAAATTTCATGAAATACGTACACTTATCGATAATTTAAACTTATTTTAGAAGTATTTAATGATGCAACTAAAAAATAATGCATTTATGCTAATACCAATTGCAATTTGTATAAAAATTTCTGAGTAGAAAGTACTAGTATCTAGGTTTCCTCTTACTTTGGAAAGCAAGTGAAAATTTAATAATATATATACGCAAAACTATAACTATCAACAACAAATAAACGTTTCAACGTACTTATCAATTATTTCTCTTCATCGTCATTATTGTAAGTGTTTTTATTTTTATACACGTGGAAATTACTTTGTTTATGCTTAAAACTTGTTAATAATAAAACAATATACGCGTTTGCTTCCACGCAAAATAGCAATTTAATTTCGTGCTAAAACAAAGTTTACTATTTATTACGCAACGCGAATTCCATACAAATATGTAAATCCTATTGCGGGTATCATAAATACATTAAATAATACGGTCGATACGTTTTATTTTAACTGTTATTTTATATATTTTAAGGTTTATAGATTTTTTCATTTTTATTGACTTTTCCAAATACTAATATTTATTGCAACAATAGAAACCCCTAACATCTATTTTTTTTATTATAGTATAGAATTTTTATTCTGGTCAATGAATTAACAATATTTAAACAATAAATGATGATTGCACAATAAAATTGTAGCTAATTCTCGTGGATAATTATGTAATTGGATGTTTTGTAGGGCTGCTATTAACGTCTAATGCAGTGACGAAAGTAAATACGTTTTCCTTGTCTCAAATTATTATGTATCATACAAACTTTCCCCAATTTCGCGTACACACGCATTCAATTTTCTTTGCTTTTATGCGACACAACTCACCTCGCGTCTTCTAATCTTTTCCGCTAATGATCTGGCATTAATGAGGAGAATTTCGTTCTGGATAGGTGGAACTTTCCGACCAGATGTTGACATTATCCAGAATATGGGACTTGCGATCCATGAGAAAATACGTAAAATCAGTGATAATATCCTTAATAACAGTTCCATTTCTTCAGTCCAATGATTATTTTTTCACTGAAAACAAATATTTGATTAATCAAGAAATGCATATGAAACAAGAAATGAAATAAAATTAAGGAATTGTTAAAAAAAAATAATTTGATGACTTGAATTTTCTGTTTTAAAATTATATTAATGACTATTGCATAGACCTTGATCAACTTTTTTTTTATATAATAAATAATATAGACGTCAAAGTTTTAAAAAAAAATCATATATTTAAAAAAAATGATACTGAAAAATGATAATTTTAAAATTATGTAAATGCTGCACCAATTAGTGTATATGGCAATGAATTTAATTTGCAGTGAAAATGTGTTTACACATTAAATAATTATGTAAATTTCTTTTTATAAGGAATTAATTGATGTATGTATAACAAAATTTGTTATGTTTTAACTTATTTTGTTACAATTGCAGAAACCTTGATCAGAATTTTTGTTTTTCAAATATGAAATCAACCGGAAACCTTAATTATTAATTTATTTAATTCGAATAAAACTATTAAACTATTCTAATTTTCATATAATACATATTCATATAAATTTAATGTAAGTTATTATTTTTTTAAATGGCAATTAAAATATTTTGTTGATCTTCCTATACAATGATTTAATTGTTTTGCTCTTGTGTGTTGTTATTTAGACCTTGATTAATTTGTTTTCCTTCTATATGTACAATTTATATTTTGAATCAAATATAAATTCAAGGTTTGACAAATTCAATTGAAATATTAAGAATTAAATTTATGTTTTAAGTAATAGTTTTCATTTTCAATTAATTTATTTTTGTTGAAATGAAGTTAAGAGAAGTAACAAACATTAGATGTGTAAGAAAAAAAAGTAAGAATACTTAAATATTTGCAGACTTTGAGAATATGTAAGTGTTTAACAATTTAAAAATAAAATATTTGAATAGAAATATTGATTCATAACATTGCAGGAATGCAAAATAAATAACTTACTTAAGTCAAAAACATAATGTATAATTGCTAGACTAAATATAAATTGAATAAGCATTTTAATGTGTCTATTTATGAATGCTTTTAATTGTAATTGCGGCAAATTTAATTGTGAGTATCAAATAGAAAAGTTGTTATAACTTACCAGAAATCAAATTTGTAAGCATTGATTCCAATTCAATTGAAATAAACTTTTCACATAGAACTGATAAAAGGTTTAATAGAGTGTCGTTGATAATGCTGCTGCTGCGGTTTCTTAACATTTATGACAATGGTAAATCATCAGTTAGTAAACCAATTTCACTCACTCTTACCAACTCTCGACTTCATCCGCCCCACTTCAATAACACTCATTGGCGAATGAACAATTTCAAATAGATTCTGTTGTGTTTAAGTACGAGTAGCGTTTAAAGAAGACAAGGAAAAAACGCATAATGATTAATAATTCGCTTTATTTAAAAAAAAAGTTTTTTTTTTACCTTTTAAACATGTGTATTAAAAACACAAATCTGCGATACAGTTACGGACTGTTAATTATTTATTTCTGGACACTGTGGGATATCTTCTTCTGTTGTCTGTTGTGGAGCCTTAGGTTTGATAAATGATAAATTGAACGAGTTTTAGTTTCGGTTTATTATTAAAATATTCGATACGACTTGATTCTTTAACGTTCTTCGTAAGACTGATTACAAATACTTATAATTAACTAAGCAAGGGTGTGGGAGTTTGAGGAGTAAGGCACGGTTTTGATAAGACGCTCCGCTTCACTTGAACATATGAGCGATGTTCTTATCAGTAGTTGGTCTCGATGAAACTGCCTATTGTCAGTTAAAAATAGGAAGGAATGTTGCAATCGCTGGAGGTTCCTTTATGCTTATGTATATGTTTATATAATAAGGCGTCTAAGAGACGCTGTGGATGTCTCTAATTCGTTAATATACTATATTAACAATAATAATTGTAATAATAACGGTTGGACACAACAAATAATTCATTTATTTATTATATAATAAAATTTGAAAAAAAAAATAATGATGATGATTGAGTTTTCGGAATTTTGTATTTTTTGACCCATCGAAGGACAAAACTTTAATTTGAGTGTTTACGGAAATCTGTTTACAAAACAATTGATCGAATTAATATGATGAAACTAGTTTAAGTGTAAGAATAATAAAATTTATTTACGTTTTATTGATATTTTGTACGTAGTTCATTTGTAAAACGTATGATTGAATTAAGCAGACCAAATGCAATTAAATTCAAGAAAAAAAATATTATTGGAAATTTTGTAAGTAAACAATATAAAAGTTAATTTAAGTACTATTTTTTTAATGTTTAAAATATCAGTTAATAGCTTTGTAATGTATCTACAATCACTTCTAATCTTCTCGGAATTAACTTAATGTTTTTGTACTTATTCTAATTCGATAATAATTATGGTTAAATACATTAAAATATAATAAATCTAATTATTAATAATTAATTTAGTAATAGTATAAGTCATAGCCTATGGTTTAGTCTAGAGACCAGGGTTTTCCAAACTTTTCTTGCAACGAAACACTTCATAAATCCTGAAATTTTTCATTATTTATTAAGTAATTAGTTCATTCCAGGTTTTCACGGAACACCAATTAACTTTTCGCGGAACACTGGTGTTCCCAGGAATATAGTTTGGAAAACCCTGCTATAGACTATAATAATCTAAATTTTGTAAAATTTACCTATTAAAATAATCTTAATCTTATTGTATCTTTATTTGTAAAGGAGACACATGCATTTTATCCATTAAGTCTCATCAACTTAAATATCTTTAAAAACAAAATTTCGTCAAATCTTGAGAATTTCATAAAGAAATTATTTATTTTCTTATTCGATATATTTAACAACGAAATTCCTTTTGAATCATGTTCTTGGTAATCTAAGATTTTACATAATTTATTTAATTATAAAATTATCAGCAAGATTTATTTTGTATCAAATAATATTTGTGACAAACACGTGAAATATGTACAAATTACGGAAAGACGATTGGGTCTGAATTATGTATATGGAATATAAATCGCGCTGGTCGTGATCGGTTGCATAATTATTGTTAACTTCGTGGAAGGACAAAATTATGTTTAGAATAATGTTTATTTCATTTATTTCTTATTGCTGCGTTTAGCAAAAAAATATTACCATTTCCATTGTAAACACACAACATATTAAATTCATGCTTCACTTAGTTCCTAGGAAACGCAATATGTTATACAAAGCATTCTTTATTTCAGGAAATATCAAAACTATGATAATATTTGTATCCTAATAGAAAATGTGTATATTCCAAATCTTATATATATATATATTTTGACTAATTGTTTTAAGATCGTAAAAATTTGTAGACGCTTAAATAAATGTATTTATTCAATTTTAATCTTTATTTTCAAATATCTTCAAGTATTTTACGTTGGTGGAACCCAGCCACCAAAGCGTTTGGACAACTCCTCGGCTACGGCAAGGCAAAGTCTGTCTTGTTTGGGAGCGGCGACGATCTGCGAACATCGAATTCATTAAGACGATTGTTAAGTATAAAGTTAATCTATTTAACAACCTGCAGACCGATGGGCATTCCGCTTTTATCAAAGCCAATTGGAATCTGCGTACTTGGACATCCCATTACGTTGAAGATCATTGAGAAGCAGATGCCGTACGCTCTGGTCGCCGTACGGTAATGGCCAAAAGCGGAGCTCGGAAAGGAAGGATAAATGAACACTCCGTTATCCCCGAGCGCTTCCTAAAAACACATTCAATTTAGCCTTCGAAAACATTGCATACTTTGTGTTTTTACTAACATTGAATTGCGATTTCATACGCTCCATTTTTTTCTGGTAATATGGGAAGTGGCTCTTTGGAATGAAACCCGTGTAACGATACAGAATGATGAACATCAGAACAAACAGCGAGAGTCTGCTCTTTCCCATCAGATTTTTCAGTACCTCCATGTAAACGTTAAGATCTTTCTGAAAAGAAACAATACATCGATTTTAATTAATACACGTTGTTGCGTTGTCTTTAAATATTTACTTTCGGATTGTTTGGGTTTTCTAGAAAGTTGGGCAATCCGCCTAACGTCAGGTACATCATGATACAGATCTCAAAGCCGTGCTTGAAATCTTCGATTTCAATTTCTTCCGTTTCCATGCTGAGATGAGACTCCAAATATTGTCTGGCCTCGTTGATTCCTGCCACGATCTCCTTTTGCACCTTCGGCACACCGAACTGGTCATATTTTCCTTTCGAGAAGAACACTTTCAGCTTGCTTAAATCTACCTGAGGATGATTCAGAAATTAGAAATAAGAATTCTCCAAGAGGAACTTCAATTTGTCGTACTTTTTCACTTAAATTTAAGCACGTTCCTTCCGCGCCGGATAAGATCTTCAACATCGGCATCAAGTCTTCGACGTATCTAGTCATTGGCCCGATCGTGAAATAGTCATAGGTCCTATCATCTGTTGTATCCGGATAAAAGCCTTTCTTCGGAACGATCCCTGCGAATCACAAGAAAATAATCTATGTAAATACTTGCGATAATGCTATTTTTACGCGTCGATAATTATAATATGTTTATTATTTACTTGAAGTGGTTTTGTGTCCGTAGATGCCATTGAATTGACACGGAATCCTAATGGAACCGGCAAAATCCGTTCCCAATCCGACAACGGATGCTCCTGATCCAAGCAGGGCTCCCTAAAATATAAAATCACGATATTCAAATGAACAATAGCAAAAGTTGAATTTGCAACCTCTCCGCCAGATGATCCACCTGATGTCCTGTTGGTGTTGTACGGATTCTTTGTCCATCCATTCACCAGATTGATGGACTCAAGTCCAACGCAGTACTCGGGCACCGAACTGACTAAAAGCGGGATGAATCCTGCCCCCTTTAGCCGTTTCAGCGCCTCGGAATCCTCGTAAGCTCTGATCCCCTCTCTCAGGCGTGAACCGACGCTCCACGTTAGACCTAAACACCAATTATTACTATTTACTAAAACTACAATTTATATATTCGATAGATTTACCTTCAACGCCGCAACATTCCTTCAGCGTTATCGGCACACCGAAGAACGGTTTCAAATTCTTCAACTTTTCTTTCGAAAGGTAATGGTTCTTGATAAAACGGTCCGCTTCCCTCGCTTCGTGCATGGCACTCTCATAGCGTTCCTCTGATACTGCATTGATTATGGGATTTACTTCTCTGATGCGATTTATGTACGATTTTATTACTTCTTCGCAGCTCACCTATAATACAATAACTGTTATTTAATAATACTATAGTTATAAAAATTAGGGTTTATACAAAAACCGGTTTTCGAATTTTCACAAGAAAATAGAGAAAAAGGAGTTTCACAACTTATTTTCTATTGCTCACACGGATCTATTGGGTGTACAAAATTTCCAGAAATAGAACAAACTCACTTGCTACAAAGCTGGGTTTAATCGCATTAAATAATGAAGTAAATTATTTATTCTTCTCTTTGTACCCTCTAAAAATTCCTTTTCTTTATTAGGTTGAGGCAGGACAGAGTAACATTTTTAGGTTCTTGAAGATATTTATGAATTGATTGTTTCAAAGCAAGCTATGATTTGTTTTTCTTCTTCACCGCTTTTTAATCATCACAGTCATTCAATAATTTGATACAATCTTGTTAATATTTGTCTAAAAAACTTAATGATCTCACTTTTTGAAGCTAGTGAATGAAATAAACTAGACGTTTTTGTTTAAACTGTAAATTTTGTAAATTAACAAAAATCCTTACTAAGCTAAAACCTTAGATCTAATTTCAGTTTTAATTTTTTTTTCAATTCACGTAACAGAGATTTTGTGTCAATGTTTTTAATCAAATAATTAAAATAATACATATTAATAATATAAATCGACAAACCCTAATAAAAATATACATTTTTTCAAGTCCATTTACATGAACACTCAAGTACATTTTCCAAAAGTATGATTATTTATTAAAACGTATATTGATAGACACGTGAAAGATGAATGAGATGTTATCAATGAAAACATAAACACATCGTCTCACATTTGCTTTCTTGCTTAATTAATCAATATACCCGGATATTCAAATAAAATATGACGAGCAACACGTCCGTGTTTGTTTTTCCAATGCAAAATGTCAATCAATATGTTGATAATATGTTGATAATAATACATTAAATTATCAAAATTGTTAGTTTTCTGTATACATTTCATATCTCTAATTTGAAAACATCTAAATTCAAGGTATAAATATTAATTTTAAACAACACTCATTTATACATTTACTATAGCTTTTAAACATCCTTGATGGTTTTCATTTTCACATGGAAGCAAATTAATTATTTACTGCAACAAAAACATCTTATCAATACCAATATGTTATATTACAAATAGAAAATAGTTCGAATATATATACAAATATTGATCTTCATAACAAAAATAATAATATTTGTTTTTGATTATTTTTACTGTAATCAAATTTGTATGCTTAATCGTGCAATCATGAAATCATTGATATAGTTGGTATTTAAACAAATATTTATAAATAGAAGTTGTTATGATAGGCAACTTATTTATCTCTTTCATATAAAACTATTGATTTAAATCAATGTTTAATTTTGAAATTTATAGTGAAGTTTACAAGATCTTTATTTTATAATATTATTTACATTAATTATTTGTTAGAATTGTAAATATTTTTAAAAGAAAATTGAATTATGTTGATTCTTATTGATTACTTAATTTCTTGTTGTATTTTACAAATTAAGTTCTTAGTCTGACCACTTATTTCTGAGAATGTTATAAACTTTCAAATATCAAGAAATAAGAGTAATTTTCGAACAAAACCTTTGTATTTCTTGAGTATAGTAAAAAGTTATGAAGCTGGTTTCAAATTGACTTTAAAATATTATATTGAGATTGACACTGTTACCTCAGTAGTGATTCAATAAAATTATAATAATCGTAACAAATTAGATTATGAAAATGTTAATGTTAATTTACTATAAGAAGAAAATAGAGATCTATAGGATCACGAGGAGAAGAAACGTATGTTGAGAATGTACTAAAATAATTTGAGAAGTTAACAATTTTTCATTAAAGAAATACCAGTTTTTAAGAAAAATCTGCTGATTCTAAGACCTATGCCAGTTGAATTCTTGTATTTGTCATTCCAGAACTTGAAAAATCTTCAGATGAAATTTTATAAATGAATAAACTTTAAGTAAACTTTTGTAAATATTTTTATATTGTTTTCTGTGACTTATTTATAACTTACATATTTTATTTATTGTTATATTTATAGCAGCATGACCTTTTGAACTCAACAATTGTTATTTATTGTAAGAGAAATTAATTAATTAATTAATTAAGATATTTGATTAACCAGAAAGACGAAGATTGTTAAATACCAAAATAATTGTAAATAAATTTTATGTGTAAATATCAAGGTAAATACCTGCTGATTTCTAATTTTCTTCGCGAGTTGGGTTGCACTCAAGAGGAGCAGTTCGTCCTTGATCGGTGGTACCCTCTGCCTGGGCAACGAATCCAATAGCCAGAGGAAGGGCGCCAGAAGAGTTTCACCGAGTATTATGAAGAATCCGGAGATTCTCACGAGAAGATTCATCGCTATCGCGTCTCGATGAGAACTGACTATTCCTTTGCAGATAACCGCCGCTCGACTTCTTCACAAACAGGACAGAAAAAAAATATCAAATTGCCGACAGTTGATTGCCTCGTGCTTCGGAAGGAAAAAATAGAGAGAGAGAAAGAAGAAAGACAAGAAAAGTGCAAAATGCTTGGAACAGATTACGCCGCATTCGTTATCGCCGTTTTTAGAAAAATCTAAATTTTTGGTGCACGAACGTGGAAACATATATAATTTTTGTTATGCGGAAGATAAGAAGCATTTATCAGCAAATGTTTGATACCAAAGGCCATCCTTGTAGACTACTACCGCCCGGATTTAGTGTTCTTGATTTGTTTTTAATAATTTTTTTATTAACATTTGAATCTAAATATACCATCAATAAACTTTAGATGTTGGTAATTTTTTTTTACTGATATCTGATAATGACTTAGTATTTAATTATGTAACAATTTAAAACTGAAAAGTGTGTATTTACATGAAATTAAAACAGGTTTTTAATATAATTGAGCAATATTTGCAGACAGTTTTCTTAGAATAAATTATTATATAGATAGGTGAAAAGGACTTTTAGAAACCAGTTCAAATATATAATAAGTAATTGATCATAATTTTGTGTCAATTTTACATCTCATTATATAATGATTGTTGTAGATTATATTTGTTTGCATAATATTGTTATTTATATATTTTGCAACTAATAACTAATCTATTATAGGTTGAATGACATCGAAACCTACTGACCTCGACGCATTGCAAAACAAATATTTTTTTCAGTGCAAATGTATTCAATCTAACGTAAAACAGTTTAAAAGAATGCAAAACCTTTAAATCTAAACAAATATAAAAACTAAATTTTTTTAAAAATTTATATATTTTTTTTTTATAAAAAAAACAATTAATCACTAATTAATCTATATAAAACTTTCAATATTACTTAAATACATAAATAATTCTAAAATTATTTGCAATTCAAATATAAAGTGAGATAAATAAATTAATTAAATATCTTTTAAATTTCTACTGTAGTCGGTGGAACCCAACCACCGAAATGTTTGGATAATTCTTCGGCAACTGCAAGACACAGCCTATCCTGATTCGGTCCTGCTACGATCTAAAACAATCAAATATTGATACATAATGGCATAATTTGAATTCCTATAATTTGATGTTAGGCAATTCTTCTAACAATAAATAGGCAACAATAGTTACTTTATACCAAACAATTTGTTATTAACTTCTCTTATTAATTAATAACAATAAATATCAAAAAAATGTATTAGTAATTGTTATTAATGATAATTACCTGTAAGCCAATGGGCATTCCATGTTTGTCGAATCCAATTGGAATTTGAGTGCTGGGACAACCCATAACGTTGAAGATCATGGAATAGCAAACGCCGTACATCCTCGTGAAGACCTGGTAATGTCGAAACGCGGAACTTGGAAACGTTGGATACACGAAAATTCCGTTATCACCTAACGACTCCTAATAATACAGAACACGTAAACAAACTGTAACAAATCGCATTTATGCTTAAACTCACCAAGAAAGCTTTCTTTAAGGTTTCCAATTTCTCTTGGTAAAAGGGCAGATGTTTCCTGGGCATAAAACCGTTGTATCTATAGAACACTATGGTCATAAGCAAGTAAAGTGAAAAACGACTTCTACCTAAAATATTTTTTAAAATCTCCACGAAAAGATTGGCTTCTTCCTAAACAAAAAAAAATCATTCATTCGATAATTTGACATTAAAGGTTTTTATTACTTTAGGGTTTTGCGGATCCTGCAAGAATTTGGGCATTCCTTTCAAACTCATGAACATCATAGCGCTTATTTCAAAACCTTTTTTTAAATCTTGTATCTTAATTTCTTCGGTTTCCATCTGGTAATTCGAGATCAGAAAATTTCTGGCTTCATTGATTCCATCACGAATTTCCTTTTGCACTTTTGGAATTCCGAAGAGGTTATATTCACTGTTGGAATATAACACTTTGAGTTCCGTCAAATCCACCTTCAATATGAAATGCGTTATTGAAATGTTAAAAATGATACAGATTCGGTTACCTTTTGATCTAACTTCAAATTGGATCCTTCTGGTCCGGAGATGATTTTCAATAAAGGTTTGAGATCTTCCACGTATCTGGTCATTGGACCAATGGAGTAGTATTCGTAAGTTCTATTATCTGAACTATCCGGATAGAAACCTGTGTAAGGTACAGCATCTAGAAATATAATCTTAAGTTTATTGTGTTGAGAAATAATTACTTATGGAATACTTGAGGTAGTTTTATGGCCGTAGATTCCATTGAACAAGCAAGGAATCCGAATCGATCCAGCCAAATCTGTGCCTAAACCAACCACCGAAGATCCTGATCCAATCAGTGCACCCTAAGTTCATTAAAATATTAATTATTTTATTATGTAACAGTTTTAAAATTCTTAATAACCTCTCCGCCTGAAGATCCTCCACTAGTTCTTCTAATGTTGTACGGGTTTCTGGTGCATCCAGTTAAAAGGTTAATCGTTTCCAAAGAGACGCAATATTCAGGCACAGTCGTGACTAAAAGTGGTATAAATCCAGCTAATTTCAATCGCCTCACAGCCTCGGAATCTTCACTAGCTTTAATATCTTTACGTGGGCAAGATCCAGCGCTCATAGAAAGACCTAGTACGTAAATATATGTAAGAAACATCTTAAGAATTGTGTATTTTACCTTTGACCCCGCAGCTCTCCTTGAACGTGATGGGAACCCCAAGGAACGGTTTCAGATTTTCCAATTTATCAAGGGAAATTTTAGTATTTTTCAAAAATAAATCGATGGACTTTGATTCATCCAAAGCCTCGATAAATCTTTCATCAGATACCGCATTTATTATCGGATTTACTTCTTTGATCCTGTTTATGTATGCTGTTACGACGTATTCGCAGCTCAGCTAAAATTAGAATTTTTTAAATAAAACTAACATTCATTGACTTATTGATTGATTTTCTTAAATTTGTAGTAGAAATAATCGAAGTGTTTTTTTATAATGTTACCTCTCTATTTCTGATCATCCGCGAAAGTCTGCAAGCGCTGTACAACAACACTTCATCCGTGATTGCGGGAATCTTAGGTTTCGGAAGCCAATCTAATAATCCCAAGATCGGAGTGATTATTTTGTCGAGCAGTATTGCAAGGAACCCGGCGAATCTCACGAGCAGATTCATCTTGATTCAAACTCGAACTAAATTCGTAAACAACATATTTAGTGTTTATATAAGCGAATTATCGATCATTAGAACTCTAGTCAACATTTTTTGCAACGATGCTGTTTATGCGGTTTTTTTGTAATTATAAAATCGCTGCGACCTTTGTAAACTCCATTTTTTAAATATTTGTAAACAGTGAATAAATAAAACAAATTTATACATACATATCTATTCATAATTATCCATGATTTATGCATTAATTATGATGAGAAATAAATTGTTCTTTATTAAATTACAAAATATTAACATATAGATTATTACTGTTAAACACGGAATTGAAGTAATTATAAAATATTGATAACCCTCTTATCAAAATTAAAAAAAAAAAACTATTTGCACTGGACCATCTTTTCTTTAAATGTGAGTCAGTCTTAATTATTAATTTGAAGGAGGAATCCATCCACCGAAGGCTTCTCCAAGTTCCTCAGCAACAGCAAGGCAAAGCCTATCTTGATTCATGTTGGCAATTACCTAAAATTATATTGGATACATTAAGAAGTTTACTAAACATTAAGTAGATTTATTTTTACTTGTATAGCCACTGGAAGTCCTTTCCTGTCGCAACCTATTGGAACTGTGGTGGATGGGAAACCCAAGATGTTGACAATAAATGCGTAATAGATGGAAGCGTATCCCAGCATCCATTCCTTGTGTCTTTGGGCGGTTGTCGGATAAACCGGATACAAAAACACACCGTTATCTCGTAAACTTTCCTAAAATGATTATTTTATAGGATTAGATTAATACATCTCATCATAGATTTATAGAATCCTTACGGCCATTTCTTCTCTGAGCTCATCGATAACTTTGAAGTACTTCTTGACTTTGCGTTTTGGCGTCCACTTGGTGACAGTGTCGAGAATATCATGGACCATAGTGTATTCGCAGAAACGGGACAGGCTGAACGCATTGATCAGAAGTTGTGGAACGGCCCAGAATTTTTCCTGTAAATTAATAAAAAAAAATAAATAAATACGACATTTTCTAACATCATATTTTCACTCACGGTTCCGGCTCTGAGAGGAGACACGTATTCCAGAGTACTGGATGCAGCTGAGCACATTTCCGGGGATAATCCCAAATTCTGGAACTTCTTGTCGCTGATCTCTGCTTGACATTTATCCTTAAGATGTCGGACGGAATCGCGAATCGCCTGCTTAATTTCCCTTTGTACTTTCACCAGACCAAAGTTCGTCTTGCAATCTTCCATGAAGAAAACGCGAATTTTACTTAAATCTACCTGAAAATTGAATAACACAATATAATTACAGCAATAATATATTTGTTGCCACTAATAAATATAAGTATAACGATAAAAAATAATTTTCAATCAACAATCAACATTATAAGAATACTTTAAATCTTCAAGTTTACAATGTCAATTTCGAATATGTGAAAATTTGAGTTAATCATACCTTTTCATTCAATTTGAGACTACCCATGTTTTCACCTAAAACGTTCATCATCAATCTGAGATCTTCTGGGTAACGCACCATTGGACCAATTGCCAGGTACCTGTTAAACTCCTCGTTATCAGATTCAGGTAAAGATCCATTGGTAGGAATGTAACCTGAACAGTAAATATTAAACTTAGAATTACATCGAGGAATATCTTATAATAATCATTACCGTGAGTTGGTTTATGACCGAAAATGCCATTAAATGCAGACGGGAAGCGAATGGAACCAGCCAAATCCGATCCAACTCCGATTAGTGAAGCTCCACTTGCTAACAAAGCTCCCTAACAAAACAATAATTAGAATAACATTAACGAGATTTTCTTTTATATATAAATTTATATTTTAAAGCACGATTTTTTATTTTGCAGTTTCGATCAGCCTTTACTGCGTCCTTCGAATTTTAAATGTTAATTTTTGTCTCCCGTATTTGAAGACCAGTTTTATTATCTTGGTACACAACAATTATTTCCCGTAAATTGATTTCTACCTTGAATAAAAACGCCTTGAATTTCTCTCCTTGCTTTTAAATTTATTGAACTTGTATTAAGTGAAAACTCTTTGTATTTCTCACCTTACTCATACATTTTTTAATCTTGCATTAAACAAAATCTCTATATATTTCATGCTTATATTTTTTGATCTAATATTAAGTGAAAACTCTTTATTTTTCTCCTCTGGTCTTTATTTTTTTACAATATTTCCTAAATGAATTTCTCTATATAGAAAATATTACTTATGAATTCATTTTTTTAGATTTCAAAATCCAGTTTCAATGTTGAAATTATTACCGAAACTATAAATTAACTAATTTTAGAAATACACATTTTGTAGTCAAAACAATTTAGATCTGAGTGAAATGTACGTTCGCGACTTTTGGACTTTAGTTCATTACTCTTACAACATATACAATATTCGAGACGTGTGCTACATTTTGATGTAGCAAATAAGAAACAGAACACCTGGGCATTGAACATCGACCGATTGATTGAATACGTTCAGACAGATTCTAAATTTGTATCGACGTTCGTGCCTTGCATAAACTATTTTTACAAATAACAAACTTCTATAAACTTATTCAATAATTATCACGTTTTTTTCTATTATTGCATTCAATGAAAGTTTGAATTTAAACACACTTATTGCAATAAACTAGTATATTTTAAACAGTTTTTTTATTGCTTTTAAAAGCTATGATTTATGTAAAAAATATTCTATAATTATACAATTATTACGTTTTTTTATTGTTGCAATCAATAAATTCTATATTTATTCAATAATTAAGTATGTAAACTATTATTTTTAGTTTTGTTTTAAGTTTATTTGTGAATTTATGACTTCTATAAAAATTCTTCTTTAATAATTACTAAACTAACACGTTTTTTCTCTGAAATGAATTTGATTTTAGTTATGGATTCAACTATTGTAATCAATAAATTCTATAGTTATTCAATGATTTCTATTTTTCTTTCAATATTAAACAGTTTTGCGTACGTTTTAGCTGATAATTTTAAATATGCCACGAATATGATGCGTGATTCCAAAAGTGAAAACATTTAATTATAATGTTCGTGCTCGTGGCAACTGATTGTTAATAATCAAGCAGTAATTGCAGTATATACGATTGTTTGTTTTCTTTAGATTTTTTTTTCCCAAATAATTATAAACTCACGTAGCAATTATCTAAAACCATTATGAAAGCTAGTTATAAAATGTAGATGTTTTATGTGTTCATAGCAATATAATATTTAACAATATTCTCTTTATGATTGGCTAGTTAATAATAAATTCGTTTAATTGATAATGACGTTGTCGCAATCCGAGATCAAAGCGCAAAGTCCATTCGAGAATCGTCATTTTTTGTTTTAATTTTGATCTGTTTGCGTGCTGAGTAAAAAAAAACACACACACACATGAAGTGATGTTTCAGCGCAAGATTTGTCGGCCATCAGCTGTATGATAAATATTTACAGACAACGCATCCTGACCGAAAGTCGCGGTGGAGTTCTAAATTTAGACGCACGTTTAAAGATAGAATGTTATTACAGGAGACAAACGAATTCCTTTTTACGCGAGAAATATAAACACTCGAGAGACGCTTTATAATTAGAGCAGATGATGTGGACCTCTTACCTCGCCTCCAGAAGAACCTCCGGTGGTGCGCATCGTGTTGTAAGGGTTATTGGAAATACCGAAGACTTTGCTGTATGTCTCCATGCACATGCAGAACTCAGGTGTTGTCGATACCAAAATCGGTATGGCACCTGCCGCTTTAACCTTAACCACAACATCGCAGTCTTCCTCTGCTTTGAATCCGATACGAATCTTCGAGCACAAAGTCGAACTCAAGCCTTGAACAGGTAAATTTTCTTTGATGGTGATCGGAAGCCCCAGAAGAGGTTTCGTTCTCCTCAGCTCATCCAGATCCACGTTATCATCGTCCAACATAAGATCTACTTTCTTTGCATCTTGCAAAGCCGCCTCGAACCTATCCTCAGCGACGCAATTAATCGTAGGGTTAACTTCTTTGACTCTCTGAATGTACGCGTTAACTAAATCATAGCTTTTGATCTGAAAACAAACGTAAAGTAATGACACAACTTAATTTTTATGATACAAATTACCTCTCGATTCCTGATCTTCTCCGCCACTTTAGAGGCACTGATCTTCAGCACGTTGTTGGTGATTGGTGATACCTTTGTGTACTTTCTGTAGAAGAACAGGATGATTTTCATGTACCGCACGAACGTGAATATCGCGACGATGGAGCCGGTCATCAGCCTTAGCAGGATGTCCATCGTGGTCAGCGGTGAAGGCGAAACTGAGAGCGCGTTGCACGTTGCTACTCTCGCTGCAGCCGACTTACATAACACCAACAACATTGGACATAGAGGCATGCATTTGTGTAACGCAGAAAAAAAACTCCAACAGGTTTTTTTTGTCCTCTCTGGCGACACGCATTCGTTAAAACCAATATAACATTTTCATTACGAGGAATTAGAGGTCAAGATCGAAAATATTTATTAAGAGCTGTTTTTTTATTAAACGTTTTAATTATACACAGATATAGATTTAAGTGCATCCAGTTTTTTTTAATAATTAATCAATTAAAAGCACTCAGTTTTAAAATTATTGACATAGACTTTACAGATAATTGTTTTGTTCAATAATTAAGTAAAAGCGAAAGTTCAAAAATTTACAGATAATTTCATTTTTATCAAGATAAAGAATTAAATCTTGATATAAAATTGATTTGAATATTTAGATACATATAAGAATATAATTTTTTAACCAATTTCTTATTTTATTATCAAAATTTTCAGACTGTTTTTAAAATTAGATCATCAATAAAATTACTTCAGTTTAATTTCAATACATTTTTTTATGGATTTTAATAAAATTCTATTTTTTATGATTTGTTGTAGATTTGTTTAACCAATCTCTTGTTTATGATTATTTAAAGAGAAGTTCCAAAGTGCATTTAAAATATTCAATTATTTAAAGCAAACAAAGTCAATGTTGTTGCTTATTGATAAAGGACGTGTATTGGGAGCAAAACAGTAGACGAGAAAGTGAAATCAGTAAAGAAAGGAAGTGAAGGACGCAGCCTGGAAAAAATGTTTCACATTCAACAGATTCTTACATTATGTTTCATTCCCGTCAATCTAGCTTCTTTCTACTTTTAATTATAAACATTTAAATGCATACAAGTCATGCATTAATCACGAGGACAATGATTGTTTAAGAAAATGACAAAAATAAAATTGTTAATGTATAAAATGAGTTGCTTGAAATTATACAAATCTTTGTGCGCGGATATTTTTAGAATTGTATAACGTCTGTTTGTGCAACTATCACATAATAAATTCTAATTTGATTCAACGTAAAAGTTTTTATATATTCATAAATAACAAAAATATAAAAAGGGAATTAAATTTTATTATTTATTACTTTTACTTTAACATTGAATATATTCAGATTTGCTTTATAAAATTTTGATAATACACGATAAAAAAAGATTTTTTTTAACTAATCTATGATTCTTGTGGTTTCCGTTTCCGAACTAAGTAGAATTTCTTAAAAAATTCTATGAATAATTGAGTTTTCATTAGTATTATTACATAATGTTTGGATCTTTTAGAGCTATTGACCAAAGTCTTTCTGTAGCATATTTAAATTTTAAGTAAATATGTAAAATTAACTATATGATTTAAAATAAATATTATGGATTCTAGTTAAAATTAATTTATAAAAATGAAATATAAGCTCTTTTTTTCGGTTAAATTCCTTTTGTTTTCGATGAAAATTGCAATTTTAGAATAATTTATCTAGAATATCTCAATGTGATCAATAAGTATGTGTATGCAACCAAATATACGCATTGTATTTTATAATTATTAATCAGAAGTTGATAAGAAGAAAGGATTTTATATATTTATATTAAATAATTGTATCCAATTATCTTTACATATATAAAATAATCAAAGTTAAAAATAACTTATGCATATTTTTAGCCGGTCGCAATCGCAAACCCGACAACTGAAATACCGTCAATCAAATTCCCGATGTTTGATACAGTCGCGATTTTGATATAGTCGGGATTATGGTTGTCGAGATTCTAATACAGTTGGGATTATTGTTGTCGAGATTTTGATATAGTCGGGATGTCGAACGTCGGGATTTTTTTCGGTTGTCGGGCTGCGATATAGACCCATTTTTAGCATGTTAAAGTACATTTTTATCTTTGTATTTAAATTTGTTACATTAATCTAATACAAAAATAGTATATCCCATTGAGCAGAAAGACATATGCAGCAGTTGAATTTTATTATTATTATTGCATTAAGTTTTTTTTTCATTTTTTGTAATTTATTGTTGCAATAAATATTACGCCCTCTGTACGAAAATATGATCTACATTTGTAAGAAAATCATAGATTATCTAGAGTTTCGAAAGCAACTGTTAATACTCATTATATAGCTATTACTTACATTAATAACTAAATAACATAACATATTTAACAGTCGTTACTTTTGAGTTAAGTTGGAATTTGAAGACCATAAACTAGTTTTTTTTTAAGAAAAATATAATAGAAAAATTTAACCCAAATAACGTGAATATACAAAGAAAATATGCCAAATCGAAGCAATTGACTAATGATAAATATCTTGCAAGAGCTATTACAGTATATGAAGAACAAAGAAAAATTAGAACATGGTTCTACTGATGGTTGGATTATTCAACTTAAGTCACAACCACTACCGATTTAAACGTTCTCGATTTGTTTTTTTTTACTCTATTTAATTACTACAACTTGAAGCTTCGCCAAACACAATTGTTGCATAGATTTAATGTGTTCAATATGAATTTAATAAATTAGAGAGAAATACTCTTAACTACGTTTTTATAACATTACTAACGTGTATGGAATCAATTATGTTAACAGGAGGAGAATATTTCAATAAATTCCAACATATAAATCAGGTAAAACTTCGTCGTGAGAGTCTATTAACTGAAATGTATACAAAATGTATTTGTTCAAAAGAAGCGTTCAACAAGGCTAAATCTCACATTAAGTAAATTTGGATTACACTAAAATTATTTGTATTTAATAATTTTATTATTGTGGTAATAAAATTTAATTGTTTTCGCAATTGTATACCATATTTTCGGACAGGGAGTATTACTTCCTTGAATATGTTTCAACTATATACATTTACTTAACTCTTTGAGGAGCCAAAAATTCCCAAATTTCTAGACCCAACAAAGTTCTAGACAACTGAATTAGACAACTACGTCAACTGAATGGTATGGACTATCAAAATTCATCATGTCAAGACATACCAAAGGGCGGCCGTAGCCGTGTGGCTATGGTCGCCTGTATCACGAACATCTGATACGAAATGTCGTTGGTTCAATTCCGAAAATCAACAAAAATTTGTGGTGGCTGTTAAACCCGAAAGGGGTAGAAATAGGGCCGGAGAGATTTATATCAATAAATAAATTGATATAAATCTCTATTTATAAAAAAAAAAAAAAAAAAAAAAGACATACCAACCAATTTCTAGAAAATTATAATAACTCACTACTAGGCATGTTTAAAATATAGTACATTGCGTGTACCACCGTCCCTCAAAGAGTTAAACTGGATGTGAATTAAAAAAACTTACTTACTGAAGTAGACGTGGTTGCCTACCTTGTATGACCATTCGAAACTGTTTCTTTCTTCTATAATTAAAAAAGATTTAATTCCTTCAATTAATACTAAGTAATACTGCAATAGTCATATATATTATTAATATTTTTTAAATCTAAAGATTCTAATCCATCTAATTCCTTATTATTATAATAGTTTATTTATGTACAACAATCTTAATTTTAAAATGTAAATAAAAATAAATTAAAAGGGGTGTTTCCATCCATCAAAATAACTCTCTAACTCTTGTGCTACAGCAAAACATAATCGATCCTGATTTGGAGCAGCCATCACCTAAATTTCGATTCAAGTATAAAGTTATTATGTGATTTCAAGAATTTACCTGTATTCCAATTGGTAATGCCGTATGGCCAACACCAGCAGGTAGGGCAGTTGTAGGTAAACCTAACACGTTTGCTATGGCTGAGTATACGAAACCAATACTTGCATAAAAGCAACGTTTATGTGGGAATGCCGATGTTGGGAATGATGGCATGATGAGAACACCATTATCTACTAACTCAGAGAACTAAAAATTGTGTATTAGGTAAATGAATTTTACTTTAATTTAGAATCTCTTTTTTCAATTCTTCAATATCATCTTCATACAAAGATATGTCCCCGACGGTTAACGAAGGAAAAGATCTGAAGAACAAGATCATAAGCGTGTTATAGGGTAAATCTGATTATCCGAAAATGTATTTGAACATTTCCTTTATGACATTGACCTTAAATTTTTAAATAATTATTAAGAATTATGGAATTAAATTTGGAATGTTCACATTTTTTGTATAGATCCATGTCGTTTATCGAGATAATAGAAGCGGCGCAAAATCTCCAGCTTCTTAAATTTCTTTTCGCTTATGGATCGACCAATAAGTTTTTCCCATGTAATCCACAGACTTCTCAATAGCAGATCGGACCTCCTTTTGCTCTTTCAACTGTCCAAACTCGTTACCCAAAGCTTCCATAAACAAAATTTTCAGCAAACCAATTTTCACCTGCAATTAAAAATAATGAAATTCATGCTGAAAATCTAGCTTCAATCAATTACAGGTTCATCTAACTTTAATAATTTCGCTTTGTTTCCAGTTAAAATTTTAGCTATCAACGGTAGATCTTCAGAGTATCTGGTCATTGGTCCTAACGTCAACATATATTTTGGGATCTTGTTTGTAAGGAAAGTGATTGATCAAAATCTGCAATAATAGTTATTGAATTGATGTAATTGGTTTGATTAGATAAAGTTAGCGTGTTACGTGGTGAAAATTTGTGTCCGAAGATGGCGTTGAAGGCACAAGATATCCTTATGGAACCGGCAATGTCTGAACCTATTCCGCAAATTGAGGCTTCAGCTCCAATCAATGCGCCCTAAAATGTTATTACAATTGTTAAATTTTGATTTAATAATGAACTTAATAATAACTAACTTCACCACCGGAAGATCCTCCGCTATTGTAGAGAGTATTGTACGGACAATTAGTGGCTCCACTGACCAAGTTGTAGCATTCTATGCTATTGCAGAACTCAGGTGTGTTGGTAACGCAAAGAGGTATAGCTTCTGCAGCTTTTAATTTAGAAACGCAATCTCCATCCTCTTCAGCTTTAACACCAATTATTTTGCAGCTCCCACCACACAAGCTCATGCCCTTCAACGATGCGCTCTCCTTAATGGTAATCGGAATACCAAACAGAGGATTATCAGTTTCGAGCTCTTCAACGGTGTAATTTGAAATCGTTCTGTCGCATTCATTCGCCTCCGCAAGGGCTTTCTCAAATATGTCCTCCACGATGCCATTCAAACACTATAGGATTAACGACTTTCAAATGTTCGATGAATAAAGAAACCAACTGCTCGCAGGTGATCTAAAATCAAACACGGTTTAGCACCTGCAGCTGCTTATTATAACCACTTACATATCTCATGCGCCAAAGAGCTGGCACTAGTAGTAAACACCGGATTCGTTGGCCTTGGAATGCGTTTCCTATTGTCGAACAGTCTCATAATAGGTGCAAACATGTAATATATTATGGACACGAGAATCCTGATTATACGAAAATGTACAACGATCGAAGCCATCTTTCATAGCAACTATACTCAGAATTGAATTTGTTAAATATTTGTAAGAGAAACACCATATTTGTATGATTATTGGGAGGTCAGCTATCATCGCTATCAATGTTTGCTTTGAAAATATCATTTTTATAATATGCACTTTGGGTACAACAGATATAATAATATCAAACAGTGTCTTGAATCGCAATGTGACATTAAACAATAATAATTGTCTATCTCAAGTAAATATTTCTTTAAATCTATTTACAAAAAATAAGCAGACTGCAAATCATCAAATTGATATAATCTTTTAAATGTGATGAATTTGTTTGGTGTAAGGCGGCGGTGTCCATCCGCCAAAGTACTTCTCCAATTCTTTAGCCATGGCAAAGCACAGTTTATCGTTGAATGGTTTAGCAGTAAATTTGATCGTGGAAATGAGCAGTAGATGGAAATCCGGGGTATATGAAAACCCAGTTATCGCCTAAAACATTAATAAATTTCTTTCTAGAAGCCGCAACGAGTTTCATATTGCGCTGATTTATTTCATCATTTGAGAGCCAATTAAATATGGCTTTAACATAAACGTATATGAACCCATGCAGAACAACATTTTAATTGCTTCCAAACAGAACGATTTCTCATAAGAAAAAACATTGTCCGCAGATTCAATATATACAAGAAAGTTAAATCAAATGAATCGGACATCTCCTCTAATTGTATCTAAAATAAACCAAATCTTTCGCATTTATCTAACTTGAATTAGGCATAGAATAACTTCTTTCGTAAACATTTCTGAGATTTTAAGTCTCCTAATAACTTTTCTTATAGTGTTGACAATATCTTTGTAAACTATATCTGCTCCGAAATGTCCTCTCGATTCTATATAGTATACTTTAATAGTTTTAGGATTGACCTGTAAAGACATATATTCAGATTGGTATATGTCAACATAACAGAAATAAACCTCTTGAAGTAAATTAGCCGATTGCCTCATATTTGGTTTAGCCATGATGTTGGTAAGTAACGGTAAATCTACCGTGTATCATGTCAATGGGCCGAATGAGAATACAAATTTAAACAATTCTTCATTCGTACAACGTGGGAAATGTCCAAAAGTCGAAATCAGATGAGGACTAGGTTTATGTCCGTAGATTCCGCAGAAGGCAGGCGGTATTCTCAAAGACCCAAGAACATCTGATCCGACTCCGATAACAGAAGTGCAAGAGCCTAAGAGAGCAGTATATAAAAATGCATTTTAAATTAAATTTTTGCTAATTTATTTTGATCACTTCTCCTCCAGAAGAGCCACCGCATGCTCTTCGTGTATTGTAAAGATTTAGTGTTCTTCCTGTGACATGATTAAATGTCTCCCAATTGTAGCAAAGCTCAGGAGTATTCGAAACTAATAATATAATGACTCCAGCCGTTTTTAATTGGGCCACGCAATCCGCGTCTTTATCTGCCACCGTTTTGACTCATCAGGTGTAATTGGTACACCTAGAAGAGGATATTTTTCTATATATGCATTTGTAGTACAATAGTTTGGGCAGATACAGAATGGTCAGAACTTTGATGGACAACAACCAGAAACAGTGGATCACCGCTCGAATCATCTTTTTAAAATTATAGAAAAAAATCCTCTGAGCGGTTTGAGATACGCACATACATCGTATTGCATAATCCAATTGTCGGGTTAATTAAAGGAAGTTTCAGTGTTTAATATAAATCTGATTATATCCGATATTCTTCTCTTTAAAACTACAATGAGAAGATTATAGAGTGCTTAGATTATACAACAATAAACGTATAATTTTATTTATTCTGTAATTAGAAAGTATATGCAATCCTAATGACATTAATACATTAATGTTTATAATCCATTACGAATTTATTATCTATTTATAATTAACAATAAATAAACTGCAAATCGTCTAATGACTATAACCTTTTAAATGTTATGAATTTGTTTTGTGTAAGGCGGGGGTGTCCATCCGCCAAAATTCTTCTCCAATTCTTTAGCCATGGCAAAGCACAGTTTATCGTTGAAAGGTTTAGCCACAACCTGAATTCCAATCGGTAATCCTTTGGTGTCCACTCCCAAAGGACAAATTGTGACTGGAAAACCTAGCACATTGAAAATTCCCAAGTATGCGGTGTTCAGAAACTTGGAGTAGATCTGATCGTGGAAATGAGCCGTAGCTGGAAATGCGGGATATATGAAAACCCCGTCATCGCCTAAAATGTTAATAAATTTCTCTCTGAAATCCGCGACGAGTTTCATGTTTCGCTGATTTCTTTCATCACTTGAGAACCATTTGAACATGACTTTAACACAAGCGTAGAAGAACGCATTTGGTATCACCGAACCCATGCAGAACAACGTTTTAATGACTTCCAAGCAGAACGATTTTCCATAAGAGAAAGCATGCTCTAAAGTCTTGATATTTAGTAGAAACAAGAAAGTTAAATCCAACGAATCGGACATCTCCTCCAATTGTATCTAAAATTAACTGAATCATTCGCATGTCTTTAACTTTAATTAATCATTCAATAACTTTTTTAGTAAAAATTCCTGAGATTTTAAGTCTCCTAATAACTTTTCTTATAGCGTTGACAATATCTTCATTAACTTTATCTGTTACGAATTCTCCACTCGATTCCATATAGTACACGTTAATAGTTTGAGGATCGACCTACGAAGAGATATATTCAAATTGGTATACGTTAACAATACAAAAATTAAACCTCTTGAAGTAAGTTAGCCGATTGTCTCATATTTGGTTTAGCCATGATGTTTGTAAGTATAGGTAAATCTACTGCGTATCGTGTCATTGGGCCAAATGAGAAGACGAATTTATACAATTCTTCATCGGTGCAAGGTGGGAGATGACCAATAGTCGAAATCAGTTGAGGACTAGGCTTGTGTCCATAAATTCCGCAGAAGGTAGGCGGTAATCTCAAAGACCCAACAACATCTGATCCGACTCCGATAACAGAAGCGCAAGAGGCTAAGAGAACAGCCTACAAAAATCACATTTTAAATTAAACTTTTGCTAATTTCTTATAATCACCTCTCCTCCAGAAGAACCACCGCAAGTTCTTCGTGTGTCATAAGGATTAAGCGTTCTTCCCGTGACGTGATTAAACGTCTCCCAATTGTAGCAAAGCTCAGGAGTATTCGAAACTAATAATATAATGACTCCAGCCGATTTTAATTGGGCCACGCAATCCGCGTCTTTATCTGCTCTTCGGATTGGACCGTTTCCCTTATAACCACCGTTTTGACTCATTCCGGCAACAGCAACCACTTCTTTGATTGTAATTGGTACACCTAGAAGAGGATATTTCTCTCCAATTTTCTGGACGCTCATCTCACCTCTCGCCACGTATGCATCTACCAGTCGGGCTTCTTCCAAAGCCGCATCGAAACGCTCCTCCACAACGGCATTTAATACTGGATTGACTTCTTTGATTCGGTTTATGTAAGCCTCTACGGTTCTAGCACTCGATACTTCTCCAGTTCGGATTCTTGCAGCCAATTTGGTGGCAGGTAAAAAGTAAATGGGATCGGAAACCGGAGGACATCTCTTTGGAGAGACACATTTGTAGTATAATAGTTTGGGTAGATACAGGATGGTCATAACTTTGGTTAACAGAAAGCAGAAACCGTGGATCAACGCTCGAATCATCTTTTTAAAATGATAAAAAAATCTTCAGCGCTTTCTAAGCTTCGCAGATATATCGTGCTTGCATAATACAATTGACTGGTTAATGAAAGGAAGTTTCAGTGTTTAATATTTATCTGTTAATATCCGATACTTTTCTCTTTAAAACTACGATCAGAAGATTATAGAGTGTTTAGATTATACAACATTAAACTGTGACAGTCCAACATGCAAACCATAATTATACGAAACGTATAATTTAAATATATTAGAAGTTCAATTTAAAATAAAGTTTCATTAGGTATTATTATTTTTTCTCACATAATCACTGTTATTCATGTTATTATCGGTGTTATAACAATTTATTTAAATATAATATATTTAATTAAACTGCATTTAACTTACGTTTTAGCAATGTAACAATTTTGAATTAAAATCAATTCACTTAATCGTATTAACTTCAAACCCATGCACAACAAAATCAATTGGCTAAGGTCCAACTGTTTCCCAGTGCCAAATAGTATTAAAGTACCTGCTCAAACTGACATTTTGCGTTTTGTGAATCTCGAATAGCTTTTACGTGCAAATAATATGATTAAACTGGTAACAACCTACGACAATAAAAATAAATTATTATTTAGTTACCTCAATAGAATTCTTCAGAAAAAAAAACAAGATTTATATAATATATGTAATAATATAATTTATGAAATATATGTAAAGCAAGTTTAAAATGAAAATACTAACAATAAATGAACACAAAAAGAACAATAAAATAATAATTGTGATGAAAATCCAAAAATTGCAATTGCAAAATAAAATCAAGGAAAATGTTGTAAGTATTATGAATCGAAGTTTTAACTTCAAATTAACAAAAACTATTAGAAAGATGATTAATCTGAGATGAAACTTTAACAACTGGTAAAAAAAAAACATGAAATATCACTAAGATAAAACGAAAATATTTCATTTGAAACCATTGAAGAATTTATCACATCTTTTATTATAAATAAAAAATATTTAATTTTTTTTTTATAATCGATTCTCATAAGTTTATTTAAAAGGAATAAAATAAATTATTGTAAAACAAATTTATATAACAATATAATTTCAAGGTAAATATATTTTAAGTACAATAAAAAATATATGTTTTTTAATGATAGTAAAATTTCTATTATAAATATGAAGAAAGTAAGATTTTAAAATTTCTTCGAAAATATAATAAAAACAGGATTGTTTCCAAATTGCAATAATTTAATCATAAATGTGTCAAGCTGGAACTTACCTGTCGATGAACAGCTTTCCAGTAACTAAACGTATGTTAGTTAATAAGGTTTAATTTTAACAAATTATAACACACATCTGTCTCAAGCGTCATTAAAAAAATAAATACATGCACGTGTATTTGCATCATAAAGTTCAAAGTCAATATTTAAAGATGAAAAGTATCTCTTTCTCTCTCTTGACTATTTGAAATTTCAGGGAGGCTGCGGGGTCTGCGTGGAAGCGCCACAGGTATCAGGATAACAGAACTTGCGAAGGATCGTTCGTGTCCTTGCGCACAGTAGCAATCAGTAAAATCGTTTAATCAGAAAATCATTCACATTTCTTTATATTATTACAATTAAGGATTGCCGACTCTGAGGTTTTTTATCATTATAAGTGTATTGAGTTGATTATGTTGGTCCAAAAACTCTCATGACAGGATTTTACAGTAGCTTACATACAGGAAATTCTAAACGAAATTTCAAAAACGTTAATTTCAACGCGCGTGATAGGTTTAGTGTTACTATATTAGTTTTTATGCAGTAAAGTAAGTCTGTCAATTCAAAACTATTGTAGAAGTTATCCATTTAAAAAGTATGTCCTTTTCCTAGGTATCTTTTGAATAGTTCGAGCGCTACAAATACAACATGACCTATCTTATGGGTAACAAACGGTTCTTTTGTATGTAAATCAAAATGTTTAAAATAAAACCATAAATTCATACAGATTTATACTATATTTTACCTTATTGTTAGTCTTGACATAGGAGGCATAGCTTCATATAAAGAGAAAAAAAAATCTCCAGAGCAATTATCTATGTTTTCCAAATTGTCTGTCTATAATTGATCAAATTTGTGTATTTGCTTAGTTTTATCATCGTTTTCATTATAAACTGCACATAACATTAAATGCATATAATATCAAACTGCATATTAGATAATATCACATATTTGTGTCGGTTGTCTCTCACAAAATTTGAACCTTCATACATAGGGTTTGTCGGTTTGCCGTTTTTTTAAGGATTTTTTTAAAATTCATAAACCGGTTTTTCCAACTAAACACCGAATTTTAAGGCTTAAAAACATAAAAATGTTGACACAAAATCGTGTCTGTTACGTAAATTGAAAAAAATGAAAACTGGAATTAATTCTAAGGTTTTAGTTTAGTAGGTTTTTTAGTTAATATACAAAATTCACAGAACGTTTACACAAAGACGTTTAGCTTATTTCTTTCACAAGCTTGAAAATGTGAGATCATTAAGTTTTTTTTGGACAAATATTATCAAGATTGTATCCAAATTATTAAAAAAAAACTGAATATGTGACTATAGCCTGCCTCAACCTACTAAAAAAGAAATTATATGGTACAAAGAGAAGAACGAATAATTTAGTTGATTATTTAATGCTCTAAAGACGATTAAACCCATATTGGCAAGAACTGAATTTCTTTCATTTCTGGATAGAGAAGAATTCGTGTGAGCAATAGAAAATACGTTGGAAAAATCCTTTTTCTCTATATTTTTTTTGTGAAAATTCGAAAACCGATTTTGTAGAAAAGTTGAGATTGGAAAACCAGTTTTTTTCTAAGTCGGTTTTTGTATAAATCACACATATGTGAGGCCAACCTGTTAATAAATTCTTGGAATTTTGACTTGCAGAGTTCTTTAATACAAAAAATAGCGTTGTTCTTGTTGTTTTGATTATTATTGTTAGTATCTGTATTTGTTGGAATATTTCTGAATACCTATAGATTTTAAGATTCTTCATTCATTCAAAGTAAATCAAATTATTAAGACTTTTTCTTCTTGACGATTGTTTTATTTTTATGCGAGTTTGTAGCGGGTAATAATCACCAATTTTCTGTAAACTGTATTCTATTACTTATTGTAACTTGTAATATACAAAAATGTTAACGTTGCTTAAATTTCTGAATGAGTTATAGCAAATTCCCCATGTACGTAATAACGTGACTTTGAAACAAAATGAAAATTCATCCCTCTCGCCTGTTATAATTGCAATTTTAATCAAGAGGGCATTCTCTCGTTTTGAAAGACGTCTGGTGAAGTCGAAAACGTGGAAAGGTCGTATATAATATTTCCGAACTGGCTGTACATTATGCGATTATGTTCTAATTATTTCGGATGAGGCAAAGATGCGGAATGCTTTTAAGCGCAAATGAAATTGTTGAAGATAATCAGGGAGCAATTCCGTCGGATTATTGTTGAGGGTGGGCGAAGAGGAATGCACCATTTATCAATCCGTCCGCACTTTGCGGGCACCGCCCCCGCGTGCGCTCTTCTGCTGCTTCTTCTTCAACCCCCGCCACTGCTCCCTATCCAACCCTCAACCTTGCGCTGCCACCGCCCTCTGCAACCGCCGCACCAAATCACCCCAAACCCCCCTCTCTCGCACATCGCGAACTGCATCGCGCGTTATAATTCATTCTGGGGGGCGGTTGGCGGCTCCGTTATAAATTTAATACAAACTAAATCCCAAGCGGCGGCTAATTTCTTGCGAACAACTCTACTCCGGAACGGTGCGAAGAAAACACAGAAATGTTACGAAGAACCTCTCGAATGTTCTAAGAACACATTATTTACTTCATGCAATATGTCACCTTTTTGTGACACTGAAATTTCTAAACGTTCTGTCAAAAACACATGTTAATTCAAGTTTATTGTTTTATCATTACTCATATTTTGAAATATTTACAATTAAGACAAAAAATAAACAATAAACAACTTTGGGACAAAAAAACCTAATATTTGAAATCATTGTTTTCTCTAATCAATGAATATATGAATTTAATAATTATAAAAAAAAAAGTATAATTTTAACTTTAAAAATTTATTGTGTATAAATATAATTAATCCATGAATACAGTTGATGTTTAAAATCAAACGTGAATGATGTGAATATACAGTAGAACCTGTTTTTGTGCGGTCCTTTTTTATGCGATTTTTTTTATACGGTCCCTACCGCACAAAAAAAGGTTTGAATATTTCTCAAAGTAAAAATACAATTTTCTACATTTTTCAATTTGAACTTTGTTTTCTTCTTGCTAATGTACCAAACTTCATCAAATATATTCAGGATTTTTAATATTTTTCTAAATGAAAAATTGAAAAATATTTCATATTTTCATATAGATACAAATACAACAACTTGATAAGCTTAAAGTCAAGCCAAATGTTCTAAAGCAAATGATTTAAGAGGATAAAATAGAACCTATAAATTGAAGTGTATTGCAACAATAAGTTTAGGTGATTTTTACGAAGTGTTCTTACTATATTAGTTTTATGCCGTAAAGTAAGTCTGCAAATTCAACACTATCGAGCGTTAAAGATACAGCATGGCCCAGCTTATAGGTAACAACAGCTGATTTTTTAGTGTAAATCAATATGTTTAAAATAAAACAATTAGGATACATATAATTTACCATACTTTGCTTTTTTGTTAGTTCTGTACTGTTTGAAAACCAATCAGTCTTGACATAGAAGGCATAGCTTCATCTAAAGATTAAAATTCTTCAGGATAATAGCAATTCCCTATGTTTTCCAAAATGTGTGTACTCAGACATATACCTATAAATTGATATATATATCTAAGAAATAGAAATATATTTAAAAATTATAGCCAAAAGATAAAGGATAACTGATTGAGTAAGGTTCATCGACAAGAAGAAAACAAGATCCAAGTTGAAATAGTAGATAATTGTGTCAAGTAAGAAAGAAACAGCTATTAATAAATCAACTTGACAAGAGCTTTTCAATCCAATCGTTTCAAATCAAAAGATCTAAGAGGATAAACTAGAACGTATAATTTGGAATACTATAGATTTTTACGGAAACTAAAATATATTTTATTGATTTACAATAAATTACCAATAAGATTAATAACAAAAACATTTTAGAA